AAAAAGGAATTTACAATCAAAACCATTCAGAGTTTTTTCCAAAAAGATAGTATATTGAGAGATTTTTTTTGTAGGGCGTAATGACAAGGCACTAGAAAACTTTAAATCACATTATGAACAAGCTATTTTTCTTTCAGTTCTTTTAAGTCCAGGAGTGTCTCCATTGAGTCATTAACACCATTCTAGTATTTGTAACTCTCCCTCACAGAGTGTAGACTTCAACTTTTCATCCTTGGTAGGCAATGGTATTTTGACAATTTAATAACATTGCTTTTGTTCACAGTTACCCTAAAATTTATGGCAAATAACATGGTTTTCCACTTAAAGTGGTGAGATACAACTCTGCTTTTAAGCACACTTAAGTTAAACAGGAGTCTATTTTCATGATAAATATTCAGTAATTAATAGCAGAGTTGTATGAGGATAGGGTAAACACCATGAAGATTCTATGCAAAACAACTCAAATTTTTGTTGTTTAGTTGCTAAGTTTTGTCCGACTCTTTGCAACCCCATGGATTGAGTGCGCTAGGTTTCCCTGTCCTTTACTATCTACTGGGGTTTGCTCAAACTCATGTCCATTGAATTGGTGATGTTATTTTGCATCCAACTTCAGAAGAAAAAAGACATGGTTACACAAAAATGAAAACAAATCTATTTAAAGAAAGCTACTGAATTTACATTACTCTATGTCTTTCAGGATATAATACTACAATAACCATCACATTCCTTGACAGCTTATCATATGCATGGTTTAAATAGTTATCTAATTTTCCAAAGCAAGGTAAATCTGTTAAGTTTTACTGAATGGAATAAAGGACCTTTAGAGAAACGAAATTTAGAGAGTGGAATTTTGAATGCCAAATACTTCAGGGTAGACTCATGTGAAAAATCACAACTTCTAATACATCAATAAGAAAATCAGAGAAAAAGTAGGTTTTCCAAGGATAATTGTTTATTTCAGAAAATACATACGTGAGGAGGGGAAGGATGTCGGAAGACGAGAGAAGGGATCACAAAGAATCAGCAAATGACACAACTTTCTGAAAAAATGTCCTTTATTAAATGAACAAGTTGAAGCACCCTCTTAGAAGCTGCCTTTTTGATGATGGTTGTAATTTTTTTGAAACATCAAGAAACATTTTCAGTGAGAGAATTCTGAGGTCATTAGCATTCATCTGCCACTGTCTTGAAAGAAATCCTTTATAGGGCCTATGACTGAACTTACCAGTACTTGAATGATAAATAAGATTCCTAGAAAAATGATACAGTTTTTTCTAATTTACATAAAATGGAGTAACCGTATTTTTAAGGCAAAAAGCTGCAAGGTCAATTATACAAAAATCATAGTAACCACATCTGCTTTCCTAGTCTCCACACTATTCATTTAGAAACGTTCCTGCCGCCAACATTTTCTCTTTCCTTGAGGTAACAGAGTCCAATCCCGCCGTAAAACTAAAATAACTCCCTCTAGGAAGAGTCAAAGTTAAACATTACTTTTTGGTAGACAAAGTTGAGGAACATCTTTGCACAAATCAAATGCATTCCAGAATACTTGTCACTGATACGAAAGAACACACCAGAGCTGCTGAAAGCAGGTGATGATAGTTTTGACATTTCCACACCTAGAATTCAAAAGCTTATTGATTCTTGTCTCCCTGCAGGCATCCTTTCAACTTCTCCACTCACCATGATGGAGATCTGAAGAAAGGTACTAAATCACTGTCTGGCATTCTCAGACAGTAAGCTAGATGACCAGATCTAAGGCAGCATGGCACAGTAATTTCAGAGCAGGGAAGAGCTTCCTTTGCTTCTTTGAGTCAATCAAAATCTGCTTTATCAAGAGCCTTAAAATGGAAAAAAAAAATCTTTTTCTTGCCTTTCATGAATTTTAATCTTTCATGTTTCCAATTTCATCACTATTCTGATAAATGGGTTCTACTGACTTGCTACACCACACTGCAACATCAGCTGCTATGTATCAGTAGATGTTGAAATTAAACACATCATCATTGTCACCATCATCATCACTCAGAAGATGTCACAAAGAAACCAGAAATGTCTGGCATTCATCGGTGTGATTTAATCACACAAACAAATATACTGAACCTATTACGGGCAAGCCACAATCATGACTTGCACATGGTCTTGAGTTGCATATGGCATTAATACTATAATGTTCAAGTCTTCAAACTCTTTGTTCAAACACTTTCTTCCTTCCCCACAGAGAAATCTTATGTTTCCAAGAAGGAATAATGTAAGCAGCATAAGCCTCTGTCATTCTCTAATGCTGATGCATCTATATTCTTTTCCTCTCAAATCTTCTTTTCCTTCCTTTTTCCCTTCTTCTCTTCACGTCCACATGCTTCGACTTTGTTAATTAATAGCAGTTCAGGAGGGATGCTTTCCCCTAGTGTTTCGCACCCCTAAGTGGCATTCCCACTGTTTCCTGTTTTGAATTCAATATAAAGACCATAGATAGCTTAACTAAAACAAGGTAATACCATGAATTAACCACAACTTATAATTCAATCATCTACATACTGAATAAAAATGTATACAGTCCCTCCTATTTGCCAGGCATAGCAATGGTAGCTAAGAATATAAAAACATCCAAGAATATAGTGTCCTAGGGCTTCCACTGCAAAGTACTACACATGAGGTGGTTTACAACAGCAGAAATTTACTCTGTTCTGGAGGCCAGATGTCTGAAAGTGAGGGACAAGGTCTCTCCAAAGACTCCAGGGAAAAATTCTTCCTAGTCTCGTCAAGCTTCTGGTGGCCGCAGATATTTTTTGTTTGTTTTTTCGTCCTTATCTTTACATGGTCTTCTATGTCTTTCTGTCTCTGTTTGGCCTTAAGAATTTTGGGCCTATTGTAATCCAGCATGACTTCATTTTAACTGAACTGACTGCAACCACAAATACCCTGTTTCCAAATAAGGTCACGTTCTGAGGTTCCTGGGAGATGTAATTTTGGGGGCAACGCTACACAGACTAGTACAGTTACCTCTTGGGCTGCTGTCACTGTGGTACTCTCTCACACACGCTCAAGCCAACATCCATCGGTTAAGCTGCCTCCCTAGGGCATGCCGTAGAGTGGCCTCCATAAGACCTTTGCTAGTTAAAACATAAAAGTGGGTGGCTCAGCTTCCAGCAGCCAACCATGAAAGGATCCTGACATGCCTTCATGATGAAGGGCCATTTCCTTGGTGACTAAGAAGTTGACTGTGTCACTGGGATCCTGAAATGCATTTTGTAGCATCAGGTATCTCAGTTTACAAGAGATAGTTGGGAAGAATATCTCCTGAATTCTTGCAACGTGTAGCTCTATCCCGGAGAAGGCAATGGCACCCCACTCCAGTACTCTTGCCTGGAAAATCCCATGGACGGAGGAGCCTGGTAGGCTGCAGTCCACGGGGTCGCGAAGAGTTGGACTTGACTGAGCAACTTCACTTTCACCTTTCACTTTTATGCATTGGAGAAGGAAATGGCAACCCACTCCAGTGTTCTTGCCTGGAGAATCCCAGGGATGGGGTCGCACAGAGTCAGACATGACTGAAGTGACTTAGCAGCAGTAGCTCTATCCATTCATTTTATATATGTAAGAATCACAGAATTTTTATCTAGAACTTGATAACAAGATTTGGGATAAAATAACCTATCACTTCACACAGGAGATAAATCAGAGGGAATGCATGCATATGTTCATTAGCTAATGAAAGAACTGGCAGAACAAAGGCTCCCCAGTTCCTTGCTCAGGGTTCAAATCATATTTCTCATGTTATTAAAAATAATTTTCTTTATGACATTTTTCTATCTGAACATGCTTTAGCTCTTGACCCCTCTAAAGAACAATCCAAAACATTGTTTCACTCATATCATTTCAGAAAACCACATACAGGCACAACACCTCTCTTTCTTCAACACTGTTTTCTTCCTCTACTCTATGCAGAGTTTATGAATCTTTAGCATAAAAAATCTGTGCAAAAAAAAACATTGAGCTTTTCACAATGCAGTTGTCCAAAGTTCCTCTAACTGTAACTATGGACACCATATGTTCAGTTAGACATGATAAAAACCAATTTTAAATTGCAAATTTTGAACAATAAAGCTCTTTCTCAGTAAAAAGAACAAAAAAATAATATGCCTGCCTTTTTTTTTTTTTGGTGCACCATGAAATTTATTTATTCACTCAATTCTGCATTTACACAGAAGTGCAGTAATAAAATATCTGTACACTACTTTTGTTACAAATATAGATAATATTCAAAATGACTTTATATATTCTAATGTAGGAGTTTCACGCTCTAAAATGGGAATGAACACATGATAATTCCTCACCAGTTGTCTCAATAAACAGCTCCATCTGTTTCCCTTAGTCTTAAAACTATTGTATTATAAGATGTTAATATAAGGCAATGAAACGAAGTTATGTTAATCCCCTTAATTTTTCTATCAATTTACTAATGGCATACAACCAAAATAATTACTAACACATTGCTTTTTTCTCTGTCATTAAGATTAATACTAACTGAAAACCAATTGCACAGCACACAGACACATTTTCAGCAAAGCACCCCTTCATACCAGCACTAGCAATTCAGAGACCCTTTCACGCGCGTGCATGGTTAGCATGGAGGCTTTCTAGAGAAACCACAGTCAATACAGGACAAGGCCATCATTTTACTTATAGAAAGGGGAAATATTACACAATATGTCAAAAATGAAAATGAACCTCAAGATGTGCAATAAATGGTTTCTTTACAAACTTAGGGACATTGATTCCTATTGCTGCTACTTTACTCAATCATGAAGTCCATTTTTGGAGAAAACTATATATGTATATATTAGAGCTAGCAGATGCAATGTTTTAGTAATATTTAAAATAATTAAATATTGAAAGAATTTTTAAAGACTTTCAGTACAACTTTTCTAAGCTAGAAGTGGGGAGAGAAGGTAGATTAACAAAATACATTTTTATAAAACTCAAGATTTTCTTCCTTATACTTTCATTTTTCACCTCAATTTCATGAAACCACTTCTCCTTGGTTAGCTTTTGAGTGACTTTTTCTTTCTCTACTAACCACTGATCACACATTAAAATCTGCCCACCTGATTATAAAATGTCAGGTATCTTCAGGAAGAAAGACCAGCTTTATCTATGCAAACAAAGAGCCCTTCTCTTTGAGTTTACATCACAAAATATAAAGAGAATGGGAAAGTGATGCTAGGGTGTCAGTAAGAAAATTATTTCCATATGACAAAGCAAACTTAAATGTTATTTTTTTTCCTACAGTATAGAAGAGCCCAGTGAAGACAGCCTGGGAAAAATGTGCAGGATCACTCTCTTTATAGTGTGGGATGTGAGGGAGAAGTTGAAGTGGCTCAATTCTGGCAGCAAATTCAGGAGAGGACCATCAGAGTGACACTGCCTTTTGTCCGCTTAAGGATGGCAACCGCTTCTTCGTGGGTTACCCCTTCCAGACTCTGCCCATTGACAGCAATGATCTGATCACCCCTCTTTAGACGGCCATCTTCGGAGGCTGCTCCCTGCAATTATAAAGTGGGCTTATTTACTTCTCAAAAAAAAAAAAATGCTGTCTCGCAGCTACACAATAGAAGAAGACCCTAACAAGAATGTAAACCGCTCCGCGTGTACACAGACATTGCTCTGAGTGCTCCAGGGTGCTCCACAGCCATTAAGCAATGATGAACAGACACAAAGGGAGCCTTTCTCCAAAATGGCTTTAGCACTGAGATTCCAATTTGAGAGAGAATTTAGCAGTCAGTAGATTAGCTGGATGGTTTTTTGGCTGTTCAGCACAGCAGTTGGTGGGAACTCAAATTAATAAAGAATATTTGGGAATATGCCTAGTAGGAATGATTTCATAGAATCCAAGATTTTTTATCCTGTAAAGAAGACCTACAGAAAGAAAACAAGGGATTAGCAGTTTTGTAGGACAAAAGCGGTTTTATAGGACAAGGACATGAGGGCCACCGAATCTCAAGTTCAGCAGGAGCACAAAAGCCCACATGTATGTTGACAAGCATAGGATGAGGCCCAAGTCATGCAAACTCTAATCCTAATTCTTTCTGTGGCTTTCAAAAGGCAGCTTAAGCTGCTTGATTCTTTACTTCCCAAGCGTAGATGGAGTCTTCATATTCCTTATGGGCCCTAAGTGATTAAGACTGAATACAGGCACTACTGTTTGTAGAACAACCCTATCTTAAGGCATACTTACAGTAGGCAATTATGCAATTAAATATAAGATAAAAAATATGGAAAAGTTAATGAGGAACCCATAATGATGAAATTCTTAAAATATGCTCTAACTAGCATGCCTTAAATAAACTGTTCTAAGGCTGAGAAAAAGGACTGCATGACTCTTTTATTTACTGGCAAAGGCTATTTGTGTTTTTGGACATACCAATGGCTTTAAAAAAATCTCACAAAATAGGCTCATTGTTAGATTGCTACAGATATAGCACTTTATATTGGTTAAAAAATAATAATAGAATGAAACCTCCATAAGTAAGCATTCAAAAGAATGATAACACTAATCTAAAGCCCCTAAATGAAATCTTTTAGTAGGTTAAATGTAATTGTTTCTTTGTGCTGCAAAATTTTGAGAATCTGAATTTTCTTCTGTAGGAAATTTTGTCAAATTTTATAGTTCCTAAAAATTGTCTTCACAACAAATCACCAAATAATAATTATATGGGTTTAAATTATTTTAACAGCCTCACTAATGTTTTAATAACTGTATCCTAAACATTCTTACCATCCAACAGGATGCTCTATGATTACAACTATATATCAATGGTTTTCTTTTCTTCACTGAATCCCTTTACATAGAGCTCATTTGTGGTAGGTGACAGGGCTGCTGGATACGCAAAAATTTTAGCAGCTATTTTTCTATTCCATTTAATGAAATGAAACTTGCAAAATAAACACATCTTAGCTATTCTGCATATGTATTATATGTACTCTTCTGTGCCTATTTTATATTTCACAACAAAAAAATGCAAAGAAAAAGAAATGCCAGGGCTCTTTAACATACACATATTTAACATGTCCTATTTTCAAAAGACATTCAATTATATGCATCTTGTTTGCAAAGGAAAACAATCAGGCCTGACTGTCTAACTCAAGTTCATGAATTTTATGTATATTGTTGACAGCACCCATGGAACTTCAATTTGAGCCTATATTCCTTTAAACATAACGAAACCTCAAATTGGACAAAAATACTTAATGACCTGTTCCTGCAGGGAGTTGTGCAAGAAAATAATCAAATGTTGACCATTTGGCATTACCTCAGGCCATAAACTAATAAGCCAGCTGCTGACCACTATTAGTGAACATTTAGGGGGGAAAAGGGTAGTTAAAATTTGAAAGCTTACCTTCGCAAACACTGTTTTAACGTAAATGGGTAAGTCTCCATGAGGACTGCCATATCCTCCTACTATACTGAAGCCTAAGCCATCTGGTCCTCGGTCTAGTGTAATAGACTTGCACTGAGGAGGCCTACAGAAAAGGGAAGGAAACAAGAGCCATTAGATCTTACGTGTACACACACACACACACACACACACACACACGGCATATATAGGGATCTGCATGAATCAGAGGGTTGTCTGACACCCACCAAAAGCTGACATAATTCTCTGTGTCACCAACAGTGAGAACACCATGGGTATTTAGGGATGCTTCCATTGTCAGTGTCTGCTGCGCTACATATCTTAAATTTACATAATGTAATGAAGCCCTCCTTAACACCCTAATTCTATTACCCATGTATACCACCCTTAACCTAACATATTCATGGCAAGTTCTCACTGTACACGGTAGCAGCTCTTTTTCCAGCTGATTTAAAGTGAGAGGAAGAAGCACTGAAGACTAAGATGGAATAAGTCAAAAACATCAGTATTCCCAAGATCAGAGACAAAAACAGATAAACAAAATGAAAGCTGCATCAAATAATTAAAAAATTCTAATATGCTCCTCTCTTCTCTCTATATGTTCTAATGCTTTTGTACTCAAGTTTTGGGTAATTGTGAAGTTTTTAACTCAAAAGTATGATCTATTAAATGATTAGGCAGTGCACAAATTTTTAAAAGGATAGACTGACCCCAAGACTAAAATGTTTCTTCAAAAAACTCAACAGATGAAAATGTAGAAAGAGCAGCAGCACACATACATGCCTGTCCGTTTTCTACCCAACTACCTGCCTTCCTGTCTTTGATAAACTAAATCCATGCCAAACTCAAAGAGCTTAGACACACCTGGCTTTCAAATTTTATACTTCATCTCCCATCATTTCACCTTTATGTGGCTCATAGGGATATACAAACCATAGTATGTGAGCTCACCCTAAGTCATCTTGAAATATACTACTTGATGTCAGCCCAGTGAAAGAAAGACTAGAACTGGCAGGCTCCTGTTGATGACCTGTGACCACACTCACATCTCCTCCAGCGACCACCTGAACACAGGAGAAATACGAATAGAAAAACATGCTCATGTGGCTAGGAAGACATCAGCAATTCTTCTTCAAAAAGAGCACTGGGATTAAAAAATGTGTATTTCATCATTCACTTAATCATTTCTGTTAACATAAATTTCATAAGGTCCAGAGGTATCTGTAAGGATATTCTACTAATTCAATTCTATCAAGTTCCTTGATGTTTTCAAACATGGTATCACATGCAACTGTTTTCTAAAGATCTTTAGAATACAAGCCACTCAACCACACCACTAAAAAATTTCAGCAATTAATCATATCCTGCCAAGACTGAGAATTTTCCCCCTTAATTCTCCCCCTTAATTTTCCCCCTTTATACTTTTCCTATACAAAGTAGGAAATAATACATATATTAAGAAAAAAATGTGACAGAATGTATTTCCTATGTATTTTCTTGGAACTCTCAATGTAATCGTTTATGTTCAAGGGAAACAGTAAATAAAATACGAGCAGGAAATTTCATCATTTTTATAGTTTTAACATCAAAGCTCATGTGTCCTCAAGCTACCCACAATCGGAAGAGTTGGGATAAAAATCTTACCTGCATTTCAATGGGGCCAGAGGCATTTTTCAGTAAGTTAACTGCCTGGGTGTGAGTCATCCCCTCCGTGGATGTGCCGCAGATAGTGACAATCCTATCCCCAACCTGAGATGGAGAGAAGTAGTCATCTGCTACAATGCCATGGAGAGGGGGACCATTTGCTTCCCCAGCCTCCACACCACACATATACTGCTAATCATCAACAGAAATATAACCAAGGAAACCTCTGATTCCTAGCAGCTGCAACCACAGAGAGAAGCTGTACATAATGGCTATGTTCTATCATCTTTGGGACTAGGGGCAGGAAACCACACTCCCCTTCTCTTCATTTCCCCCAAAGAACACTGCATCTGTTATCATTTGTGAACAAGAATTCTCTGGATATTATTATTATACACATTATCTGTGACTATAAGTCAAGGGTTGGCAAAATATAGCTGATAGGCCAAGACTGGCCCACTGCTTATTTTAGTAAATAAAATCTGGTTGTAAGCAAGACACAATTATTTGGCTGCATTCACAGGGTAGAGTTGGGTAACTGCAACACAAACACATAAGCCCTGCAAAGTCTAAAATATTTATTTGGTCCTTTAGAGAAAACTTTTCTGACCCCCATGTTATCCGTACAATCAGTTTTAAAGTGCCAGTCATAAATTCACATATCAAAGGGAGATTGAACCATTAATGATTTACACAGTATTTCTTAAGTGGTCATTATTTGAGACAATTTTAAGGCATGAGGCCATACAGATTTTACTGTGTAGAGACTGAGTTACTAATGGAATATTCACATGATTTCAGAACTGGGCAGTTAGCATAAATTCTATCATAGCGCTCTACATATGCAAAATCCCTCAATTTTGAAGCAAATTTTGTAGTTTCACGTTATAAATCACATTTACATCAAACTTCTGCAAAACTGATAAATAATGCAACATAAATCATAATTTTCAATTTAGTAAAGTTAAACCAGCACAATGAGCATTTAAACCAAAAAGACATGTAAATAAAAAACTTCACTTCAAAAAAATAATTTCACTTCATTCTGCCAATACTTTCTGAGACTACTTTCTGCTTTAACTTCTTCCACAGGATTTCAAGCAAATAAAAATATTAAGAAACAACTGCAAATTATCCCATTTCATTTACTGATAAATTGCTTACAACAGCAAATTCTTCGTTAAAAATTTCCTCATTTTTTACTCAAAGCAACTCCTGTTGCAGCTATATTAGCTGATCAAAAAGCTGATAGAGACATTTCAAACTGCTTTCAACAGTTGGCCAGATGCAAAGGGTTTATAAAACCTATTGGCAGATTTGCTAAGGCTGCCAGGGACTCTGTAGAACTTACTCTGAGTTTCTGCGTCTGAGCTGCAACTCCATTTGGGTGCATCATTGCAATAAATATAGGAACATCACCCAGCGGACTGCCCACTCCTCCAGCAATGCTGACGCCCAACGAGTCAGTGGGCCCCTGCCACGGGACAGACAGAATACTTTGGTCAAACTATTATCTTTTATTGGCTTTTGTTCTCTTTGGCACAACATTCTATAGTTAATTCTGATCTTCTAGACTTGAGGGAGGAAAAGGATGACCAAGAAAACTGCATTAATTTATCTGATACAAGTCCTTAATGTGACTTAGAAAACTAAGCATCTGTTTGGGAGGTAAAAGAAGCCACAACAGGCCAAATAAAAATCACATTACGGGGAATGAGGACAACAGAGACCTGCATTCTAAGCCAGAAACCCACACTAACAAATGCTGGGGCCTGGAAGAAGTCCACTGCTCTCAATCAACCTCTAGATCTTCATGGACAAAATGGAAATAACCGGGCCTCTTACAAAGAGCTGCAGTGACTACTGAATGAAATGGGGATGGTATGAAGTGTCTACAAGCGTGCTCAGCACTTAAATTTGCTTTTCTTTTCTCTGTTGTACATAGTTGTCAGAAGAATCTGTTTCAGAAGAATGGGAAACTTCTGAAAGTCTGAAGAAGGCAAAGGTTTACTGATCCATAAAAGAAGTTAGAGAGGCCTGGCGTATTTTGTGTGGGACTGGGTTGATACCATTTTGGGCAATAAAGGGTATACCAAAAATGATTTTTCAAACAAGGAAATTCAGCAGAGTCTACATTGTGCTATTTTCACTTCATGTAATATATATTTTATCAGATGCTACCATAAAACAATAAGGCAGCTAACAGGAAAATATGCAGACGACCTTGGAGCCATCAGTTTATACTATTTTCTCTCTCTCCGTTACCTTTTTAATTTCAACAGTTCTTAATCCCTGTATTTCAGATGCCACTGTAAATTAAAAAAGAGAAAAATATGATCATTAACACATTTTTAATGTTAATAATAGTTTAAATTTTAGTTGATTCTAGAACTAAGTGGGACTAAGTGAGGTACCCCAATGTTTTTGGAAATAGGGTGGTCAAAGTTACTAGCACACATGATTATGTCTGTCTTACAGAGGGGCTCCCAACTGAAAAAAATGGCACACCATCCCATATCTTCCTTTTTATTTCAAGCACTGCTTATACAACTGCATAATCCACTCTGAATGAGGCAAGGGACAGGATGTGTTTTGGACAGAGGCACATGTGCACAGCTGAGAGGAATAAAGTCATGGAAACATTAAAAAGAATCCACGGACTTAAGTGCCTAAATTTCTAGAATATTAGTCACACTGCAAACAGAGACTGCCATATGGTTAGTTTCTTCAATTTGAACAACTTTCAACCAATGCTCCAAGCCAAAAAGCCCTCTGCATCATGATTTCATGTAATTAAAACACAGGAGGATCATATTAATTTTCTCAATCAAAATTTTTGCAATCTTATGAAAAATAGATGGCTTCAACTAATGGCATCTTCTGATTTACTGCTATTACATTAAATAGAGAACTGAAATAAAAATCAAACACACCAATCTTCTTCGTAAGAAAAAAATTACAGAATACTGATTCTAATGTTAGCAGATCTCCTAGGGAAAACATCAAATGGGAAATGCTGCCATAGGCATTGCTTCATGCTGCTCTCAATTTTTGCAGGCACTCATTTTTGCACCTATATTAAGAGTTTGGGATGATTTAGAGGAAGAAAGCTGCAGAGGTAAAGTAAAACAGAGGAAAAAATCAGTGTTGATGGCCAAAATTCAATCCAGTAAATCATGCTTAACGTTTCAATCCAATCTTACGTGCATTCTTCTTTGAACTACTTTCCAGTAACTCAGATGTACCGGATCCCGAAAGTGGAAAAGTGAATGAAGACAGGCTGGCTTCACTCATCTACAAAGACATAATAGTTGTCTTAGAGAGTTTGGGAAGTAATAACATCGCTTAAGTACGACTTATTTCATAATTACTTTAATGCACTCAGAAATACTTGTTAAGCAATAGTGGCATTTAATAATTAGAAAGGCAATCAATATAAAGAGTTTCCACTGAGTTTTGTTTCTTTTTAAGGAAGAATGTGCCCAGTGACGTAACTAATTAAAGGTAAAAGAATTTGATTCCAACATAATCTCACCCAAGCTAATCTTCTCTAAATTTAATCTAGCTGCACACAGATGCAAACTTAACACAACTGCAGAAACAGGGCCAGGGGACAGGAAGCACAGGGCAGCCATTCACGGGTGACTGCGAGGCCTTGAAGGACAGACAGGCTCTCACTGTGTTATACGTAGTGGTGAGCGTGTACAGTTCACCTACACACGATTCTTCTCAGTTGAATGTTGACTGATAAATGTTAGCTATGAAAACAGCTTAAATACATGCTATCTTGGTAGGCTTTATAATATATTAATTGGTTCATTTTTGAGATTATGCAAAAGGAATCATGTCAGAAAAGAAGAATGCTTGTGATTAAGTTTCTCAGAATGACTCACAAACTACTTAAGAGCTTCACCTTGCTTGCCTGTCCAGTCCCATCTCTCAAACTCTGTACCCTTAGCTGCTCTGCCAAGCTGCCAGGCCTGTGTTGAGGACCCTGGACAGATTGACGGGAAAGGCCATCTTCGAACTCCTTTCGGCCTCTGAACTGCATCACCTTGATGAATCCCACAGCTACGCACCTGGCTGCTTTGAGAAGGTCTCCTCTCCAAATGGAATGGACCAGTTTTGACTCTTCCGACTTCCAAGGTCACTGTGCCGAGGGAACACTAGGGGGAGGTTGTTTGACAGAAACATTTAAATAAAACGCTACAGTCAGCTTTAGGATTACACTTTATTCTTTACGCTGGGTTTTTGAAAGTCATGTTTCCTTTGGAATTTCAATAGGCAAGGAAAGCTCCCATCCTTTGTGGAAAGAGGTTTTTCTAAAGCATTAAAACCAGTAAAAATTTTAACAGCCAATCAGTAGCAGCCACACCAAGTGTCTGTCTTGCTAGCTTATGATTTATGGAGAGGGTCTCTGTCCAGGCAAAGAGAGATGGAGAATCCACCAATTCTCTCATGCAACACACTAATGCAGAGCCAAATGTGTGAAGGAATTTGGATTTTAAAAAACAAAAGCAATAAATAACCACTATTGCAACAAGTTGCTCTGCGTTCAATAGCAGAGGTACTCAGATAACATAAGCTCTCTACTGCCACACTGCACCTGAATAGATCTATTACGCAATATTTAAGCCAAACTGCTGTAAACATCAAATGAGAATTGAGGGAAATTTCCCTGTTGCCCTTTACGAATAAATCACAGGCATGCAAAAAATGCTATACAGTCTAATGTGGAAGTAGCAAAATGAGGTGGGTGAGAACTGGCTTTCTGGAGTCAGATACTCTGGTTTAAATCCAGTCTGTGTGATTTACTCACTGTGTGAACTTAACAGATGTCTACCTTGATAAGTCTTTTACCCTGCATTTTAAAAAACAGACAGAGATCATTATACGTTGCTGTGATAGAATAATCCACGTACAATGCTCATCAAAATGTCAAACACAATGCAGTATTGTCAACTGTGTTGCTTCCAGTTTTTCTATTATAACAAACAGCACTGCAATGAACTTCAGCTGTGTAAAATTTTCTGTGTACTGAGGATTACTGATACAAGACTTTAAAATGAAGAATTACTAAGTCAAAACAACAAAATGCAGCAGCAGTTACAAATAGCAGAGCTACAGGGATATTTAAGGCTCTCATTATATACTGGTAAACTGGTTTTTAAATGGGGATTTAACTGGTTTAATGTTACATTATGGATGCCTCCTTCTCTATCTTTGAGAGGTATCTGTCTCACAAAATTAACTATCATTTTAAATTTATCTCCTGAAGGAATCGACTTCTCCTTAAAGAACTCTAATTCCTTTATTTTTTGAAAATAACTCCAAGAAGGAATGATATTTTAAGTGTGCTTTACTAATAACTAAATTTATATGTACATATCAGGTCCTATGGAAACCAGAAGTCAACAACAATATGCTCACTTGAAATCCCTCTGTGAAGCTAAGCTTAACGACTGAAGAGGTTCTGACTAGAATCTGAGACCTCTGACATTATCCACTGCTGTTTAATATTGTCATCAAGTTATACGCTCATGTTACTGAACATGTACACGTGACATGGATTCTGATGGCAAGAGGTTTCTAGTCAACTTTGAACGATACTTCGGGTCATAAAAACGCATGGTAGTTAAAGGAAAACAATGAGATAAGAATTGATAGGAAATACATCTAAATTTCCAAGAACTGTATTTTTAAGTGATCATTCTGTATTTTATAACTCATTTTTTAAATTAGACTGGGGCTGCCTTTCCAATCAGCAAATGATTTTTCACGGAATTCACTTTGGAGGAAAGAGATTTCACAACGTAAAACATATTTAAGCTTAGCAACAATACCTTGGGATGGAGGTCTTATAATTACTGAATTAACAACAGTGGTAACTGTTGAAGGTACTGCCAGGTAAATCTGCAAACACTGTTCCGCATTCTTCATCTTTGGAGAAATACTCGGTGGCAAAAAAGTTCATCTGGTTTTTTTCCATAAGATGGTGCAAAAAAAACCCTGAAACTTTTGGCCAACTCAATATAAAGATGTCCAACTTAGTGCGCCCAGTAAAGGGTTAGGGCGGGGCAGAGCCGTCCAGAAAGCATGACTTTCAGAGGTACCCTGTTTGCCCCCTCTGATCTCCCGCCTTTCTGTGGGAGCATCCCTGCCAGGATAAGATTCTCCCCTTATGCCAAAGGTCATAAGAATACATCCAGATATAAATACGGAGGCGGGGTGAATTGACATGAAAACATTTTTTTTCTCTTTTGTGGCCTGAATATGTGCTTTTCTTTCAAGAAAAGAACCACGTGACAATCACTTTATGATAAAACATCTGCTAGGATCACAGATGCTCAGTTCATAGTTCTTACTGTGTGTGCTCCCTCACTCAGCCATGTCTGTCTCTTTGCAGCCCCACAGACTGCGGCCCGCCAGGCTCCTCTGCCCATGGGATTTCCCAGGCAAGAATACTGGAGTGGTTTGCCATGTCCTTCTCCAGGGGATAATACTTAACACTGTTCTATAAATACATAACCACATAATAAAGAGCTGGTCGTAAGTGTAGAGATTAACACTGAAGCATGTCGTCTAACATATAAACATGTCTTATTTGAGAGAACAGAGCAAATAAATACTTGTTGCATACGGCAGCTCCTTCTTCTCCTACGCTATTACACATAACCATTTACGGCACTGGATTTCTACCTTCAGCAGAGCCGCGACGGCTTCCTGCGTTGCATGACGGACGTCTTCTCCATTCACCGTCAGTATCTGGTCTCCCTGTAGCAGCCGCCCATCAGCATCTGCAATGCCTCCTTTGACAACATCGGACACAAACACTCCAGTATCATTTCTGCAAGTGTCATTTTAAATATCACCATTATTATTTTTTTCCAAGTGGAATGCAATGCTTATTTAATGAATGGCTAACATTTTAGAATTGAAAATTTTACTTCTATTTTTATGACTTTAAAAGTTTTATTGCTTTATCAACAGTGGTGAAACTGAGAACTTTGTATAATAATAGTATCTTATGTCTTTATAATACTTTATAGATAAAATATATCTTTCATAAGCATATTTATTCAAAACTTATAAACTGTGAGTAGAAGTGGTTATTATACACATTTTATAGGTCACATAGCTACTAAATGGCAAAAATAGGATTTAAGAGTCAGTCACTGGGAGAAAAATCTATTGTTCTTTCTACACCATAATGAAGCCTTGAATGGATATTGACCTGTGCCTATTTAAGTATGTTGCTATTATCAACAACATCATTAACATTACTTAAAAGAAACAACGGATGTGTCTCAAACTAAAACCATGTGTTACTCAAAATTACGGACCTTTGCTGTGATGTCTCATTTAAATCATTATGGGTCTAACTTTCATACAAGATAGGTTTATGCAAAATGAACAAATATTAAACTTATTCCAACCTTCTTTTCATAAAAGTATAAATAACTCAATGACTTCCTGTTGAGATATAAAGATGACCATGTAGAAACACTGAGTAAGGTTAACTGCATCACTTCCTCTTGCCAAGGTCTTGACCTCAAACAAGTCATTTCATCATTTGATACTCTTTCCCCATCCTTAGAATAACTGTGCTGGAATTTACTAGATTAAATATTTTTTAACATTACCTATATCTACATATTTAAATAAATTAGGTATTCAATTTATGTAAATTCACCGACTTGCTACCCCAGGCCTCTTAATTTACACTCTCTGTTCCCTTCAGGTGGTGTGCTCTTGTCATACTGATCCTTCTCTCTAGAATATCTTCCTTCCCCTTTGGTTAGATCATCTCTCACATATCACACTTCTAGCTTCATCTCAGGCACTTTTTTTATAAAGCAGTTTTCCTAACCTACTTCCCTTAATTAGGGTCACACAATCCCTTTCTCCTTTGCTTCCATGGATTCCTCACAATATGTTTCTGTCTCTCATTAATAGATTCCTTTGTTTCAAGAATATATTTAATTCTCGTTTACCAAACAGTTTTCAGATGTTAGCATTCATGCCTCCTTTAACTCTATTCCTCAGAACCTAATGGCTCTCTTGGCACCCAGCAGGTCCTCAAAATTACCAAAATGCCTTTTTGTATTGTTGCTGTTGTTCAGTTGCTAAGTCATGTCCTCCTCGCGACTCCATGAATTGCAGCACGCCAGGCTCCTCTGTCGTCCACTATTTCTCAGAGTTTGCTCAAATTTATGTCCACTGAGCTGGTGATGCTATCGAACCATCTCACCCTTTGTCGCCCCCTTCTCCATTTGCCTTCAATCTTTCCCAGCATCAGGGTCTTTTTAATGAGTCAGTTCTTTACATCAGGTGGCCAGAGTATGGGAGCTTTAGCTTCAGCAACAGTCCTTCCAGTGAATATTCAGGGTTGATTTCCTTTAGGATTGACTGGTTTGATCTCCTTGCAGGGATTCCCTGCAAGGGATTCCCAAGAGTCTTCACCAGCAACACAATTCATCAAATCTTTGGCAATCAGCTTTCTTTCAGCTTTCTTTATGGTCCAACTCTCACATCTATTCACAACTACAGGAAAAACCACAACTTTGACTATACAGACCTTTGTTGGCAAAGTGATGCCTCTTTTTAATATACTGCCTAAGTTGGTCATAGCTTTCCTTCTGAGGAGCAAGCATCTTTTAATACTGACTAAAAAGTCTAAATCAGCATCTTCTGATGTTCCACTGCTGCGTGGACTGACAATAGCTACCTACAGAATACAAGCAGTTGATAAAGATTCTACTACTGCTAGTACTCTTCAAAGAAATGTCAGTTCAATCCTTTCCAAGAAATCACTGCCTTTGCCCTGATTAGTCATACCTTTTACCAACAATACTCAACCCCAGGCCTTTCCCTGGCTTCTTCTGCAGCTCGACGGTGAGGGTGTCATACACGTCCTCCTCTTTGTATGGGGCCTCATCTCTGTAGAGCGTCAGGCGCACCCTCTGTGGTGTCTGTCTTAGGACATTTATTGCTTCATCATGTGTGGCCTTCCTCAAGTCAATTCCATTTACCTGTAAGGAAGTGGGACACAGATGGTGAGGGAGTAGATGAGTTGAGTAAAGTGAAGAAAGATGGAAAAGGGAAGAAGTGGGGGAGAGGGAGGAAAGGGAGGGGCAGGGGGAGAAACATAGACCACCCTCCCCACAGACGCCTTTCCTTTGTGGTAAAGGTCAAACGCACAGCATTCTGTACCTCTAAAATCTGATCTCCAGCCCAAAGTCTTCCATCTTTACATGCTGCTCCTTCTTCATAAACTTCATGGATAATAATGGCACCCTAAGGGCACAAACAAAACGAACCATGCTTCACCCCATCCTCCCTAGGAATGGTGAGCAGAAATTCAGTCAAAGCACACTGTACTCTCATAGACACTGATAAGGGTTATGCACGGACTGCATCCGTATGTGAGTCACATGTCGAAATTCAAAGAAAAGCATAACAAGACAATCTGCTGTAAGTCTTAAAGAAACTTATATTTCTTTCAAATGATAGGGATTTTTTTAAAAAATTTATAAAATATGTAAATCACCCACACACTTATTTATAATAGATACACATCACCTTTTCTATCCACAAATGAAATTAACAGGTATGCCACACCTTTCCTATCTACAAGGGGAATGAATGGCTTTTAAATGCATTTTTGACAATTAGAAATTTTTGTCTATAAATTATCCAACTTTTCAGATGTTTCCTCAGTATGGGTCTAACCCAATGATATCCAGTCAGTAAAAAGAAAATTAAAATATGGCAGGAACTGGTAAACTAACACAAATATTTTGAACCTAAAGGGCACAATCACAAGTATAAAGGAATATTACTAAGTCAGTGTTGACTTACTCAAAGTAAATGAGTATTTGCCCCACAAATTAACAAGAAATGATACACTTTTCTAAGTCTTTGTATTTCATTTCATATAGCTGATGGAAATTTCCCTGCAGTGACCTCTCAGGGATCACTGAAGAGGCTGCATATTTGCAGCATCTCTGGCTACATCCTCACCAGCAGTGTGTCGGATCCCCCAACAATGCTCAGGCCCAGTCCTGTCCGCCCTTTGGAAATCTCAATTGTTGTTTCACAGCCTGGGATGATGGGGCAGGTTGCAGGATCAGAAGCAAAGATTGCTGGTGTTGACGACCTGCTTGTACCTAAAAGTAAGTTTAAAATGAAATGCAAATAAAAATTGATCAGAAAGCATATACATCAAACTCACCACACTGGTTGCCTTGGGGGATGGAGCAGAACCATGGGCCCAAGTTTGGGGACAAAGAAGACTTCAATCCCACCTTAATCTTTTAGTTGTATTTAAAACCATCCGACAAATATGACATCATCATTGTTACCTTAGTGCAGTGCGTGCAAAATTACCTGTAAATTATCATCTGCACTATTCTGTATTTTTCTTTAATTACTGGAGATAATAGGTAAAAGGAAAGAGAACAGAGTTGAACTTAACCACTAGTTTCACTCTGATATTCTATGTTTCATGGGAGCCAAACAAACGTCTTAAGAAACTATGATTCATAAGACTTGGAACTGAAACGTGCGGAGGAGACCTAACTCACATTCAGGGAAGACAAAGCGTAAAGGACATCAGTAATTCTGGTCACGGTGCCTGCCGCTCACGGCTTTTCAGGTTTCTGATTTGGTTTTCTTTTCATCCTGCCCTAGAGCATCTCTCCTTATGTAATCAAATCATACATGCAACTGGATTTCATATCTGAGTTCATAACACATTAAGTGAGCCCCACCTGAAGTTTGTTTCTTTATGTCTCGATGTTTCATAAACTTGAATATTAAATACTGGTACATATATGCTCAAAATTAAATAAATAAGATTATATTATGAAAAAATAAGGAGAATATAATCTCATACTCTGTTGTATGAGAGCCTTCATATCATGTTCGGTGATATACCAAAAAGAATATAGCAAATAGCATATTCAGACAAAGCTGGTATACTTGATAGATTAGCTTTAGAGAAAACATTCTTTTTAGGAATCAGAGGCAGACTAGTTTCATGCTCCTGAAATGGTAAGAACAGGTGCAAGATATTTTCCTTTATGCTATGTTTCTATTTAGCATTTTATATGTTTATAGACAATGCTATTTAGGGATCAACTTAATATTGAAAAATTAGAAAATTACCATATTTTTTAACATTTTAGAGAATTATGCAGTCTTTCTAAATAAAGGATTACTTCCATTAGATGTTTATTAATTTAAGATTTTTTAGCAATAAGGTCCAACTGTATAATACAGGGAACTATATTCAATGTACTAGGATAAACTATAATGGAAAAGAATATAAGGAGAATGTGTGTGTATATATATATACACACATATATATATACACACACACATATATACAACTGAATCAGCAGAAATTAACACAACATTATAAATCAACTATACTTCAATTTAAAAACAGACTTTTAAACCAACTATATTACAAATGTTTTATGCTGCTGTTTCATTAAAAACCTGTCAAAAGAACTGAATGTTTCAGTTTAGAAACCAAAAGAACTTTTTTTCTCCAAATGCAGAAAAAGCCAGTGTGTTTTTAACTACTTTTTTAAAATGCCACAAAGCTTGAAATGTACTCTTACTGAAAATCAGTGTGATTTTTCTGAAAAAGAACCTCAAAGGAATAATTTGCCTCAATGTACAAGACTGGCATTTTAATGATGTGAGAAACTGGCATCCCAAACTCCACATCCAACAATTTCATCTACTTCGTCCTCTTTGACTGTATCTGCCGTTTACACCCAAAGGAAGAACTCATATGCACTGTGTACATGTGACAATGAGTAACCTTTTAGGAGTCTGATATAATGCCAGGCAAAGTTGATTCTACCAATGAAGTGGTATCATGGTATCCATATTAAAAACGAGAATACTGATGTTCTAAGAAGTTAGATTACTTGCTCAGTAGTATAAACAAGGAATGTACAAAATGAGGTATCTCATGTATTAGTAAGATACCGGGAGTCACAGATACTCTTAGCAAAAGATCCTTGGAGAGCAAAGAGCATCACTCCTTCGTCTTAGAGACGGGCGAGCAGAGGCTCAGAGCGGCTGGATGGGTTTCCCAAGGTTCTATGGCTGGTTAATGTACAGCAGCAGATCCCTTCTCTTTATACCATCCTTTCACCAGAAGGCTGTCGGACCACGGCCTAGCAGGCAGTGGACTACACACAGGCAGATGGCTCCCAAGCAGGGACTTCATACCGAGTCTGAACACGTCACACGTGCGGAACTAGCAGAAGAGCAGCCCTTACTTCGCATCGGCTCTGGCTCTGGAGAGCTGGGCGGTGGGACCACTGGAGACTGGGGGCTGCTCTTTTTTTCTCCACTGGCTGCAGCAGTTACTGAAGTAGTAGCCTGGGAGTCTGGATTCTCAGCACGAACCGTCAATTTCACTTTTGTCTTTGCGGTTTTCAGAAGGTTAATAAACTGGCAGGGTGTTGGTGTGGAGGAGAAATAAAATTAAAAGCAACTTAGTCGACTTACACTCAAAAAAGCCACTATGATAGCTGTAATTGGAAACATCTATGATTGAGACAAGAGTCAGAGGCAAACTTTTTCCCTGTCAGGACTCAAGAGGTCAAGAAAGCATGGCTGCAGTTTCTAGTCTTCTTTTAATTTCCTGATACTGATTAAGGCCAAAAAGTCTACTTCAGACTACATTCTTCATTATATAACAAAGGGTTTTCACTTTTAACATTTCTAATTAATATTGTTCATGTCTCTGGATCCTTACAACCTTGGAAGAATATGAGGTGCTTTACCCACTTCTGGTCATAGCAAACACCCTCTACAACAACACAAGAGAAGACTCTACACATGGACACCAGATGGTCAACACCGAAATCAGATTTATTACATCCTTTGCAGCCAAAGATGCAGAAGCTCTATACAGTTAGCAAAAACAAGAATAGGAGCTGACTGACTCAGATCATGAACTCCTTATTGTCAAATTCAGATTTAAATTGAAGAAAGTAGGGGAAATCACTAGAACACTTAGGTAAGACCTAAATCAAATCTCTTATAATTATACAGTACAAGTGACAAATAGATTCAAGGGATTAGATCTGATAGACAGAGTGCCCGAAGAACTATGGATAGAGGTTCCTTCCTGACATTGTACAGCAGGCAGTGATCAAGACCATCCCCAAGAAAAAGAAATGCAAAAAGGCAGTTGTCTGACAAGGCCTTACAAATAGCTTAGAAAAGAGAAGCTAAAGGCAAAGGAGAAAAGGAAAAAGATAACCATTTGAATGCAGAGTTCCAAAGATAGCAAGGAGAGAGAAGCCTTCCTCAGTGATCAGTGCAAAGAAATAGAGGAAAACAATAGAATGGGAAAGACTAGAGATCTCTTCAAGAAAATCTTCAAAAAATTACAGATACTAAGGGCATGTTTCATGCAAAAACAGGCACAATAAAGGACAGAAACGGTATGGACCTAACAGAGCAGAAGATATTAAGAAGAGGTGGCAAGAATACATAGAAGAACCATACACAAAAGATCTTCATGACCCAGATAATCGCGATGGTGTGATCACTCACCTAGAGCCAGAAATCCTGGAATGTGAAGTCAAGTGGGCCTTAGGAAGCACCACTATGAACAAAGCTAGAGGAAATGATGGAATTCCAGTTGAGCTATTTCAAATCCTAAAAGATGATGCTATTGAAGTGCTGCACTCAATATGCCAGCAAATTAGGAAAACTCATCAGTGGCCAAGGACTGGAAAAGGTCAGTTTTCATTCCAATCCCAAAGAAAGCTAATGCCAAAGACTGTTTAAATGACCACACAACTGCACTCATCTCACACTCTAGCAAAGTAATGCTCAAAATTTTCTAAGCGAGGATTCAACAATATGTGAACCATGAACTTCAGATGTTCAAACTGGACTTAGAAAAGGCAAAGAAACCAGAAATCAAATTGCCAACATCAACTGGATCATCAAAAAGCGAGAGAGTTCGAGAAAAACATCTACTTCTGCTTTATTGACTGTGCCAAACCCTTGACTGTGTGGATCACAACAAACTGTGGAAGATTCTGAANTGAAGAGTTAACTCATTGGAAAAGACCCTGATGCTGGGAAAGTTTGAAGGCGGGAGGAGAAGGAGATGACAGAGAACGAGATGGCTGGATGGCATCACCAACTGGATGGACTAGGTTTGAGTAAGCTCTGGGATTTGGTGATGCACAGGTAAGCCATGGGTCACAAAGACTGGAACATGACTGAGCAACTGAACTGAACCACTTATGTTTCTATATACAATCTGAAGCAGCTTATATAAACATTTTTAATAAAATGGGAACATTTATGTAAAAGCAAGAAAAAGAAAATTATGCAAGAGAAGGATCAAGCCAAATGGAACATTAAAAACATACAAATGTGGGTTAAAGAATAAAACCTATACAATTATTAAAAGTGGTGCTGGAAAAACTGGACGGCTACATGTGAGAGAATGAGAACACTGTACACAAAAATAAACTCAAAATGCATTAAAGACTTAAATGTAAGGCCAGAAACTACAAAGCTCTTAAGAGGTAAATAGGCAGTACACACTTTGACATAAATCACTGCAAGATCCTCTTTGACCCACCTCCTAGAGTACTGGAAATACAGAGGAAAAATAAACAAATGGGACCTATTTAAACTTAAAAAGTTTTTGTATAGCAAACGAAACTATTAACAAAATAAAAAGACAAACCTCAGAATGGGAGAAAAAATTGCAAGCGAAACAACTGACAAAGGATTAATCCCCAAAATATACAAGCAGCTCATACAGTTAAATAATAGGGAAAAAAAAACAGTCCAATCACACAATGGGCAGAAGACCTAAAGAAGATATCTTCTTGTCCAAAGAAGATATATAAGAAGATGGCCAATAAATACATAAAAAGATGACCAATATAGCTTATTATTAGAGAAAAGAAAATCAAAAGTACAATGAGGTATCAACTCACAACAATCAGAATGGACATTATATATATTAAAAAAAAAAAACACAAGCAAAAACGCTGGAGAAGATGTGGAGAAAAAGGATCCCTCTTGCACTGTTGGTGGGCATGTAAGTTGGTACAGCCACTATGGAGAACAGTAGGGAGAGTCCTTAACAAACTGGGAATAAAACTACCAGATAAAAACCCAGTAATAAAACCCAATGATCACACTACTGATTTATACCCCAAGAAAACCAAAATTCAAAAAGACACATGTACCCCAATGTTCAATGCAGCACTATTTACAATAGCTAGGACATGGAAGCAATTTAGATATCCATTGACAGATGAATGGATAAAGAAACTGTAGTGTACACACACACACCCACACACACTGGAATATTACTTAGCCACGAAAAAGGAACAGGTTTGAGTGAGTTGCAGTGAGGTGGATGAACCTGGAGTCTCTTATACAGAGTGATGTAAGCCAGAAAAACAAATATCATATATTAACACATATACATGGGATCTAGAAAAGTAGGACTGATGAACTTATTTAGAGGAAAGAAGTAAAGATGCAAACACAGAGAACAGACCTGTGGACACAGTGGGTAAGGAGAGGTTGGGAGACATTGAAAAAGTAGCACTGCCATATTTATACCATCCTGTATAAGATAGAGAGCTAACAGGAAGTTGCTGCATAACGCAGGGAGCCCAGGCTGACACTCTGTGATGACCTTGGAGGGGTGGAACTGTGGGGGGAGGGTCAAGATGGAGGGGATACATATATAGTTATGACGCATTCACATTGATGCATGGCAGAGACTACCACAACACTGTAAGGCAATTTTCCTCCAAAAAGACACAAACTGAATTTTAAAGTGATTTAAGCATCTTGCTGGCCACTATAGAAACAGACACAGTGGCACACCAAATCTCAAAGAAACACAGTTTTTTGTTCTTTTTTTTTTTCCTAGCACATGAAAGGCTAAAGTGAAAGTCCTAGCAAGTACAGTATTAAGATCACTTTTGGGAAGGAAGAAACTCAGGCATATATAACTATTTATCCACAATAAAAGTTATAAATTTAGTGTCTGAGTCTTAAAGTCTGTTTATAAAGCAATATACATAGTAGATATTTATAGGAGCAAATCCATAGACAGTATATTAAAAAGGAGAGACATCACCTTGCCAACAAAGGTTCTTATAGTCAAAGCTATGGTTTTTCCAGCAGTCACGTATGGATGTGAGAGCTGGACCATAAAGGAGGCTGAGTGTTGAAGAACTGATGCTTTTGACTTGTGATGTTGGAGAAGACTCTTGAGAGTCCCTTAGACAACAAGCAGATCAAGCCAGTCAATCCTAAAGGAAATCAACCCTGAATATTCACTGGAAGCACTAATGCTGAAGCTGAAGCTCCAATACTTTGGCCACTAGATATGAAGAACCGACCCATCTGAATAGACCCTGACAATGGGAAAGATTTAGGGCAGGAGGTAAAAGAGGGCGATAGTACATGAGATGATTGGATGGTATCACCAACTCAAGGGACATGAGTTTGAGCAAATACAGGGAGATAACTGAAGGACTGGGAAGCCTGGTGTGCTGTAGTTCATGGAGTCACAAAGAGACAGACACGACTTAGTTCCTGAACAAAAATGACAGAGCAGCAAATATTCATTAAAAATATTCCTTTGGTTTTAATACTAAGTTGACATTTGTTTAGAAGTTTCAAGTCTTCCTATAGGAAAACAGAAATGATTATTTATCAAGAATGCCCAATGAATACTGAATTTATCAGGTAACAGAAAAACCAATTAACATCATCTTAATTAGAAAACAGAAAATAGAAATTAAGTACTTTTCAAATTTCTTCTCTTCCTTACAGATATCTAATATAGCTACACAGTTCTGATCCCCATGACTGACTGCCCCCCACATACATACACTTAGCCATTTCCAAGGATGAGTTCATAGTACCATTTGCTTTCTTTCAGGTAAGTACCTTTTCAACAGGATAGCCAACAACAACTTCATCATCTACAGCCAAGATCTGATCTCCAACTTTCAGCCGTCCATCCTAGACAGAAACATGGACACTTTTGAGTGATTTTACAGACAGAAGTCCCTTCCTCACCACTTTCTGACTGTAAGAAGGGGGAGGCCTCACCTTGGCTGCTGCCCCGTGCTCTGTTAGACTCTTTATGATGACCCCACTGAGTGTATCTTCTTCACTTATGGCAATGCCCAAACCCCCCTGATCCTACAGAAGCAAAAACAGAAACACAGGAAATGTGAAACATGAAATTTATCCAAACACAAAGGTATGTGACCAAAACTTCTGAACATAATCTTCTTACTCAAAGGCTAGAAAAGCAATTAAAGGTGTTCTAAAATCCACTCTTAGAAATCCCCTTTTCTTAAGCAAACTTTGAATTACTTTAGTGACATTAAATTTCTCCTCCATCAAATATTCAAATGTTCTCATTCCTCCCCTATGTCTAGTATCTCTAGTACTCAGTCGTGTCTGACTCTTTGTGAACCCATGGACTACAGCACGCCAGCCTTCCCTGTCCATCACCAACGCCCAGACCTTGCTCAAACTCACATCCATCGAGTCGGTGATGCCATCCAACCATCTTATCCTTTGTCGTCCCCTTCTCCTCCTGCCTTCAATCTTTCCCAGCACCAGGGTCTTTTCTTTTCAGCACATATACCAAGTAACATATTTCTAGTTACTTTATCAATAGATTCAGAAAATAAAAATGTATTCAATAACTTAATGAATGTATGTTTGAGAATTCAGTTCTGTATAATTGGTTAAGTGACTCAAAACCAAAGCACACTCTTGCCTCCTTTTTCTGGCTTAGACATAACCACTAATACCAGTCCTTGCATCCCTGTTCTGCTATCACTTCTCCTTCAGCAGACAGGCTGCCCTGACTGCTCAAGCTCTGTGCTTTCTGGGGCTGGAAATCCAGAGCTGGTTCCTTCAAAGACTTGGATTTTGATTTGATACAGAGTGAAAATGCTCTCAACTCATGAGTCCAAAGACTTACCCTGAAAACCTGCCAGGGCTAGAAGAGCTACACCTACTTTGGCTGTATTTTCCATACTTTCTTTTATCAAAACCAGGTGTTCCATAATGTTGGCTTTTACCTCTTAACATTTATGTGAATAAAATTTACCATAGGGTAGTGATTATTTTCATTCTGGTTAGAGCCAGCAACTTTCCTCATTATAGTTTCCATCCGGGGAGACAGAAAGCATGAGAGAAAGAAGTTGACATGAGAGCCACACTTGCCACTGGACTTTTAGGACATGGCATCGAGGTAAAGCTCCATCATCATTTTAAAGACACGAACACTGCTGCTTTGCTGACAGAGATGATTAGTGCTTGATGACATTCCAGATTGTCGCTGCTCATCCTCCCTACCACCACTCCTTTCATGTGCATAATACAGAGATAATTACACAGGTTTAGGGTAAGCTGAACTCAGCTATAATATACCTGCCGGCTAGATTTGGAAATCTGGATATATTACTTAACATCTCTAAACCTCTATTTCTTATCTCCAAAAGCCTGAATAATAATAGTTGCCAACTAAAAGCTTGCTGTGAGGATCAAGTGTAGTAAAGAAAAGGCTTGAAAGCCTGATTCACTATACAGAAGTGTTGTTATCATGCATACGTTCCTTCTACCTATAACTCTACAGGATATAACCAAATTCACTTCACATAAAGTGTCCAAACTTGCCAGAATTTTGAAACCCCAAACCTTGATTTAGTGGTCAAAGACTCAGACACGATGAACAGGAAGTTCAACGTGCTACCACACTGACAAATTCCAATGTCAAAGCCAAGTAAATAACTGAGCCAGCCTCTATTTCAGATATTGCACACAATATTCTTTCCTAGTACCACAAAGAAATATTTCACTTGTATTAATATAAGTAATACTCTGTAATCCACCATGACTATAGGTACTCAATTCTGGTATCTGATTCTATTATAGTCTATTTACTTAACTGTGGTCAGAAAAGTACTTTACTAAGTACAGAGGGCATTTGCTGGTTGTTTACCTACACAAATTCAGAGGTTTGCATTAAAATATCCTGTCCCCTCTCCCTTGCTGTCTCAAAGGACTCTCTCCGACATGGCAACAGAATGAAGGATGCTGCAATGGACATGTATGGACTTTCTGACAGAAAAAAGCTTTAATTACTTATGTTCTTTTCCCCTTATAGCACAAACCGCCCATCACAACTTTTCTTAAATGTATATGATAAGATCAGAGCAATCCATTTTGTACAGGGTTATTTATTTAAAAAATAATAAATAAACCAAGAAGAATCAGTATTTTTTCCCACTAAGTGCTTAACAAACTCTGACCACATATCAGGCATTATGCCCACCAGTTTATAAACAACTCATTTAACCTTTAAAATTACATTATCAAAGGTAAGACTATCATCTCCAATTTATAGGTAAGAAAAATGGAGGCAAAGCAAGATCACAAAATGTGTTAAATCTGTAGCTGATGAAATAGGATTCAACCCAGTCAGATGGCCTCTGGTGCCCCGCCTTGGAGCTGGGGAGTCTCGGAGGAAAGCACTCCTTCCTGCTGTAGCATTACATGTAAAATCCCTCTGTCCCTCCATTCCACCTCCTCCTTTCCTCTCCTCTTCCCTGAGTACGTCACTGCTCTTTCTGTCTAGTCTGTTCATCCACTGTCCACCTGCATTCCAGCATGAGCCTGCAGCACCTAAAAGCATTTACAGGATTCCGTTCAACAAACCACCTCTTTCAAGTGGTCACTTGAATCCAAGGTTCAGATCTCTGCAAAAGCAAATACCTCAACGATGCCTATCAGTGAGACTTCTAGGCATCTGGGCTTTCAGTCTGACAAAGGACAAAGCCTATAACATGTTTCTTTAATTTTTTTATTTCGTCCATAGCAAGTCCTTGTAAATAAATCAAACATGAGATCGCTAAATGTCATACCTTGGGATAATCATAAAGGCAGGAGAAGCTGGGCCCCTGCTCAAGTATCAATTAGCACAATGGTTATCAAACATTAGTGCCCACTGGCATCATGGAAGAGGCTTATTAAAACATGAGCTGCCGGCACACCCCAGAGATGCTCCTTTGGGAGATCAGGGTGGGCCCAAGCACCTGAAGTTCTAACAAGCTCTCCGGTGACCCTGATGCTGCTGGTCTGCAGAGACTTGTTTTGGGAACCAGTGAAACATAACACCAGTGCCAAGGTCGTTACATCATTTCAGTCCAACTCAGAGCAGATTTACCTTAGGAAGTTCTAAATGCTGCACATTCGTCAATGAACTGAGGTCAACAACTGCATCAGAAGTAGGAACACTGGGTTCAGCCTGACAGAGGGAAAGAAGTGACAAAACAGGCAAATATTATGTAGTTTTGCTTGACTAAATAGTTGTTTATTGTTGTCGTCTATAGTCACTAAGTTGTGCCTGACTTTTTGCAACCCCGTGGACTGCAGCCCACTAGGCTCCTATGTCCATGGGGTCTTCTAGGTAAGAATACTGGTGTGGGCTGCCATTTCCTAACCTGGGGGCTCTTCCTGATGCAGGGACTGAACCCATGTCCCCTGCACTGGCAGGTAGAGTATTTTCTGCTGAGCCACCAGAGAAGCCTCAGAGGGGCCAATTAACTGACATTATTTCATGTGCTGTATTCCATCGTTATAATTTTAATACTTCATGACGTTTATGAACATTATATCTTAAAAATGTGAACGAGGTGTGATTAGACAGCAATTACTCTGGAGCACAGAAACATAAAATGCTTCACAAGACTGCATGGATTTACTCTACAACGATGCCTAGTAGTAACCCAGCTCCGAACAGCACAAGTACTGACATACAGACCCCCAGCAGAGGCACCGTTCACTGCGTTACTGTGCTAGACATCAAGGGAATGTAGGAGCTGTTAAGTGTTTTACCTGAAAGTTATTAAAATCCATTTTCTTGATGGACATTTTTGGTACAACTCATATGAAAATAAAATTTTCTCCTTGACAGTCTTGAAAAACCACTTGACTCATTCAGCTCACCATTATGATCAGTGAGTCAGTTCACCAGCATGAGACAATGATTTGTGCATCTTGTGTACAGAAAAGCCTAATGTTTAGATATTAATTTAGGGAAGAGTGTTTCCAATTCTACACCTTTTCCACTGATAGTATCATACTTCCTCTAATTTTAAGTTCTCATTCTCTTATCTCCTTTTACTCATTCTAAACAAAGTAAACACAAAACTTTCACCAAAACTCTCTTAAATTTGTGTCACCCTCTGGACACTGCTTTCTCTTCCCTAACTTCTTATCCACCATTTGCTTTCTCAAAATCACTAATAATCTTCTAGTTGGCAAATACAATGAACCCTCTTTATTCACCTTCTCACTTGAGTTCCCCACAATATTCAAGGCTGTGCTATACACCCTTTCTCAATGGGGCCCTCCTCAGCTGCTATGTGACCCACCCGCCTAGTTCTTCATTATGGACCTGTCAATTTTCCTTACAACTGATACCACACTTCTGACCTCGGCGCTCATCTTCTCTAAATGTCCTAAACAGACAGAGCCTGAGCTCCCGTGGCTCCCAAGTTGGCATCGATGGGGATTCATCTCTAAACTCCAGACCAAATGTCCCCTTGAGCGCTTCTACCAGGCTTTCCAACAGACACTTCATTCTTGAGCTGTCTCAGACAGGAAGTTCTCTATTTTCAAATAAATACCTGCTCCTCTTTTTTACCTCTTCTATTCTGATAAAAGTTAACCATCTATTAAGTCACCACATCAGACATCTGGAAGCCTGGTACATCTCGTCTGCTTCATTCTGCGGCCTATGCTTAGCCCCCAAATGGTACCTGGTGTAAGTGAATGTATCTGTTGGATGAATACATTATCAACCAGTCATTTTTCCTCACCAAATATATTTAGTTATAGATGAAGTAATATCTGTTTGGGTTCTAAAGACCTGACACAACCATTTCTTCTCTCTCTCTCTCTTATTTTTGGGCATCAGTTCAGGTCCTCCATATCTATCCCATGAACTACTCTAATTCTCTTACTCCCTTCTCTGTCCTGTAACCTGTGATTTTTCTCTGTACCATTTCCAGAGTTCTTAAAAATAATCTTCATTCTTTGAGTCTGCAAAGATATAGCCTAAAAGACAAGGTCTGCATGGCGATCCTCATGCTCTAACCCCACCTGTTCCCTGCCTCCCCCTGCTCAGCAGGGCTCTGCAGTTATCAATTCTTTGCATTTGCCAGAGCCTCCAGCCCATTCCTCAATCCATGTCCTCTGCTTGCAAAGTTTACGGCCCCCAAGACATCTACTTTCAATGTACGCCTCATGTGCAACCTCCCCTATGTTCCCATTCTCTCCCCAGAGGTAAAACTGTCAACTCCTTTTCTACCTTCACTATTCCTTTGACAGGCTCTACTACTAGGCTTCATGTAAGCAGTGCTTATTTACATGAGTATTCCATAAACTAGGCTATAAACATATTGGGGATCAAGGGGATCAAGAAATTTACTTCTCTCTTATATCCTTGAAAGGGCTCTATAATTTTTAGCTAAACTAATAACTGATGCATAAACTAAAGCTTCCCAGAGAAACAAATATAAGCTACAAACCTCCTTATTTTGAAGATTCTCTGAGGTAGCAGGTGAAGGTTCCACTGTATGCCCAGGACATACGGCCATCTGACTCACTGCATCTTTATTTCTAAAGGAAAAAAGCACTAACCTGTAATATCATGATCATTCATACTATTTTCTTTAGCTCAGATTATTAGACAAAATTTTGTAGCCACAAAGACTTGGAACTACAACACTTACACATTTGTATATGTTTCATCTTTATTCAAAAGAATCAGAATTGAATGGCTAAGGAAAAATATTTATAAACTAGGAAAAGAAAATGCTCACCTGATAAAAATTATTTTTACTTTAGAAGGGGCACATTTGATGATTGATGAAGCATTCTGATGACTTCTTCCATATAAAATTTGACCATTGATCTATGAGAAATAAATACCATTAATTGAGCCCAGAATTTTAATTTCACAAATTTTTATATCCTTTCTAATGAAAAGGACTTCCCTGGTGGTGCAGTGGTAAAGAATATGCCTGCCAATGCAGAATATATATGTTTGATCTTCTGGGTTGGGAAGATTCACCGGAGAAGGAAATGGCAACCCACTCCAGTATTCTTGCCTGAAGAATCTCATGGACAGAGGAGCCTGGTAGGTTACAGTCCATGGGCTCACAAGAGTGAGATAGGACTTGGCAACTAAACAACAACAATCTAATGAAAAGCAATTTTTTTTTTCTTCCTTTAAAATAGTACATATGTATTCTTTCCCAGAACATGAACCTGACTTCGATGCTGAGTTAAGAAAAAGCTCCTGTTGAAAGCCAACATTAAAATTCCATGAATGTAGTCTGATCTCCATGGACTAACAAGGCATCACTTGGACTGACTACAGGAGAGTATCCAGGCAGGCAAGAAGCTTCTGGAGTACTCTGTACAAGCAAGGGCTCTGCAGAGGCACCTGTGATCAGCACAGATCATCCTGGGAAGGCCTGACTATCATAGTTCATAGTTAACATCAGAACTCAAGGCCTGGGGGTAGCCCACTGGGAGAAGCACTGCTGGTATATTCAGGTTTCAGGCAGTGGAAGGTGCTTAAGCAGCATACTATCTGGTGGAAACTGTCAGTTATCCTGTCAGTTAGCCCCTGCTGAGTAAGCCTTCCCAGCAAAGAGGGAAACACAGGCGGCATGGGAAAATGTGCTAAAGCAGTATAAAGACACGTGGATCCCGGCCTATAGGAGGCCAGGACAAAAAATCAAGCAAACACAATTCTAAACACTATAAAAGTATAGTCTGCAAGTGTATTTTGCTTGGTGGGCTGAATTACTGTTTTTGTTTTTTAGCCTTAAATTCAACCCCACAACAATCTACCCCCATCAAGTCTGCCATGAGGGATTCAACTTCTAGAAGGTCCAGTGATCAGTCTCATTACAGGGGCATGATTGGTCATTTGGTTTTTCAAAAGATCCCAATAAAAATGCAGCACAAACAAAAAAATGTTTTTGAAGTGTGATCTTTATTACTGTCTTGAGGCAAAAATTTTTTCTGGTGCTACACGGTCACAACCTTTAATGGAAGTTAATGGGAACATGGGGTGGTACTTAGTAGAGATTTGGTCTCGAGCCAAATTTGCTGCAATGCATCTTTGTTATTAGGTGAGTGATAGTTTTCTCAGTCACCATATGAGACCCAGGTGGGTTTTCTGGAAACTGATGGCTCTGTCACACCAATTCAGCAGGAGTAAATGCAGTGTTTGTCATTAGAACTTACCTCTAGAAGCTCATCTGCAACCTGCAGTTGACCATCTTTCCCAGCTGCTCCATTTGGATCAATCCCCACTATAAAAACACTCATTCTCGATCGGTCTTTGTTCCCAGCAAGACTCAGACCCAAACCACTACGACCTTTCTCTAGTTCGATCATGTGGAGCTCGCCTGTGAGGCTCCCGTAACGTTCTCTGATATTTTCTGCACACAACAAGAACAAAAGAACAACAAGGAGTAAGAGATAATTCACAGCCAAATGCTTTACTCTGGAAGGTTATTGAGAATGGCATTATAAGGTCAGGACTGTACCAAAATTCTTAGCAGTTAGGGAAAGCTAAACAGACTGGCCTCCTGGGCGTCAAGACTGGTTTCCTAGAGCACCCAAATTCTGAGTAGCTTCTCTGCCTCTAGGATGCAGAGAGTACAGTGTCTGATTTATCAGTTCACCTGAGGTGAGCAGACCCAAAGAAGCGTTCCACGTGATCATGTGAATAAGCTCTCCAAAGACTGTGATTAAAACAGAAAGCTACTTTATCACTTACAGAGAATAGAACATCCAGAGGATTTGTCTTCCATGGTCAGGGGAAACTTTTCTCCCAGAGCAACACAGACACTGCACATTGCATCATGCTGGGTGGTACTGGATACACAGATCCAGATTAGATGGAATGGGTTTTCTTATCACACAGAGCCATCCAGCACGGCACATGGACGTACTTGTTCTCATTAAATGAGACCTTTCATTATCTCTCATCTCCATGTTCAAAAGGTAGAGTTAATTCTGTAATCTGGTAGGTGTCCCAGGCCCAGATGACCAACCAGCTAGTGGCTAACACTAACCACCAGACACATGAGGGAGTTAATAACCTGTTTTCTTGAGCCATTAAGTTTTGGAGTGGCTTGGAATATGATAATAGGTAACTGAAACATTCCATTTCATGTTTTCCTCAGAGTATTTTCTGGCCAGTTTGATGGATTAGCAAAATATTCTAATTTCATTAGAAATAAAACTAAGAAAACTACAAACTTCACAAATCATCCCTTAGGAAATCTTACTAAGGGGTTAATGTAATGCATTCTGTATTAATTCTTAATTGCATCAATTTCATACACTGCTATTTCCTGACTCCTTCTAGAATCTAGCAGTACAAATTTTATACTCTGTACTTCCCCAAAGCACACACCACAGTATTCTTAAGGAAAACAATTACATTTTTTTAAATGAAACTTTTTAAAGCACTGACACATAACTTTGGGCTAACCTCTGTAAAATGGCTTATTTCGTTAGGAAACAGAGACACTCCCATGATCCTAACAACAACTGCCTTCAAACGATTCCTGTGCATCAGGCGTTGTGCTCAGACATTATCTAATTAACCTTTAGCAACCTGAGGCAGAAAGCACATTTAAAAGGGGGGATAACCACTCCACTACAACTTAAGAGGTCGTTAAACAACTTCCCAATGCCCCCAATTTTTAATCTCGACACTTACACTATGTTACCGTGTCAGTACAGAAATACCTAAATTCCAGGCTGTTCAAACAGCAACAACAAATAGATTTTATAATGAAGAATCTGAGGCCTAAAAGGGGTGATGCTCTGTTGGAAACCATGAGAGGGCTGATCCAGTACAGTTCAGACAGAGTGCCCTGACCATCTCAACTTGCAGAAAAATGCAAAGTGGGCCTGAACAGCATTGCAGATTTAAAAAACAGAAAAAAGGTGATTTCATGCCTCAGGAATGTGTGTTATATTCAAGTACAACAAAATTAGTTTTTTTCTACACAAAACTGCATTACGTGTAACTGAAGATGAAATGTACTTACCCATCTGAGGCATAAGCCTTGAGAGACCCAGAGCTATGAACAGTTTGATACCTCTTACAAGTCAATCATTTGAAACAGACAACTTACTCCAGCTGTAACCAAATTCATCCTCTTCATCCACATCTTCTGAGGTTTCATTTGCAGATGACAGAGCGTGATCCCCACTCATTTCTGCCAACACTGGAGGCAGGGGTGGAGGTGAGTGGCATAGAGGAGGCTTTTCTGACTCTGATTCTGACTGACTGGGCACCTGTGGGAACAAGAAGAATGCAGTGGGTATGTGCAGTCTAAGGAAGGAAAACTCAAGGAAAAGAAGTCAGACTGCAACATCAAAAACCAAACTATTAGCTTTAAAATATCTAACATATTAAATAATGGGAAGATACACATATATAAAAATGGCAGACAGGATTCAGGTAAAGTTTAAATACACTAAACAAATCAGTATGTTCAGAGCATAATCCATTAAGTGATTACATGGTATTTTAGGTGAAGAATTACTCAATTTGCAGGCTTAAATAACTGAAGATGGAAAGTTGTACAAATTTCGTGTTTTGGGAAAAAAATTCTCATTCAAAACTCATCTGGACAAGACTGTGGAAGTCTATAAAAGTCTTCCAAGAAACTGGAAACAAACTATCAAAGTTAATCATGTAATTGAACAAAGCAATTCAAAGCTTGTTAGTGAGATTATATATAAATATTTCTATTGCTACCTGAATCCTCTCTCCACACGACTCAACAAATTCATGAAATAAGCACTGCACATGCAGGAGCCTCTACCAGGGTGACTGTTTCTTAGCAAAGAGCACACAAATTCAGATCTGAGGGGCTAGTTTTAAGGGACAAAACCACCATCCACTTGCCAAGGTAGCCCTAAACATAAATGGAAAAACAGGGTTGAATACTTCATAAAAACCCAAAGCTTGGTTGGTATGTGTGCTGTCACTTAAGTCTACAAGTCTTAATTTAAAAAAAAAAAAAAAGGATTTGGTATCATCGGGTTCTTTCCTTTTCTTAATTGAAACATAGTGGGTCAAGGTTTTGTATTAAAGATTCTCAAGCAGATTAGAGTTAGAAAAGTCTTTAAGTCACTTTACAGGTTAAAGGCCAAGGCCATGAGAAGTGAAAAATTTTGTTCAGAATAACCTAGTGAAACTAAACTTCTCTTTGTTTAATTTCTAACCTAACCAATGCACTTCCCACTGTATCATGTCTTCTCCTCCAGTTTCTACAGTAAGACACAGAGGACCTAAAACAAGGGTCACAGACGCCCAGTTAAAATTCCAACCCCAGTGTCAGGCTGTCCCTGATGCCTTGAGCCGACATTTCTCCTCCTCTCTCTGTTTTTTTTTTCCTATACAAAAATCCCTCTGATTTGCCTCATTTTATTTTACACAGGTATATCTGGAAAAAAAATGTGATTAAAAGTACTTCTTACAGAATACAGTAAATAAAAGGAATGTACAAATACTTAGAAATTATTCAATGGTGTTAAGAGTCAAAATATACCTAAAAATAAAATCACAGGGTGCTGAATATGATCTTTCTTTAATGATTCAGACACTACTTCAGGACTCTAAGCTACCCACAAAATGGTCCTGGTAACAATGAATTACTATTTTTCTGGCAAAGCACAGGTGAGCTGATTGACAGCCACTAATGGATGGGCAACAAATTTTCAAGTCACAGAATCTGCTGTATTTAAAATGCTTAGTTTACATACCATTGGCCAAACAGACAAAATCTACCAGTGCCAACAGAATCCTGTTATCGTCCCAAGTGCTGTGCCATAGAACTTTCAAAAAAGCAATGTACAAATACATAAGAACAAACAAATAAAAAACTTCATTTGATCCAGAAGGGTCAGTAATGATACTAAAGTCGGGAGAAACATGTAATTTAGAATTTTTCTCATTAAAATTCTTTTAAAAATTTACTAACAATGGAAAATTTGAGAAGCATGAATTAAGCCCATTTCATTTTGAAAAAGTAGAATCAAGTCTAACTTAAAATTGTCATAATTTTAAAAAATTTACAGATGCAAATTTTATAGATCTTACTCTCTGCGTAACTTTCCTGAGCTGTTATTTCCTTAAAAACAAATGAACAAACAAAATTCACTTCTCTAAAAACTATTCAGGATCTTACTTAGGCAGAACATTTTCATACCTTGAATAAATTCAAATGTTGCCCTAACATAGCTGGTTAATCATAAAGCCAATATAAGCCTGCATTTACTAAAAAGGAAATAAGTGTTCTATTTTGTTATGCCTGCTACTCTCATTCTTATAGAGATTGTGGAATTTAGCTTGCTGCTGACTTCTAAAAATTTATCCACAAAAACACAATTCTTTGACGAAGACCATTCAGCCTTCACTGGCAAAAATGCAATGTACTTCAAATCACGCCATGCCATGTATGCACACAAGTATAATGTACACGCATAGCACACTGTAACACACTCACTGACTCATGAGAATTTCACACTAAGACAAACCTTAAATGGTGTGGGAGCAAAAGGATTAGTTGGGGAACAACGGAAGAGAACTCTACTTGAATTCTGTAATGCCTACAGTAACAGAAAACATAATTCCTTCAGATATAGCATCTTTGATTATCTGTATTACAATAACATGAAAATCCAATGAATATTCATAAAATGCTCCCTGAAAAAAACTGTTAAAAGCTTTTCTCCTTTCACAATCAAATTACAGTATACAAATTCTCTTAAGTTTTTGTTTCATTTTTGGATTTATAATTTCATCAGAATATGACAAATCCAAGTATAGATTTACAATTGTTGAAACAGTTCCCTGCTTCCTGATCAGGCATTTACATGGACATCCTTTATGAATATTCGACAGATTCTCGCACACACACAATTATGTGTGGGCAGATTAACTAAAGAAGAGCTTTGAGGACCACCTTGTATAAGTCTGAGAAGGACTTAATACAAGGTTTTTAGAGAAATTATGTATGAAAGTAGCTTATATGTTTTGCAACTAACAAAAATTTACATATCTGAAAATTCAATTCATACCAAAATATAAGAAGGGCAGTGGACTCACGATTTTCCCTTACTCTTCAGAAGGGCCATCTAATTTCAGCTATAAAAATGAATAGGTTCTGACAAGAAAATGTGCTTAAGAAAGGATTTGCATGCCCACTCCAAACACACAGTTGTTTTCTTTCCTTGCCCAAATTCAGTCAACATTGAACTGGGACAAAGGCACAGTAGCAACAAAGAACAAAACATCAGAAAAAGGCAATGGCAAGACAATGGTCATTATCCAACCTTGTCAGCGTTGAACTGTAGAGAATCAGCAAATGGGTTAGTGCTGCTGAACTTGTACTTAGGGTAAAGGTTGTGCGGCAAGGAAGGCAAAGGGGATTTCTAAAAGGAAACATAAGAGGCGCTGAGCGCAGGAGAAATGTATTTAAAACAACTCCATTATAGGACAGAGTAATTACTGATTTCAATAACTATGTGACATCAGATCCTATCAGATATCATCATTAATAACATCTTATCAAACAGTCTAGAACTAAGTGTTTCCTAGAGCAATGTGAATCCACACTCAAATCTAAATCTGGCCACAAAACACGTCAAGAAGCAAGTCTATCAAACTGGCCCCAAATTTCTTTCATTTTCATTGAATGTTGTCACTATCACCAACAGATAAGCATATATATTTCACCCACTTATATTAACATATGTTCCATGCATATCAGTAAACACGCTTCAATATTAAAAACCATAAATGGTTTTTTATTTATACTTAGAAGCAAATTATGCTGTTTTGGTAAAAAAAATAAATAAATTAGAGTCTATCAGTTGCAGAATGCAAATTAAACATGTGTCTTCTAGTCCACTGGCAATCTTCAGTGTTCTGTTATTTTGTTTCCCAGTTAGGAGTCTCTTTATACCTTGATTAAATTTTAAGGTTGCTTCAATCAATAGTAGTATTTAAACAAGGAAATTAGTAATTTTTAAAGAAATGAACCACTTCCTATAGTGGTGTTCCCTATTCTGCCCACTTTTTGTGGTGCTAGGAACACCACAAAATATAGACAGACAGCTATTTTTAATTTCCTATAAAAGTTCCCATCTTATTGGGGAATTTACGAGGTCTGGGTAATATCTGAAATCCTGCCTTAAGAGTGTTCACATAGGTTTTATGGCTCGCCTGATATATCCTGAGCTTGGACTACTGGTGTTGAATATACATATTACAGGCAGGATGACTGCCAAGGAGAATGTAGCATTTTCATAGTAAAAAAAAGTAATTTCCTTAGCACAATAAATTTTTTTTCACACTACTTTTTCTTTTATTGACTGTATCTTTCAGAGGAAATTGCAGACATTTAAAATTCTGTTTGGCTCTAATTAACTGTTTGTGTTACTTCTCTCTATAAAAAAGCCCTACTGGCGAGCATCGGGAGTAGGAAGAGGTTGTCATGTGACACCACCCTGCCCTCTACAAAGACAACCCTCACTCAGCACTGCTATACTAAAGCTTATGCCACATCACCCTTTCAATCTGCTCTTCCTACAAAGTTTTCTCCTACAGAAGGAAGATGGGCAAAAGAAATGGGCACGCTGACATTTCTGCTCATCTCAACTTTCCCTCTGCTTTTCTATTTAAAATGTCAACTCCTGCTTTACAAAAGGGAAGATCACAAACGCAAAAAAAAAAAAAAAACCATTTATTAAGGTGGAAGAAATGACCAGGCAGAGATTAAAAACACATCCTAGGCAAAATAACTCAATGTTATGGAAGGTAGATTATTTCTAATCCTCATATATGGAATTGTAAGGTTTTACATTTCCTTTATAATTCTGTAGAACAAGATGAATCAGAACAATGACCACAAGAAATGGAATATTTGAAAAGAGCTCCGGTTTTTTTTGTTTGGCTTTGCTTTTTGCTTTTTCAACTTGCAGCTCACTTAGGATTAGAATTTGGCCCTGAAAGGAGAGTATAAAAGTACAGGGTGAGCACAGCACATGAAACAGCAGAACATTCTATTATTAGGGAAGGATTTACAGGAAGAGTATATTTCTCATTAAGAAATCAATGACGAAACTTGTGTTTATAGCTCCAAGGGCTGATAAAAAATAGAAATTTTATTAACTAAGAAGCACAGGGAAGACAAAATCATCATCTGGCCCAAATTAGTGGGGCCCACCCCTTAATATGACAATGTGGTCAGACTGAACTGTGAACTGTCATACTGGTGGAATTATCAGGGTTAGTTCTGGGAAGTTCTAATTCTTGAACAGTTGAAGAGCTAAAAACACTGACTAGTTTTCAGTCTATGTACAAGATTTTCTTGATGCTTTATTATATCCACAAATAAAACATTTACCATTAAGAGACTCTTGTTTGGTCACTAAGTTGTGTCTGACTCTGCAACCGACCCAATGGACTGTAGCCTGCTAGGCCCTTCTGTCCATGGGACTCTCCAGACAAGAATGCTGGACTGGGTTGCTATCTCCTCCTCCAGGGAATCTTTCCAACCCAGGGATGGAACCCATGTCTCCTGCACTGGCAGGCAGATTCTGTACCACTGAGCCACCACGGAAGCCCAAAAAAACTCTGAAGTACTTATGATATTTTTCCCTGTAGATTCCTGGAGACACAATTAATTCCACAGATAAGTAAATTACTGAAAACTAAGTATATCTCATTTTGTTGTACTGTGCTAGGGTGTGCATGCTAAGTTGTATCCAACTTTTGTGACCCCATGAACTATAGCCCGCCAGGCTCTCTTTCCATGGGATTTTTCAGCCACGGATACTGGAGGGCATAGCTGTTTCCTTCTCCAGAGGATCTTCCTAACCCAGGGATCGAACCCACATCTACCTGCATTGCAGGCAAATTCTTTACCCACTACGCTACTGGGGAAGTCCTAAGCCACTGCAGTCATATCCAACTCTTTGCAACCCTATGGACTGAAGGCTGCCAACTGAGCCACCACGGAAGCCCAAAAAAACTCTGAAGTACTTATGATATTTTTCCCTGTAGATTCCTGGAGACACAATTAATTCCACAGATAAGTAAATTACTGAAAACTAAGTATATCTCATTTTGTTGAACTGTGCTAGGGTGTGCATACTAAGTTGTATCCAACTTTTGTGACCCCATGAACTGGAGCCCACCAGGCTCTCTTTCCATGGGATTTTTCAGCCACAGATACTGGAGGGCATAGCTGTTTCCTTCTCCAGAGGATCTTCCTAACCCAGGGATCGAACCCACATCTGCCTGCATTGCAGGCAAATTCTTTACCCACTACGCTACTGGGGAAGTCCTAAGTCACTGCAGTCATATCCAACTCTTTGCAACCCTATGGACTGAAGGCTGCCAGGCTCCTTTGTCCATGGGATTCTCCAGGCAAGAATACTGGAGTGGTTGCCATGCCCTCCTCCAGGAGACCTTCTGGACCCAGCGACTACAGCTGCATCATGTCTTCTGCATTTGCAGGCGGGTGCAGGCGGCACCACCTGGGAAGCCCAATATCTCATTTTAAATACAATTTTTTTTTCTCATTTCCCAAAGCAAAATATTACTGTAGAGGAGGAAAGAGATCTTTCCTGTACCCATCTTAAGACTCTTGGTTGGATCTCTGTAACAAACAACAAATTAATGAGAAAAAAACATGCATACTGATAAGTTCTGTGTGACAAGAGCCTCCACTGGGAAATGAAGACCAGAAGAAATGGTTAAGTCTGAGTGCTTTTATGGGAGGTCTGATGAAGAGTAGAAAGTAGGGGAAAATATGACAGGACAAACAGCATGAGCTACGCAGAGTTAACTGTGGAGAACTTAGCAAAGCCTGTTCATTCAGATTCCTCTCAGGGGTCCTCCTCATCTGGAGGTAAGGATGTGCCTCTCCTAAAGATCTCTCAGGAGAGTCTCATGACTTGCTTCAGGGGAGAAAGGAGAGGTCAGACTCCTTCTAGCACCTGCCTTTTCTCAAACAACTTCTGTTTAAATATTCAGTATGCCAAGGTGTTTTGTTTTAGGGTATCAGGTCCTAAAGCCTGTCACGTATCATGTGACTACACGTCATTCTAAGCAAGATTTATTCTGGAATATTACTATAAATCAGGTGTCATTATACCTCAGATAATAAAACAGGAATATTTTCCAGGTGCATGAGAAAATATCTTCCCAGGACACTAGAAAATGCAACTTAGCACTGAAACAAATATTTGCAGTTTAAAAGTAATCTGAGAATCCGACTCAGCAGTTTGTAGTACTGTCCTAAATGATACAAAAGTTGGAAAGTAAAAATAAAAAAATAAAACCCACCCCCCCACACAAAAAACGGCTTTAACTTAAACAGCCATTTACCAACATCATCATGCTGTGTCTATGTTTAACATAGCAAATGGAAACAAATGAAAGATCTGTAGTTATTTAAACAAACTGAACAGCATTTGAAAAGAATTTAGGATGATCTGGTCCCACCATTTGGCAGATTTTCTTATCTGAATGGATAATTATCACCTAACAATAAATAACTGAATGGTTAAAAACTGCAAATGTGAAGATAACTACTTACATTAGGAACTACTAATTCATTTCAGAGTGAACTCAGACCAGAGCCTCACCTGTCATGATGACCAAAGGAAAAACCAACAAGATAAATGTGGTCCGTTTGTTTCCTGGGGCAGCGAATATTGAAAAGTTTCTTTTACTGATCTCTAAAAACCTTTTCACTACGCTGCTTCCTCCGTAACTTGAAATTGCTATCTTATATTTTTAACTTTAAAAATTAAAATTAAATATATTGTATGAATAAAATTACAGTTTAAATTTCAGATGATCTTTTTCACTTTTCTTACATGTGTTAATATTTTCCTTTTAAAGACAACAAACCCTAAAAGCTAAAAAGCAGTTATTTCAAAAAGAATCAGTATGACAGAGATTCTTATATCCAGAAGTGGACCCTGTATGAGCCTCAGGACTTCTAAGAAACTGCTGAAATGCTACGCTAACTTCTCAGTAAATCTCAAGAACTTTCTAAGGCCCAGTATGTTTAAGAGCTACTGCACAGGGAAAAAAAAAAAAATTTTTTTTTCAACTGAGGCATAAAGAAGATATAGAAAAAATAGTTTAAAACTACTGGCATAATGTTCATCTTTGGCAACCTATCAAATATACAAAGCTTCTCTTGGTATCTTCATCAACAACATGCACTGGATGTGCTTAGACTTCTAAAATATTTTTAAAGCCATTTCACTTGTAATAACCAACAGTAAAATGGATTAATAGGTCTCTGTCCACCAGGGGCTACACAGTGATGGGAGCTATTCAGTGACGGTGGCTGGGAAACAGCAGGTGTGAAATTCTGAGTATATAAATGTACAGCTTAAACAAACAAAAAATCCATCATATGCAAAGCTAATGTCCACTAGGATGGACAGATGCATTAAAGACCATGCACAGGAAATCACAGATTGAATACTAGAAATTCTAAATTTATAAAGAAAATGAACTCTCTCTAGTTTCTCAGAGACCTGACTAGATGTCACAGACTATCAACCTGAATAACTCCACCATATCCTTCTTAACAACTTACATATTTTATGACTATAGTGAAACTAATGATTATCTATCTAGATGCCTATGGGCCACCAGTGAATCCTACTTCTATGTGTTTTCAACAGACTTCAGGTGTCTGTTATACATGGTAGAAGGATTTTCAGGATAACTCAATGGGGAAAAAAAAGCAAAACAAACTTTTTAAAAGTCTCCTGAGATTTCAAGGCTCGATCTCGGGTCCCAGAAACAACTTGGCCCTGGACACGTTAGACACCAGTTGAACACTGTTGGACACGCCTACCGTGCCCTCTGTTTCCGCTTACCCTTGGTCTGTTTACAATGCTCTGTACCACAAAGACTACGGGGCTGCCTGCCTTCCGAATGGCTTCCACAGCTTGTTCATGGCTTGCATCTCTGAGGTCCATGCCATCCACCTGCAATGGAAGGCCTCAGCTTAACATTTTAAGAAGCTATAGAACAACAGAACAATTTGCTGATTTGGAGTTTTGAGAATCCTGGGTGACGCTCCTAAAAGATCTTTTTTAGATTCAAAAATAATTGAGACTACTTGTGAGGCTCCAGAATTTTTCATCTGTCCAGCAGACTTGTGGTCCCTTGTTTTGGACACAGATTTATGTCTCCAAAAATCAACTGAAATAATAATCAACTAGAATGAAGGCTCTGCTTCTGCTTCCCTTACACTGCCCAGTTGTTCCTTTAAATTGACAAATCACATCATCAGAGAAATAATACAAGGGAACTGCCTAGTAGCACTGTTTTCATCATAAAAGTCACTGTACAAATTTGCTTCCCAGTCATCACAGAGCAGTCTGGGAAGTGGGTGTGTGATGCTTTGTGTATTTCTGTTAGGGAAGCCTGAAGTTAAAAACAAAATTCTGATGTACAGAAAAATCAGGTTATGGTAAGGTTCGTTTGGCAAAAGTATCTTTGCAGTAGACATGACACGAGTTGGAAGCCAAGAAATTGTGCTTACTTGTTAGCAAATCTTGTATAAACAGCTTGAGAATGAAACTTATTTTGGAACTTTTTATTGACCACGGCTTGCCTGGGTGATGATCAGCTCAGCTTACGCACTACATGAACAGGAAGGAGAACAGTCTGAAAGGCCAAATGCTAATCCTGCCAGAAAACTACAGGATACTGGTATACTTTTAAAATTTCCAATTACCAGAGAATGATATATACAATAAAAATAGCAAAACCAGAGTAGAAACAATTCTGAAAAATAAAATTATTAGATTTCTGTGAAGAACCTTATCACCTTTAAAATAATTATACACTGTATTTTATTTTAAACTTCTCTCAGGTTGATACTTAGATGAAATAGCAACATCTCTTTCAGTGCATATTAAAAATGGCTTCTAACTTTTTGCAAAATAAAAGTATATATGTTTAGTATATATTTCATTAGTGGGAAAATGTAACAGAAAATTAAATATCTTTGCTCAAGTCCAAAGAACTGTATACTTTTCATGGAATATTTCATAGGTCTCTAGATTCTGAGAGATTCTTAGCAGAGTCATGTTCGAGAATTCCAAGGAGCACAGAGGCCTAAGGCTTTCTTATTTATTGAAAAAGGGCCCTGCACATAATTGCATTCAAGAAACTGCCACTGAGCAGTATTTTAGCACACGGAAAAAATCTTCGTTTCAATTTCAAAGGGGTGTTTAACTCTACTGATACATTAAAACAACATTTTGGTGCAAAGTATGATTAATCATTTCTCAAAATAATTATAAACATTCCTTAATTTTTCTACTTAGGTCAAAAGTATTCAGTAGTCAAGTACTCATAAAATAAATTGCCTTGGACAAACAAATTAGAAATTTCATGTAGTACTCTAATGAAGAAAGAATTCTTTAACATGGGGCTAAGGTATCATTTAATGAAGAGCAAAGACATAGGAAGAGAGAGAAAAAAAACCCATCATTCTTCCTTATAAACGGTCAGAAGAAGAAAAGGAAACAGCAAACAGAGCCCTTGCTTTCTCTCAAGTCTCAATCTTCTGTCAGTTCCCAGTGTACATATACTTTAAACAATAGATCAACGCCCACAATGTTCACGTTGTGGCTGATTTTACCACCTCCCTCTACACAATTAAGGCATCTCACTGTGTAAGTTATATGGACTTAGAAAATGAGAGACAATCACTTGTACAAAGTAAAAATAATGGTTGCTATAGTAACAAAGTGATCAGTTGATTTTTGTTTGGAAGTTGTCTCTCTTAATTGACTCTCTACCTCCTGACAACCCAGCAAATCTGGGTCAGGATTTGCTGACCTTCCTCTACACATTTACTAAAACTATGCTTATGTTAATCAAATAGTTCATCACACTATTCTGAAGTGACCTGATTACTTGTCAGGTCTGTTCCACTTGACAGGCAGGCTGGATGTTTTATTTACTGTGGGATGCGCAGAGCCTGTTATAGCACCTGGAATGCAACAGTTGCTCTAGGAATACCTGTTGAGTAAATGATGAGTGACTTGTGAGAAGAGTAGATATAAAATATTAAACTTGGCTTTGAATGAAGGGATTAGATACAATTTGACCAAATGCTTCTCTCTCACATGTAACGAAATGTGCACATACATGCACATACATACCAATGCACATGTGCACACTCATACACACAGCCCTTGGTGATGAGTGGGGAATGGGCAAAGCAATGATATGCAGGAAAAGCCAAATGGGTTCGTGGGGGTGGTGGGGAGACCTTTCTATAAAAGGTAATGAGGATATTAGCATAAAAATCTTTACCAAGAAGACTCATTTAAAAAAATCTTATCCAACAACATTTAGGTATTTCCTGAAATAAAGTCTCATCTGAGTGTTCAACTGTGATGTATATATTTTGTGTGTGTACACATACTTTAAACAATTTCATCATTCCCCAAGAAATCTGCTTTGTTTTTTTAACTGAACTTAGTAATTTATCTCAGCACAAACATTTTTTAAAACAGTTGGTTATACCTCCAAACACCTATGAATATATATATAATTTGTCATCATATGCTGAAGATAAAAATTATGGATGAAAACAAAGAAATAAGAAAGAAATTCTTTAACAACAAACATATTTTACTCGAGTGTTGAGTCAGTGCAAAGATGATGATTCCCTTGGTAAAGAGGATGGCCCAGGTGAGTAATTTTAGCACAGAAAGCTAAGTGGAGGGTACCTCTACTATTCTATCTCCAGGTTTCAGGGTTCCATTTTTGCCAGCTGGACTATCTTCAAGAACATGTTTGATGAAAATGCCCCTCATCACTTCACCATTGCTTAGACGACTCCCCATCCCTCGTCCACCAACAATGCTGATGCCCAAGGATTTGCTTGGTTCTCGCCAAAGTTCAACCCTATAAAAAATAAAGAAAATTTTAAAGTCTCATAAGAAAGTACAAGGAGAAAGCCTCATAAAGTTGGGTTTGGCAATGATTTCTTGGCTATAACACCAAAAGCACAGGCAGCAAATTAAAAACGGACAAATTGGGCGTCAGCAAAAGTAAAAGCTTTTTTTCATCGAAAAGTACTATCAAATGAGTAAAATAGCAACCCAAAGAAAGGGAAAATATTTGCAAACCACAAATCTGATAAGGGATGAACATCCAGAATATACATAGAACCCCTAAAACTCAATGATAACGACAAAAGAAAACAATCAAAATTGGGCAAAGAACTTGACTAGATATTTCCCTGGGGACGAAAGACTATAAGCACATAAAAAGATGCGCAGTATCACTAACCATTAGGTGAATCAACACTGCTCTGAGCCCACGTGCTGCCACTACTGAAGCCCGTGCACCTCTAGTCCATGCTCTGCAACAACAGAAGCCACTGCAAGGAGAAGCCCACACACCGCATCTGGCGAGCAGCCCCCACCTGCTGCAACGAGACAAAGCCCATGCGCAGCAATGAAGACCCAGGGCAACAACAAAAAACTACTAAGAAATACCCCCTCACACTCAGTAAGGTGGCTAATGCAAAAAAAAAAAAAAGAAAAGAAGTTGGGCAGGGAGAAATTGTACAAATTATGGAGAAATTAGGAGCATTGTGCACTGTTGGTACCCATGTGAAATGTTACAGTTGCTATGGAAAAAGAGTATAGAAATTCCTCAAAATAAAAACAGAATTAACATATGATCTGGCAATTCCACTCCTGGGTACATACCCAAAAGACTTCAAAGCAAGGTCTTGAAGACATACATGTATAGTATGTTCACAGAAATATTCATAATAATAAAATATTATTCACAAGCCAAAAGGTAGAAGCAACTCAAGTGCCAATGAATAGATGAATGAATCAACAAAAGGCATATAAATACTAAGGAATAATATTCAGCCTTAAAAAGGAAGGAAATTCTGATACATGCTAAGACATAGATCATCTTTGAGAACACGATGCTAAATGAAATAAAGGACAAATCCTATATGATTCCACTTATACAATGTACCTAGAATAGTCAAATTCACAGAGACTAATGGAGAACAGTGGTTGCTAGATGATGCAGGGAGGAGGAAATAAGAGGTTACTATTTAGTGGGTAGAGAGTGTCAGTTTCTCAAGATCAAAAAAGTTCCAGAGGTGGATGGAGGTGATGGTTACAAAGCAACGTGAACACACTTTATGCCACTAACCTACAAGATTAAAAGTGGTTCAAATGGTTAAAAACAATAATAATACTAAAAACATTTTTAAAAATTCAAAGGAATAAGATGTAAGTTTTGTAAATATTATTTGCTCAATTTGTTAAGGTTTTACCAATAGTAAGACAAAATCACTATAAATTACTTTTCCAATTAAGTGTTTTACAAGGTCTGATAAATACTATTAATAATATATTTCTGAAACTGATTTGTTACAAGTTAATATTAGGCTCATACTCCAGGCTGTGGCACAAATGAATATAAAAGGACCACTTTCCAGGGGCTCTAATACTGCAGACATTAAAAAATTCAGCTACTCTCAAACAGATGGTAGCTTCTAAGCTTAGCAACCCAGTTAACAGAGTGAACATTCCTGTATATACTGATTGAGAAGCTTACCTCTGCAACAGTCTGCCTTGCCAACACAGACCTAGAAACGAACAGTTGGGGCATGAAGAGTGGTTGCTAACACAGTCCTCCGTGATCCGAGCCCGTCGCCATCTCCATCACATCCTCCTCAGCTCTCCACTCTCCTCTTTCCCCTCCAGCTACCACACCCTCTTGCAGTTGCTGAGCTTCATCTCCCACCCTGGGGCCTTGGCGCTTGCTACTGCCTCTGCCCTAAATGTACTTCCTCCACCCACATAATAAGCACATGAACTCATACCTAATACCTGTAGAGAGCGGTCAGAACCATGGATGAACTGAAAGCACATGTCTTATGAAAAGGCCAGGATACAAGAATAAGGTGATTAGCAGCGAGGTGTTTGGCCAAGATGTAGGGGCTCAGATGACTGGAAGCAAACAGGGATACCAAGTAGAAAGTTCGAAGACAGGTAATTAGACTCTGCATTCTACTCTAAGTTGCAGGAAGGGAGGCGATGCTGGACATCAGACAGGAGAAGAAAGCATGGTCCCGCATACCCTCAACCTTGACGTGCTCCCAAAGGAAACGAAAGGCTGGAGGTAAGACTCCCGGGTGCTGAGGGAGGTCCTGGTAAGAAAAAACTGGGGTAAAAAAGCACCACAGTGAAGTGAGAGGAGGGACAACTGGTCACAGGAGGCAGGTGAGGAAATACTTCTTTGCTCTGGTCAGCACTTTTTTCCTTTATTAGAAATCTAAGACCTAGAGGTCTGTGGTTTAGTTTAAAGGGATCTCACTATGATTCTTCATCTTAGCAAATCTGTGAGAAAAGCTAGTTAAAATTCTTTTCATCACTTTCTTTCATTCTAGGAATTCTGTGAAAGACAAGAAGCAATTTCTTCCGATTTCTAAGGTAAAACGGCAAAGTAGTAAAGTCAGTAGAGCCAGCCACTGTCTTTAATACTTAAGAATCCAGAATATATAGGTGGGACTCATTCCCTCTTCTTTTAAAAATGAAAAAAAATAAAAGCATGAGAGAAAATGACTCATAGATTCTTAGTAGTTGATATATGTTAGAGAATGGTTCTCATGATTCTCTGAACACTAAAAATGGCAGTCGCAGCGAAAACTCATCAAGGGCTTATGTACTCAGCCTTATTCCCCAAGTAAGTTCCATATACTTTGATTTTATTTTCAAGTCACTCCTGTGAGGTGGATGCTCTTGTCTCTGTGTTTTACAAAAGGAAGAGGCACAGAGGTTAACCAGCCTTTGGATACCAGTACCCCGTGCCTCCTCAGGATGTAGCATAGACAGCAAAGCTGGTATTAGATCCAGTCTTAAGAGGAAATGCTCTAAGTCTTCAAAACATCAGAGCAGATAACCAAAAACAGAGCTGCCAAAATGACCCCAGCACTGAGGAACCAACCCAGGATTCGGGAAGCAGAACACGATCAACATTCCATGTTAAGAAGAAAATAGCAAGAAAAAAGAAAGAAAGTGAAGTCGCTCAGTCGTGTCTGACTCTCTGCGACCCCATGGACTGTAGCTTACCAGGTTCCTCCCTCCATGGGATTCTCCAGGCAAGAGTACTGGAGTGGGTTGCCAAAGAAAATAAGAAACCCATAAAAGAAAAATTGTACAGAACATGTGCAGAGCTGGTTTTACAGAAAATATCAGCCTTTCTGGAGAACACAGATTCTCACAAAGTGAAATGAATAAAATCAAGGTAAAATAGAGCTCTTAGGTCAGGTTGCCTGAACTCTGAACCAAGAGTTTCTGGGCTCAATTCCTGCCCTTCTGCTACTTAACAACGGAGTGACCCTCTTTTACTCCCTTAGTCTCTCTTTTCCTTTCCTCAGCTGGAAAATGGATCAAACAAGAGCCCCAACATCAGAGAGTTGCTGTGAGGATTAAATTCATGAATGTATGTCATGGGCAAAACAGTTTTACAACTTAGTAAAGCAATCAATAAATCTGATTACTCTTATGATGATGATGATAACTATGATTACTGACGTAATGTCAACAAGGTATAATACTCAACTCATACGACAAATGAACAAACCTGTATACCAGCACCTCAATCTGTCATGCTTACACATTGTTTGCTAAGAGTAACTGGGCTCAATGTACCATATTCTACCCACTGGGTTGATAAAAGCATTTTTAAAGGTGATCATATGATGTGGTAACAAAGATATGGGGAGGGGGAGCTCTCATATGTTGGAAATAAAAGTAAAAATTGGTACAGCCACCTTAAAAAGCAATTTGACAACTTCTAGTAAATAACAGAATTAAATCTACAAGTCAGCAATTTCCCTTTGGAATACATATCTAGACAAATTCTCCAAATGTGTAAGAAAATAAACTTAGACTGCACAGGATTATTATAATAATTAACTGTTAACTATTCAAATATCAATCTGACAATAAACTGAGCTATATTCATATACTGAAAGGCACTGCCACAAGTAAACTGAATGAATTAGATATGTTTGTATCCACACGATAGTGTACAGAGACATTCATTTAAGAGTAAGCAAGCTGGAAAATGATACATACAGTATGATATAATCCTGCACATGAAAATCACATGCAAAATAAAAGTGTAACACAGGTTATTTACAAATTTTTCTTGACTGCATGAAAGAATGTCCAGCAGGTTTCTAATGCTGCAAAGCATATTCATGACCCTTGCTCCTTATTTACTAAAAGCTCTAATTGTTTTGGTAAGCTTCCTCATGAACTTCTATGAACTACTCCCCTAAAAAAAATTTGAGGGAGTCCATATGGTTAGTGAGAGCAGATTATCTTCTTTAAGATTTACAGAATCTGTAGACATACTCTCTCAGTAAACTAGTTACCACCATTAGAGACATCACTTAGCGTGATGTGAAGGTTAAAATTGAGAATAAAAGTATAAAAATCTTCTGGTCCAGAAGTTGTACCTAATTTCTCTTCATAAGAAAATTTCATAATGATTCCTGTGCTCAACATTTTTCACCTGCTCTGGTATGAATAATAATGAAGAAGACGCTGATGACTGCTGAGACCAACCGCTGACTGAGTCTTCACTGTGTACCAAGCGTTGTACTAAGGACTTTAAGTGCATTATGGTATTAAATTCTCTACCAAATGTTAAAGTACTTTTTTAATTTTTAAATTAAAAATGTAATTACTCTTTCAAAAATGTTTTATTTAAGTGAAGTATAGTGACACAGTACAGTGATTCAGTATTTTTACAGATTAACTCCATTAGATATTATTACAAGATTATGGCCATAATTCCCTGTGCTATACAGTATGTCTGTGTTACTTATTATTTTACACATAGTAGTTTATATCTCTTAATCTCTCATCCCTAATTTGTCTCTCCTGCCTTTTCTCTCCTCTTTGGTAACCACTAATTCGTTTTCTATATCTGTGAGTCTGTCTCTGTCTTGTATATACATTAGTTTATTTTTTAGAGCCCACATATATGTGACAAAATACAGGGTTTCTCTATCTCACTTATTTCACCCTGCAAAATAGCCTCTAGGTCTATCCATGATGCTGCCAATGGAAGAATATTACTATTTTATGACTGAGTAATAATATTCCATTGTATGTGTGTGTGTATATACATATATTTCCATCTAGTATTTATAATTCCATCTATATTTATAATTCCATCTAACTTACTTCTGCCTCTATCTTCAAATAAACAAAAAACCTAACATCTTATAACTGGAGTAGGAAATGGCAACCTACTCCAGTATTCTTGCCTGGAAAATTCCATGGACAGAGGAGCCTGGCAGGCTACAGTCCACGGGGATGCAAAGAGTTAGACACAACCAAGCGACTGAACATACAACATCTTAAAATATTTTTTCTGCTACAAATCTAGCACTTCTATTCTCAATGTGGGCAATAATGTAGAAAGACTTTGATTTTTTTAAAGCAGTCTGAATAATTTTTTAAAAATTCAAATCAAAAAGTCATTTTATTTGGCTGGAGATGCTGTTTCTTATGAAAGCAACATAAAAGGTTTCCTATACTTTGAACATGATTCAACCTAGAAAATGTTTAAAGGTGATGCAGCCTAAAGTTCATTTATGAGCTAGGCAAATCATCAAACTGTATTACACATCAGAAGAGTAGATATTTTTCTCTCTTGAGAATTTTATTTATTCATTGTAGAATAAATAGTTAATAAATATGTAAAAGGCACCTCTCTGACAGTCAACTTTAAATCTGTTCACAGAAAGTGTCCATTGATTATATTTTACCCTTAATGCAAAATACCTTACATTTTTCTTTCATTATTTTGTGTCTCTCTACACCTTGTCTAAATCAATACATAGTAGCTTCCTTAAAGGCAGGATTTATATCTTATACTTCCCTGTTATTTACAAAACTATCTGCCTCTCATCTTGTCAATAATCAGAACTCAGTAAATTTCTACTAAACTGAATCTTCTACTCAGAACGGGAAAATACACCTTAGTGATATACAGAGGTATATATGAGTAGACTTAGGAAAGTCATCACTCCTATTATAAATGAAATTCATTCTAGAAAGACTATGGATTAGAATAACCACAGCCTATGATAAGATGCTCACACACACATTTTGAATACATGTGTTTGAATATCTACTTTCTACAAATACTGGAAAAATTTCAAGTTAACATTTGGTGGTTTGCTGAAGATAAACTCTACAGAAAATATTCCAACTACCTATGCATAATTTTCCCTAGTCAATTTTATTTAGTCCCTACTATGTGCCAAATCCTCAAGTACATATTAGTGTTAACCCTGTGTGACACAGACAATCTTCTCCACTGTGGCCTAAGAGAAATGGACGGTGAGTGATATTAAACAGCCTGCTCAAAGTCACAGTAGCAAGCTGTAATCTAGTACTGAAACCACCCCTCTCTATCTTTAAACCCTGAGTAGGCAGCAGACAGAAATAGCCCTTACCGCCGAGGCTGATTCCAGTTGCTGTAGGCTGCATTTTGAAGGTCACTTTCTTCCCCCTCTCCTTCTTCTCGCTCGGGTAGCTCCGGGATGTCTCTGGTAAAGAGTCAGACAGTGAGTACTCCGCAATCCTAGTAAAGCCACACAGGCTGTCTTCTAGGTACTTTAGTATTGGTTTGGCTAAAAATACAGAACTGCTTCATATTTTCACCACACTCGGCTAGTAAGTATATAATATTTTACATTAAAGGGAAAATAAAACCTGATTACATAAAATAAAAGCCTCTTTCTGGAATCAATCTACTATACCTGAACTTCCCAGGAGGCACACTGGTAAAGAATCTGCCTGCCAAGACAGATGTGGGTTCGATCCCTCAGTTGGAAAGATCCCCTGGAGAAGGGAATGGCAACCCACTCCAGTATTCTTGCCTGCGAAATCCTTGGACAGAGAAGCCCGGCTGGCGACTGTCCATGGGGTCACAAAGAGTCAGACACAACTGAATGACTGAGTACACAGCACTATAAATGAGTCTTGTCTAGTCTTTTTCTTTCCTAATGAAACATGGACAAAGGAAGGAAGGGAATGAAAAGAATGGGGAAATGCCAGAATTTTTAAGAACAACTATTCAACAGCTATTTCCTAAATTTTTCCCATGTGTGTTATAAACTTGTACAGTCCCACTGGATCCCTGGCCTGACAGAGTTGAACATCAAGTATGCCAGGAATGCAGTATCTCTACCTCCTCAGGATGGACCAATGCTTTCCCTTCACCTTTTGAAGACAGATGGAAACTGCTTATGGTCCAATTCTGCCCATCCAAAGGAGCCAGCCACAGTATTCTTACGGGAAGCAGTTTACAGGCACTTGAGTCCAAGGTCAGTTGTCAATTTCTACAGGAATTCAGATTTTGCCAAATGCCAAGCATGTAACAAAATGTGTCCAATCCCTTAACTGACTATAAATATAACTGTAAAATAATAATCTTGTCCAAAAATATTTGGTTTTTTACCAAAGGTACACTTTGCATCAATAAATGGTATTGTCAGGACAACAAAGAATGGTTAAATCAATTGTGGCATGGTCTTATGCTGTTAAGAAAAATTGGATTTCTAAAGAAATATATTATTCTTAAAATAGAGGAAGCTTTAAAAACTCTAATTCAATAAATACTTGCAGCTGATACTTACAGAAATTGAAAAAAAATCTGAAGATAGCATATGTTCAAGTTATATCCATTCTCCCCCAACAGGAATACTGAACTCTGTCAAATTATATCATCTTCAGACCTTGAGATCAGAAGTCATCTAATCTAATAATCCATCTGTGCTTGAATGCGTTTCCCAACATTTCTGCCAAACAACTGTCCGGGCTCTCCCAGAACGTCTCACTCTTTCTTTGACCTGAAAGTTAGATCTTTGCTTTTCATCTGTCAGAGGGAAATCCACCTGCCTGTGGTTTCTACCTACCGGTCATGTGACAGAATTCTCCTTCTGTAATTGAGGAAGGAGACTCTGGATGAGGCTGGGCTCGCAGAGACTAAGCCTGACTGTGGGACAGGACTGTCAGGAATGGAGCCAAAGATTTTCAAAATGATGTTAAGAAGCTGATTGAGAATGAAATAGTCTGAGTGGATCTCAATCTGCAAGGTGCAAGACAGTGGGGGGAAGCAGAGCCCAACCCTCTGGAAATACCACTGGGGAGAATATGACAGAAAAAGAGGGTACAGAATACAGAGAGGAATGGGAAGAAAGAAAAGGTCCTTCTCTAAAATATCCGGTTATTACCCTAAAGCCCAGGCAGGGGGAGCTGCTCAGATGCAGTTACACAGATCGCATCATAAGCTCCTGGCTTGTGAGCTATAAGATGACAAATACCTGGAGTCTTCTCATACAAAAAGCCCCATTCTCTTCAGATGACTGTCCAATCTTGAACCATTTCACTAACCCAGATACGTTCCTATAAATGTGCTGATTATTCTTTATCCATCTTCAGGCGGGGTTTACAGGACTCAAGCTGTGTGCGCCTCAGCAGAATGAACCTGTTCTGTGTCCCCACACTGACTCAGCCAAGAATCAATTAGACTTCTCGGCACTCATGTTTGATTGTTGAATATCAAGTAAGTTTCTGTCAACTATAACAAGTAACACTCTTAATATGTGCATTAAGATGCCAGAAACTGGCACAAAGTCACACAGTAAAGGAACAGAGATGAGACTTGAACTGGGCCAGTTTACTCTAAAACCTGAGCTCTTAAACTCCATGCTACACTGCCCCATATTTTTATACAGGGCTAGCACAATTCTTTTTTTGGATCCAACGATTAACAACGTGGAGCCCGACCATGTGCATTTAACCTTGATTCTTCCACCCATTAGTTATGAAACTTGAGTAAGTAACTTAATCTCTCTGGTGCTGATTCCTCCTGCATGCTTAAAGAGAAATCTGTTACTCAGTTGTTAATATAACTGAAAAAAATACAGGCCCACAGCTGAAAATGTATTGTGCATTCCTTTCAGGATAGCAATTTGACAATATTTCTCTCCCTGTTCTGAACTCAGCAGCAGCATCAAAATCTAGTTTCTGCCTTTCCTAAGGGAGGAAGACAGGATGCAGACAGTTTTTGTTTTGAGCATCCTTATATGAACAGAAAATACACTTTTTTGCAGGGAAACAGTAATTCACAGCATTGACAGCTCAGGCCCTTTTCCTTTATGTGCTAGGAGAGAACCAACATGCTGAAAGTCGCTTTTTTGTTTTAATATTAACATTGTGAGTGCTTTTAAGGCCTCAGAATTTCATAAGAATATCATGTTATCTTGTCATATTCTCTAATTAAGCCATGTGAAATGGTATTTCAGAGGGACACTGGAATTACTGCATCTAGCTTTTTAATAGGAAGTACCAGGTAGCTGTAATCAATTCATGTCATTAGCCCTAAGATGGAAATTCTAGAGAGAAGCATGGCTGAGCTTTGCAAAGGGTGGAATGAATACTCTTTTTCCCATAAAATTCAAGGGGCCCTTTGGGCCATGACATTCCTTCCCTTTATTAGACACATAACAAACGTTTCCTTCTTTAACACTGTCTGCATAGCTGTAGCCACATACAATTTGCAGAGGGAAGAGTGATGTGATGTTATAATCCCGGCAGAGTCACTGGACACCAGAGTGTTATGGGTTGTTAGAACTTTTGTGAACAGACCTCAGAATGTTTGCAAAGCTATTTCTTCTTTACAGCATGCTTAAGGAGAAATCTGCTACTCAGCTGCTAATGTAACTGGGAAGAAACAGGCCCACAGCTGAAAATGTATAGTGTATTCTTTCCAGAAAAGCAATTTGACATTATTTCTCTCCTTGTGCTAAACTCAGCAGCAACATCAAAATCTAGTTTTTCTCTTTCCTAAGGGAGGAAAAAACGATATTTCCTGTATTATTCAAAGGTCCTCAATACACTGTGTATAAAGAGGCTTTAAAAAGCCAAACATTCTCTTACCTAACCTGTACATACACAAAGACGTTCAGCTCAGCATACTCCAAAAGAGTAGAAATATAACCATTAAAATGTTTGTAAAGTAATTAGCCTCCAACTAAAAAAAAAAAAAAAAAAAAGAATGGTCAAAAAAAAATGTTTGTGAATCTGTATGTATGTTAATGAGTAGTAAATAGTTTGAAAATGTTTATGACAGAGAAAAGTGATACAATGCCATACAAATTGTAGGTTCCAGGGAGTGAGTGAAACCATAGTCATATCTGAGGTAAATTCCCCAAAACTCAGTAAGCTGACAGTGGTATATGGACTGATACAACTGAAGACATTTTAATTTCTTGCTTTGATTTTTCATATTTTCCCCAAATTTCCCACAATATGTGATCACTCTTAAGTACGATGGGTTGCTGTTGTTTGGTTGCTAAGGCACATCCAGCTCTTTTGTGACCCCATGGACTGTTGCCCGCCAGGTTCCTCTGCCCATGGGCCTTCCCAGGCAAGAACACTGGAGCAGGTTGCCATTTCCTTCTCCAGGGGATCTTTCCAACCCAGGGATCGAACTTGCATCTCCTGCTTGGTAGGTGGATTCTTTACCACGGAGCCACTAGGGAAGCCCAGTAATATGGGAAATGGGGGTGATTTTTTTTTTTTATCTTGAAAGAGAGAAAAAGAATTCAGACTTTTTCATCGCGAGGTCTCCCTGACACTGGATTCAAAACTCTTCTTTATAACTTGCTGTATGGATCATTCACATAGCAGACTTACCTGCCAGTGTAGGAAGCAAAAATATCCAGTGCCATTATTCCTCCAGATTGCTGCCCCAAGCTTATTTTGAACTCTTCCAAATATTCTGCAGGTACATAAGTAATTCTGGAACAAAACACAGTCCATGAAAGCAAAGCTCTGCCTGTTGGGAGAATCTTCCAAAATATGAAATAAACTTATTTTGTCCCCTCACCTCTACTTTTTCACACAGCTCATTTAAATCAGCTTACTCAGTAGAGACTCTAAACTTCAAAACAATCAAATAAAAAAAATCAACAGAAATTAAAAATTTAAAGGCTGATGATAATTATCTGTTTACCAATAATCATATCGGGGAGGAAAACAGCATAATATATATTTCCAAATGAGAAGACTAACAGCAAATTTTTTTTTTTTTACATTCAAGAGATCTAGAAATCCTTAGATAAGTAATTTTCAGTAATAACATTTATTTTCTCCAAAGATTTTTGGGTGCCTTAGCAGAAACAAACAGGGTAAACTCTACTAAAACACTGGGCATTCAAAATAACATTCTCCCATAAAACACAAGTAATTGTGGACATTACAAGTACTATCAGTAATCATATCCTAGCTTTATTAAAGTATTAACTCTTCAGTTTGAGTTAAACCATTATCAGTGCATAGAAAGATTCTCTTACTAATATGTAGCAATGTCTATGTTCATTTTGGTTTTAGAGAAAAAGCCTGACACTTGAATGGTCACATACTAATTCAACAAGTGCCGGCTGGCTGAATGCCTATAACATGGAAGGCACTGAGCAAGTTGCTGACTATAGTTATAATGCTTAGAAACGACATCTGAAAATTCAAGTTTACTGCTGTCCTAAGAGGCTACACAATTGATACACCTGTTGAAACAGTCTGTTCCGGATCCTCAAACTAATACATGGTATGGCAAGTGAAAGAAAGGACTTCAAGTCATTTCAGGATATTTGTGGAAAGAAACAAAAGCATGTATCAAAAATGTGCAACACAAAAATCATGAAGACTATTATGCTGGCTAAACATAGCTTACACATGAAGATAATAAGTATCAAAATCTTAGTACTGGAGGGCAAAGATAAAGGCTTACCTTTCATATTATAAAAATATAATATAATAATAGAAGTATACTAATGGCATAATTTATTGAGTGAGGAGGATATATAATATATACTGGTGATTCCATAAAAGGCATTCACTCTGTGAGGTTGCTTAGGTTTGGAGTCAGAGGACAGAGTTCTGTTGCCTCTCTGGAGTGTTCTGGTACGGTAAATCACCCACTAACGGATCTCCACATCCGCAATCACAAAACGATGTCACTTTTGATGAGGCTATTATAAGTCAAGAAGCGCAACACACATGTAAAACCGTGTCCTAACAGAGCCATCAGCCAGCTTGGCCCCCACATCCAATCATTCTGGCAGAAGCCAGCACCCTTATGACACTTTGTGACATTTTCACAACATAATTCAGTGATTTAGGACTAGTGTGGGTGAGAGCTGTATTCTAATTCTGGCCCTACTTTACTTATTCAGCTACAAAAACATTGCTTCCACAGTGTAACAAAAATATATTGAAGAGCAAATCTGCATTTATCCCTTCAAAAATAATGAGTCAAAAATGCAGAACACATTATACTTGGAAAGAAGACTGTCTTTTACACAAAGAAAAATAAATATAAAACATAAATTTGAAAAGTCTATTCAAGAAAATTATTTCTGAATTATATCTGAAAATTATTTCTGAAGGTTCAGTAAAGCTAAAACTCATATAAATAAAACCTTAAGGAAAAAAAAAGCTAGGTGAGGTAAAAAGGCTAGAACACAAGAAAAATAAGAATAATCAGTTCAAAGTATTTAATTTTTTAATTAAATACTAGTTTGGTTGGAGAAGGAAAAGAGGTGTCTATCCGAGACACTGCTGAAAATGAATTCTTCTCTGTGTTTGTTCAAAGGTGTTAAGGTCTACCAAGGGAGACTTTTAGAAATATTTTCCTGATATTTTAGGGGGCAGTGAGAAAGAAAGCAGTGTTCACATATTTAGCCCAATACAGACAGCAAGGGCACTGGAACAAGCATCCCACAGTGCATTAACCCATGCACAGAAATTACAATACACGCCTGGTCACACGGCCATACAAAACCTCCAGACACCAACCAAGAACACCAAAACACACACTGAACTGCATAAACACATTAAAACGGCTTCTCTGAGAGTAGTGTTAAAAATTCTCAAAGGCAAAAACTAACCTTAGGTTATACATGGAGTGCAAGAAAACAGAACAGCATTAGTGATGCTGAAATGTGACAGTTACTAATCCAGAGGTGATCGCCCCCTGACAAAAGAGCTAGAAAGCTTCAGTAGTAGGAAAACATGATTTTCAAATGAGTTCACAAACACCAGTGCAATGTGAAAATGTAACCATCTCATAGCTCTGTTGGAAATACGCTCTTATATAAAGAAGAAAAAAAAAGGAAAATGTATATACACTGAATCTCTCTCTCGATCTAGCCCCACATAGGGATGTTACAAAAGCACGAAGTGGTTTTCACAGACAAGTTGTAACACACAGCCATAATGAGCTTTTGAATCACCGATACTCACACATAAAAGGGGGCTCAATCGTCAGCAGGTGCTGCGGAGAATCTAGAATGTGAAGCATACGCCGCGGCATCTTTTTACAATGGTGTTAACAAATGTCAGTGTCTTGTGCTGAATGTGCGATGCATACATATGTAGTTAAAAGTGGGTGCTCCTGGTTGTTTTTTCCCCTTTCCACAGCCCTCCTATCTACACCTCCCCCAGAAAAGCATCTGCTCTTGACTGGTGTCTATAGCAGTAATTATTAACAAGCACAGAAAAATGTAACTGCAATCAATCTTTTATTCCTTGATCAGGAATTCATCCCACACTTTAGGTTAAGGCAGGTGAATTCAGATTCAGCTTGGTAATTATCTGGCAGATGTTACAAGCAGCTGCCGTGAAGCACAGAACCCTGGCTATTATTACAGAAATATAAGCGCCCCTGGCAAGGTGGAGTGTGAAGTGAGACAGAATGCATTCTGGTGAGGCTTCACATCTGGTTTTCCATAGAAAATAATGAAACCTGGAACTTCAACTGGCTGTTTCTGAACTCTTGAAACACAAATTATCTACCCAGGCATGCACGAAGGCACACACGTTCAGTTCCTAGCCATCGCTATTAAACGGCAAAAAAGAAAGCCAGTTCATTGTCTCAATAAGCAATGCTTTACTAAAACCAATCGGTTATGCAATTGAAACAATTAAAGTACTTTTTTATTAAGTACCTACAATACATTTCCCTACCACTAACCAAGATTAAGCTAGCTTCCTCATGAGAAAACAAAAAGAGGCATGGATGGAGCCTAGATCAAGGCAATGACTTGAACACTTGACTGGCACTTAAAGTCATGGTTTCATTCACAGTAATGAAAGGATTAGACTGTGGGTTTGGGAGAAATCACCCACACAGTTTTCAAAGTAATTTTAAACCTTTTGTTTGTGAAAGCAAGTGAAAGGGAGAAGAAAGGGCCAAAACCACTTCATGCAAAATGTATGGAACATGCTGCTCAGCCCTGGTCAATCTAAATGACTATCTGTTTTATCATCTGACACATTTACTTGAAAAAGGATTCTATTATTCTCATTTCTTTTTATCATTTGCCCAATGAGTCAAAACTATAGCCATGTAAATCACAGCTTTAATAGTATACCTGAGAAGAAATCAAAGTGATTTGTGGGTGTGTTTGTGAGTGTGTGTGTGAGTGTGTGTGTGTGTATGCACCCGTGTGAACTTCTAAGAAAGACTGATTGATAGACTGATTTCCAAAGGAGAGAAGGCTGTAGGATTTTTCTTATTTTTCTTTCAAATATAAGATACTACATTACATTTTGCTTCCTGGGATCTTAAAGCAATTATTTCTGAATCTCGATATTTATGGATTTCTAGATACCCTTTACAGTCGTAATAAACCTGCTGAGGGCATAAATGGGTGAATTCCGGTGCTACACCAGAGGATGGAAAAAAAACAACAAAACAAATCAAAACAAAACAGTACAAGAGAAAAAGATTGTAGCCTGAAAATGTACTGGATAGCTTTTCAGCTCTTCTAGAGGTGACTAGGTACAAGATTTAAGCTAAATCATTGTCACAGTGGTCTTATTTTCTGGCCAGTTTTTAAGTTCTGCGGTACATTTACAACTGAGAGGTAAAGTTAAAACCAAGTACCAATTCTAGCACTCAAGAGTGCCAAAAAATGGACAGGAGACTTGCATTAGGGTTCATGACATAAGACATGCATTATCACACAATAAATCAAATGATCAGTCATGAGGTCATCTGTTTAGATTACCTCTAAAATAAAGAGTCTGCGTGTAGATCCTTATCATTCATCTTTGAAGGAAAAGGAATGGACACTAGCCTGTAAGTGGTGAGGAAAGCACCTAACATTTCTCTTTCATTTACTGTAGGGGCACTGAAATTTTTAATTATCTTCACTCTTACTTGCATGATTAATAAAATAATCACGGGAGTGTCACATGACCTGATGATCTGTTTAATATAAAATAAAAGCCAAAAAGGCATTAAAAATATGAAAGCCCATTAGTGAAATTCCACCCTAAAAATAAAAATCTCCTTTTTATAAGACAACAGAACCCACTCTAAACTAAACAGCATGTATTTTTCTGCTTTTTATCAATGGAAAAATGAAAAACACATTTTAGGTACAATCTTTCTTACCTAAGCTCTACCAATATGTATTTTATAAAATAATAGTACAGAATGCAGTCAGTAAGACCATATTAACACAAAAAAGTCTCCCATACTAGTATTCATCACATCAATTTAAAGTAAACAATCTTTTTTTGAATTCTTATTTTACTACTTTATCCCTTATACATTAAATGCAAATATTCAATTATTAATGATAGAGGGGGAAAAAGGCAAGCTATTACATTCTTGAGGTGTGACAATAAGGTTATGTAGTGATTTTTACGCTGGCTCGAGAAATGTTTAGTGATTTAAAAAACAAACCACATATATGACATGCTTTTAGTACATTATGGGATGATGAGACATTTAAATTCTTCTTCCAACACTAGCCTGCATGAGCTACTATCAGACCATAACAGCATTTCTGTGAATTCTCTTATATGGGTTGAAAAGTAGTTCAACAAAGGGTAAATTATGGGTCAGACTGCTTCTATACAACCTTTTCCATGGCTGACCCCTAAAGAACTTGCTTACTTGGGAGTATTCATACAGATCATTAGGTACTGCAATTTGCTATACTGAGGCCAATCCAAACTTCTATGTAAGTTCCTAAGTGTGGACCATTCTGCTCAATAAAAGAGATCTCATATCTTGTATGAAGATTTTTGTAGAAATCACTGGAAAATTAAATAATGGAAGGCAACATTGTTTTGAAATATTGTTGTTGCTAGGTACCTGTAGGGAATTGGCTCCAGGTGCTTTGGATACCAAAGGCCACAGATGCTCAAATCCCTTTTATATGAAATGCCAGAGTACAGCTGACCCTCTGAATCCACAAGTCTTCCATCTATGGATTAAATCAATCTCGGATGGAAATTTGGATCCAAGGTTGGCTACACCTTAGGATACAAAACCCACAGAGAGCCAACTGCATATTTACTGAAACAAATCTATGCATATTTGGACCTGAGAAATTCAAACCTGTGTTGTTCAAGGGTCAACTGTATTTCAGTACTGTTAGTATTAAGATGTTACTGATTGCAGATATACTTTTCTAAAGTTTACAATCAATGCAATCAATAACTTTTCAGGAATAGTCAAATTCTTCAGTGATTAGTATTGAATATATGATCATTTTTGTATATCAAAAAGAAGTATGCACTGAGAAAAAAATTCTGATTAACAGATTGAAATTCCTTTATTTCCCAAGCCAAACTATGGTCCAAATGATACTTACTTTATGTCAGGCCCAATGAGAGAATGTCTTCTCAACAAGGCTCGTGCCTGGGCATTGGTTAAACTGATAGTAGATTCTTCATTAATGCACAAGATGCAGTCCCCAACAGCAATCCGACCATCTCGACTAATGGCGCCGCCATGAATAATGCTTCGAACAATCACCCCCAAGCCATCTTTATTAGCACTTACTGTCATTCCTATGGAAAAGGAGAAACACATGCTAAATACATGACTTTCATAGTCTCTCACAGCAATAAAAATAAAAACAAAAATAACACAAATGAGACCTAATCAAACTTACAAGCTTTCTGCATACCAAAGGAAACCATCAACAAAAAGACAACTTATGGACTGAAAGAAAATATTTGCAAATGATGCGACCAACAAGAGCTTAATTTCCAAAATATACAAACAGCTCATACAACTATAACAACCAAGAAACCAAAAAATCCATCAAAAAAAGAGCATAAGACCTAAACAGACGTTTCTCCAAAGACATACAGACGGACAACAGGCACGTGAAAAGATCTCAACATTGCTAATTATTTAGAAATGCAAATGAAATGGGTACAATGAGGTACCACTTCATACTGGTCAGAACTGCCATCACTAAAAAGTCTACAAATAACAAAAGCTGAAGGGGATGTGGAGATAAGGGAATCCTCCACACTGATGATAGAAATGCAAATTGGTACAGCCCTTATGGAAAACATTATGAAGATTCCCCCCGCCCCCAAAAAAAACAGAACTGTCATATGATCCAGCAATCCATTCCTAGGTATATATCTGGAAAAAACTGTAACTCAAAAAGATTTACGCACACCATCTATAATACACAGCACACCACTTGCAATAACCAAGACAGAGAAACAACCTAAATGTCCAAAGATAGATGAATGGATAAAGATGAGGTGTGTGTGTGTGTGTGTGTGTATAGACATGTATATATATATATATATATATACATACACATATATGTATATGTATGTACATGTATATACACACATACATACACAAATACATATACACAATGGAATAGTACTCAGCTATAAAAAGAAATTAAATAATGCCATTTGCAGCAGCAAGGATAAAGCGAGAGATCATCATACTAAGTTAAGTCGGAAAGACAAAAACAAATATCATTTGATCCCACTTATATGTGGAATCTAAAATATGACAAAAATTAACTTATTTACAAAAGAAACAGACTCACAGTAAGTACAGACTTGGGGTTGCCAAGGGGCGGGGGGTGGGGCAAGTGGATGTATTGGGAGTTTGGAATTAGTAAATGTAAACTATTATGTACACTTATAACTGAACCACTTTGCTGCAAACTAAAACCTAACACAAAATTGTAAATCAACTATACCTTAATAAAATATTTTTTTAAAAAGCATGACTTTCAAATTCATTTAATTTGAATTTAATAATCTCTACAGATTATATATAAAAGAACAAGAGTAACTTTTTAAGCTTTGGACCATAAAAAAGGCTGAGCACTGAGGAACTGATGCCTTTAAAGTGTGATGTTGCAGAAGATTCTTGAGAGTCCCTTGGACTGCAAGGAGATCAAGCCAGTCAATTCTAAAAGAGACCAATACTGAATATTCACTGGAGGGACTGATGCTGAAGCAGAAGCTTCAATACTTTAGTCACCTGATATGAAGAGCCGACTTATTAGAAAAGACCCTGATGCTGGAAAAGATTGAAGGCAGGAGGAGAAGGGGACGACAGAGGATGAGATGGTTGGATGGCATCACCGACTCAACAGACATGAGCTTGAGCTAGATCTGGGAGATGGTGAAGGACAGGGAAGCCGGGCACACTGCAGTCCATGGGGTTGCAAACAGCTGGACAAGACTGAGCAACTGAACAATGACAACAACACTTTTTAAGCAGTAAAAACAATAAAAAGGAAAGGAAAACATGAGTTTCAAATATTTTTAAAGTCAATTTAGAAATGTTTCTGAGATTTTATCTAAAGACACTCCATGTTAAATATGTTAGAGATGAAACAGGGTCTACACTGTGGAGTGAATGTAGCTTAGCCTATGTGATGTCTCCCCACTTACACAGAAAGTTGAGGGAAAATATTTTGATAGTACCAAATCATTTTTATAATAATAGTTCATCTCTTACATATATGAAAGAATACAGAGCAGGCCTACAAGTAGAAAATCAGTTCTCTAAGAAACTCTACCATTACCTTATTTCTAGATCATTTACTCATTTGGCATATTTACTGTCTGGTTTCTATGTGCTAGATACTATGCTGGTGAACTTGATACAAAGAAGCATACAAAGAGGACACAGATGGTGAAACACACCATGTACTTGGATTGGAAGAATCAATATTGTTAAAATGACTATCCCTGGGTTGAGAAGATCCCTGGGGGAAGGGCATGGCAACCCACTCTAGGATTCATGCCTGGAGAATCCCATGGATAGAGGAGCCTGGTGGGCTATGGTCCTTAGGGTCTCACAGAGTCAGACACAACTGAAGCGACTTAGCACATGCACGCATACTATCTAAAGCAATCTACATATTCAATGCAATCTCTATCAAAGTTGGTTTGGTTCAGTCACTCAGTTATGTCCAACTCTTTGCAACCCATGGACTGCAGCATGCCAGATTTCCCTGTCCTTCAACAACTCCCAGAGCTTCCTCAAACTCATGTCCATCAAGCTGGTGATGCCATCCAACCATCTCATTCTCTGTCGTCCCCTTCTCTCCCTGCCTTCAATCTTTCCCAGCATCAAGGTATTTTCTAATGAGTCAGTTCTTTGCATCAGTTGGCCAAAGTATTGGGAGCTTCAGCTTCAACATCAGTCGTTCCAATGAATATTCAGGACTGATTTCCTTTAGGATTGACTGGTTGGATCTCCTTGTTGTCCAAGTGACTCCCAAGAGTCTTCTCCAACTCCACAGTCAAAAGTATCAATTCGCTGGCACTCAGCTCTCTTAATGGTTCAACTCTCACATCCATACATGACTACTGGAAAAACCATAGCTTTGACTAGACAGACCTTTGTTGGCTAAATAACATCTCTGCTTTTTACTATGCTGTCTAGGTTTGTCATAGCTTTTCTTCCAAGGAGCCAGTGTCTTTTAATTTCATGGCTGCTATCACCATCTGCAGTGATTTTGGAGCCCAAGAAAATAAAGTCTGTCACTGTTTCCACTGTTTCTCCATCTATTTGCCATGAAGTGATGGACCGGATGCCATGATCTTAGTTTTTGGATGTTGAGCTCGCATTCCATTGGTTATTTGGTAGGGATTACATATTCAAGCCAATCCCTATCAAATTACCAATGGCATTTTTCACAGAACTAGAACAAAAAATTTCACAATCTGTATGGAAACACAAAAGACCCCAAAGAGCCAAAACGATCTTAGAAAAATGGGACTGAAGGAATCAACCTTCCTGACTTCGGACTATACTAAAAAGCTACAGTCATCAAGTAAGTATGGTACTGGCACAAAAACACAAATACAAACCAATGATGGAGCAAGATAGAAAGCCGAGAGATAAACTCACGCACCTATGGGAGGCAAGAATATACAGTGGAGAAAAGGTAGCCTCTTCAATAAGTGGTGCTGGGAAAACTGGGCAGCCACATGTAAAAGAATGAAATTAGAATACTCCCTAACACCATACACAAAAATAAACTTAAAATGGATTAAAGACTTAAGTGTAAGGCTAGACACTATGAAACTCTTTGACCCACCTCTTAAGAAAATGAAAATAAAAACAAACAAAAAAAATAGGATTTAATTAAAAGTTTTTTCACAGCAAAGAAAACTTAACAAGATGAAAAGACAGTTTTTAGAATGGGAGAAAATAATTGCAAATGAGAAAACTGACAATAGATTAATCTTCAAAATATATAAGTAGCTCATGCAGCTGAATATCAGAAGAACAAACAACCTAATCAAAAAATGGGCAGAGACCTAAGCAAACATTTCTCCAAAGAAGGCATACAGATGGCCAATAAACACAGGAAAAGATGCTCAATGTTACTCATTATTAGAGAAATGCCAATCAAAACTGTCATGAGGTACCACCTCAGATCAATCAAAATGGCCATCATCAAAAAACCTACAAACAATAAAAGCTGGAGAGGATGTGGAGAAAAGGGAACCCTCTTGCACTGCTATGGGGAATGTAAACTGACACAGCCACTATAACAGTACAGAGATTTCTTTTAAAACTACCCTATAACTGAGCAATCCCACTAATCCTAAGAAATTCACAACTCAAAAAGACACATATACCCCAGTGTTCAATGCAGCACTATTTACAACAGCTGGGATATGGAAGCAAACTAGACGTGCATCCACAGATGAATGGATAAAGGAGTTGAAAGAAGCTGTGGTACATATATAAAATGTAGTTATCACTCAACCATAAAAAGGAAGAAATATGAGTCAGTAGTGAGGTAGACGAACCTAGAACCTGTTATACAGAGTGAGATAAGTCAGAGAAAAACAAACATAGTATATTAAAGCATACATATGGAATCCAGGAAAATGGTACTAATGAACCTATTTGCAGGGAAGGAACAGAGACACAGACATAGAGAATGCACTTGTGGACACAGTGCATGGGATGAACTGAGAAAGTAGCACTGACACACACATACTGCCGTGTGTAAAACAGATAGCTTCTGGGAAGCTGATACATAACACAGGGAGCCCAGCCTGGCATTCTGTGATGACCTGGAGGGGTGGAGTTGGGTGGGGGCTCAAGATGGAGGGGATACATATATCGTTTTGATTCATTACACACACACACACACACACACACACACACACACAGAGTTATGACTGATCCATGATGTTGTAAGGCTGAAACCAACACAACACTCTAAAGGAATTATCCTCCAGGGGATCTTGCCAACCCAAGGATCAAACACGGGTCTCTGGCATCACAGGCACATTCTTTCCCATAGGAGCCACCAGAGAAGTCCAACAAAAATAAATTAAAAATTATTTTTAAAAGCATAACAGAATTATTAAGAAGCTTGTATTCAAGTCTTATCTGCAGGGCCTATCATAGTGCCTAAATCTACAGTAGCCAGCTGAATTAAACTGATATAAACATTAATCTGTTACTGCATTATTTCCAAATCTGAACTTCAATAGCTCCAGATTTCGATATCCACTTGTGCTCTTGACAAGGTCTCTGGATGATTCATAGGAAACAGCCCTAACTGAATTCCCTATTTACTATTCCCTATTCCCTAGTCTCTACCCTCATTTCTCCGTCTGTCCTCCCCATTTTTGTTTACAGCACCACCATACTACTCTTTTTCACTACAGGAGAGTGAAAAACCCGGCTTAAAACTCAACATTCAAAAAACTAAGATGATGGCATCCAGTCCCATCACTTCATGGCAAATAAATGGAGAAACATTGACAGACTTTATTTTCTTGGGCTCCAAAATCACTGCAGATAGTGACTGTAGCCATGAAATTAAAAGACGCTTGCTCTTTGGAAGAAAAGCTATGACAAACCTAGACAGCATATTAAAAAGCAGAGACGTTACTTTGTCAACAAAGGTCCATCTAGTCAAAGCTACAGTTTTTCCAAGTAGTCATGTAGGATGTAAGAGTGGACCATAAAGAAGGCTGAGTGCCGAAGAATTGCTGCTTTTGAACTGTGGTGTTGAAGAAGACTCTTGAGAGTCCCTTGGACTGTAAGGAGATCAAACCAGTCAATCCTAAAGGAAATCAATTCTGAATATTCACTGGAAGGACCGGTGCTGGAGCTTAAGCTCCAATACTTTGGCCATCTGATGCGAAGAGCTGACTCATTAGAAAAGACCCTGATGTTGGAAAAGACTGAAGGCTGGAGAAGAAGTGAACAACAGAGGATGACATTGCTGGATGGCATCACCAACTCAATGGACATGAGTGTGAGCAAGCTCAGGGAGATGGTGAAGGACAGGGAAATCTGGCGTGCTGCAGTCCATGGGGTTGCAGAGTTGGACATGACTGAGCGACTAAACTGAATTGAACTGACTGAAATTTTAAAATTTACATACAATAATATAATTTCATGTAAAATCAAGTACTAAAAGTTCCTTTCAAAACAAGACTATATGATTAAACAATATAAGGAGAGACGTAAGTCGATAACGGTATTCACAAAGTCTTTGAGAGAAGCCACTAACTCATTTTTAGGTTTTTATAAATTTTAAAAGAAAGAAATCCTCTCTAACAGTCATGTCTGACTCTTCGAGGCCCCATGGACTGTTTGCCCACCATGCTCCTCTGTTTATGGAATTCTTCAGGCAAGAATACTGGAGTGGGTTGCCATTCCCTTCTCCAGGGAATCCTCCCGATTCAGGGATCAAACCCAGGTCTCTTGCATCAGAGGCAGATTCTTTAACATCTGAGCCACCAGGGAAGCCCAAATATTAAGTGTAATTATACCACATTACACATGATATTTCAAATATTTTTAAAGAAATGATCCTGATTACAATATGTTCCCAGCCTGATATTTCATGCCTGGAAAGGAGCCACCCAGACTTCTAGTTACCATATGCAGATAGAAACGAGCTATTAATCAAATATACTTTAAAAGATTCTGTTAAGACTCATACAAATGAGTTTTAAGTATATTGTCATTAAGGAAACACCTCTGCTTAACATAAACCAACAAACAAGTTGAGACAATTCTTCAAATGAGGTGGGTTTCTTATGAGCAAAGAGGCTGGCTCTGAAATGTTTCAATAAGCACTCTGGTTTGTCCTAATGCTGCCATGTTAACTACCAAGTCCCACGAGACAACTATAGTTTTAAAAAAAAATGCAAGACTACAAAACACAATTTAACTCAGTGATCCATCCTGGGAATGTCACCCATCATCTTGTTCTCACTGGCACCATACATCCTATAATAAAGCAAGCCACAGACACAGGACAAGTTTTCACAGGCTATGGCCAACATGATCTCTAAATTCTTTCTTAACAGCAGATTTAACTCATGACTCTCCCCGTTATGAAAGCTGTCAGGTCAGGTCAACCATATTAAAAAAAGAGGTTGACATCAGTTAGCTCAGCTTATACTTTCCTTTCACCAAATGATCACTTTTATTTTTCAACAACTTCAAGGTAGTATCTACGGACTGGATTTTGGTTGTAACTTGTAAGATCTCTCAGTTTTGTCCTGAAAGATGTACAGGACAACAGTCCAAGCCATCTACTGCAGAAACAGAGAACTGGTCCCAAATCTGACTTGCAGCACTTCTCGTCAGGGTGGCTTTGGGCAACGGACTTAACCTCACAATGGTCTGCAGTTTACTCATCTAAACAATGCGGATAATGTCCACGTTTGGGGTTATTCAAAGAATATTTTGAGAAGAGCACTTGTAATGTTCCTTTCAAAGTGCTCAATAAAGCACAAAAGAAAAACAGAAGAAAATGCACAGAATATATTTTAAAAGGGATCTCTACTCCAATCCACAAATACATTGCTTTCTAAAGGCTAAATGCAAGCTTGTAATTCAGCTTCAAAATAACGCTTGTTATTACAACAGTGCTAACACAGCCTTTGGGTGACTTAAGGACTCAGGTGTCTTATGTGATGAGCAAAAAATCAGAGACAGAGTCTCGCCTGAGTTCTGGTTCCACCTTGTAAGGGCTGAGTTCTTCCAGAGAAATTCCTGAGTCTTATGTTCCAGTACTTCATCAGTGAAGAAAAGGTAACACTTTCCTTCTTACTGTTTTACCTTTGCTTTTTGCCTTTCAGATTCTAATACAACGTAACTAGCTAATATACAACAGATCTATCAAAAATCGTCAATTAAATTTTTCAAAGGTCATTACACTATGTGTACATATGTGTGCAAATAATAGCGCCCCACCAACTAAATGTAACAAATGTCGCCACTCCTTCGGCTTCAACTCTTACCTTGCCCCTCACTGTGCCACGCTCATCCACACCAAACTCAGGGATGCTTCACAATTCTCTGCCTCGGCTCTAGCAGCTTCCAATGCTTCCAGTGCCTCAACTAGGTGGTAAAATCTATTTCTTTTTCCAGCATGAAATCAAACATCTTCTGTTCTTTGATATCTTTCTAAATTCCTCCAAACTCGGAGAGGAGGGCTTGCTACTCCTTCATTTAAGCCTTCAGTGTTCTCTGTGTGAATGTCACTCATAGCAGGTATGATATGTTAATGCAATGAGGGTCCTGTAAGTCGGTCAGTCTAACTCTCTTAAACTCATGCTCCTTGAAGAAAACAATTATATCCTGGTGTCTAGAATAGTGGCCAGAATACAGAAATAATGTTTGAAGGTTGAGTGAATACATAAGCTAGAAAAGGGTTTCTCATACAGGCTCTGCAAAATTTCTGTCTTATGAGTTAATTTTAAAAATGGGTTCTGTGGCCAATGATGTGTGAGAAATGCTGCATTTTGGAACATGTTCTTACAGATACACAAGGCACAAGTGCAAAGCTACTGAGCGATGCGAACAGAAACACCTGTCTCCTTAAGTTTATCACATCCCAAACTTGGAACCCAAGTGTAACTCCCGTTAACATCCTACAGAACTAGTGTTCCAAGTAACATGCTCTCACAAACACTGCATTAGCAGATGAAATACTTGTCACAGTTAGCTGTCTACAGCACATATCCCATAACTAATGATTAGAGAAAGTTCTGTAGCTTAAGTTTCGTATCATTCTATTAAATATAATATATAAGAGATATTATAACCAGTGAGAAACTCCCTGCTACAATTCTCCTTTTAGCTACTGTTGGGAGGACCCAGCCACCACCAAACGGAACAAAATCTAGGAGACAGATTGGAATCCCAATCACCAGCCTCAGTGGTGTCGCTGCTCAACTCGTCTGCCAAGTCCCAAATACAACAAGGAAACCAAATCCCACCATAGATACCAACATAAAGGGTACTGGCCGGTTACATCCTAAGAGAAAGAAGACCTCTGACACAGAGCTAACCACACAGTCTTAGACTGCCATCAGGCTTCTGGGGGAAATGATTCCTGACCCTATTTTCAGTCCTGAGCACCAAACAACAGAGCTGAATCATGTCACTGCCTAAGTCAAAAGAAGTATAAATGTGAGCTGCCTTGAAATAATTTTAGCTAGTGTAATTACGATTTTATTTCTACAGGCAGTCTTCTTTGCCCAGATCAGAAGACTTGAGATTTTTAACCAGTCACGATCTTTTATGGGTGGAAAACCCTCACACCTGGGAAGGACTGTTGAAGAATTGCATTAATGCTTTGGTAATGGCACAGCTGACGGTCTTTGTAGTCTTTATTTCAGTGAATGAAAGAAATTAAATACAAACTAATGCATGCATAACTGGTACCATTCAAAGAAATTAATAATTTACTTTTCCAAATAATTTAGAATTCCAAGTTGCTGACTTCTCATTTCCTAAGAATTCCTTTCCTGACTTTCTGTCTCATACACAATTTGTATATCTTTCACTTGAATGGAAATGAGGCTTGTGAATATTTTTAGATAATTAATAAGACAGTGAGGGATTTAAGGTAGTCTGAAGTAAACCTGTTAACCATTTCAGATAATAGTGAGTACAAAAAGAATTAACATTAAAACTATGGTAAATTTTATCACATCTATTTTCTTATCTACAGTTAAAAGTATTGACTCTATGTTCAACATTTCGTCTTGGCAAGGGGGTTAGGACGGAAGGGGTATGTGGAAAAGAAACTCACCTAAGCTGGAATTGCCTTTTGCTATTGCAATAGTCCTCTCGAAAGATTCTCTGGGTGCATTTTGGAGCATGACGCACTCAGCAGCAGAGGCCAGGGAACCTTGAGGAATTAAGAACTTGGAGCTCTGTCAGAAAATAAAAATAAGTCACGTGGAAAGGAAAACTAGACTTTGGAGTATGATTTCAACATCACCCGTATTCTCGAGCTGGTTGGGCTTTACTCAGCAAGTACTTACACAACAAGTTCATAGGTTGTCTTTTGAAAATGTGAGCCTTAGAAGAGCCCTGGCTCCAAATGGAGAGAGAAGCCAGAGTAATCTAACCCTTCACTGCTCCCAACCTCACCATCACACACAGACTGTATCTTTAGAATGTCACCTTTCCAGTCGAATCAGTCGGCACATGAGAATTCAGCTCTGCACTTGATACAACTTCATTTGGTAGGTGAGACTCAGTCCATGCTCTGATGCTGTCACATTCATAGTGCTGTTCAATAGCATTTGCAGGTGTATAGTCATTCACGGCAAAGCCAGAAGCCGGCCCCATGCTCAAGTCCACTGAAGGCGAACTCTCATCCTGCCTTTGCAAGAGATTTTGGGCATATAGCTCCTCCAAGGACATCTGCAGATCAAGTACTGAATCTGAGGAATTTTCAGTAATATCCTGATGATTAAAAAACAAAAACAAAAATTATGGCCAGAATTCTATCAATGCATTTCCTAAGATCTTAATGAAAAACTGTTTAGTGAAAAGCAAGCACAACATAACTATTACTCAAAAAGTATTAGCAGATGTACAAACTCACTGCTCAGCTTATATGTTGCATATGTTTTTTATAAATATGTATACTCTTCCTGCAAAACATACATCTACTACTGAGTCATACTATAATATACTAGTACTTAAGCTTATTAAGATACAATATTTTGCTATACTCACAAATAAAATTATTCAGAGTTCCATATACATAGGAAAGTAAATAACTTATATTTCTAAATCTCATTTAAAAAGTAGTTCATTTCCAATCTTTCTGAAATTCTTATTCATTCTAAGATTCAGAATATAAAGAATATGACAATGATTGAGAGGTCTCTACTTACAAGAACCTCCAAGAAAAATTATTTGGATAGGGATTTGTAGGTATTTATGTAGTCAAACAGAAAGTCACACCATCCATATTTTTATAGGGAATTTTTTCTTAAGTACTCTGCAAATTGCAGCAGAAGGAAGAGTACTAAGAAAAGTTGTCGTAAGATGTAGATTCCAATCCTGGCTCTTCATTAATAATAACATCAAAGAACTTCTCTTTGTTGTTGTTGACAGTCACTCAGCCGAGTCTGATTCTTTGAGACCCCATGGACTGTAGCATGCCAGGCTTCCCTGTCCATCATCAACTCCCAGAGCTTGCTCAAACTCAAGTCCATAGAGTTGGTGATGCCACCCATCATCTCCTCCTCTGTCGTCCCCTTCTCCTCCTGCCTTCAATCTTTCCTAGCATCAGAGTCTTTTCTAAATAGGTGGGCTCCTCGCATCAGGAGGCCAAAGTATTGGAGCTTCAGCTTCAGCATCAGTCCTTCCAGTGAATGTTCAGGGTTGATTTCCTTTAGGATTGACTGGTTTGATCTCAGCTTTATGTAAAACAATTTCTAGAATTCCATGAAATTCTAAAATTCTACAGCTCTACATAAATATATATTATCTACTTACAACACATATATCACTTCTGTGCTTTGGACAAGTATTGTCCCATGAACTGCTATTGAATAAATGTATCAACTGTTCCTTCAATCCTTTTACTGATGTTTTTAAAGTATAAAATCAGTGTATGAATATATAATCAAAAATCATTCAGACCATACTGCACATAGATTACAGTATGAAAGTCTTCCTTCACTGCTCATTCTGCCACTCCTTTCCTTAGTAGAAATAAATGGCTGGTATTAGTTGGGTGTTTATTCATCAGAGTTTTTTATGTATCTGTATAATATATATGTATAAGTACACATGCATACATATGCATATATTCATATCAATTTTTAAAAATTAAACTAAACACTAAATAGTACATTCCTACTTGATTTTTTGAGGTATCTTTATACCTTAACATGAGAGATTTCCAATGTCAGTAAATATGTCATCATTGACATATTCTGAGTCATTGTGATATATACTATACATATACTGTGATATATATAGACAATTGAGGTTGTCAGTTGTCTTTTTTTCATTTATTTTTATTAGTTGGAGGCTAATTACTTTACAATATTGTACTGGGTTTTGTCATACATTGACATGAATCAGCCATGGATTTACATGTATTCCCCATCCTGATCCCCCCTTCCACCTCCCTCTCTACCCGATCCCTCTGGGTCTTCCCAGTGCACCAGGCCCGAGCACTTGTCTCATGCATCCAACCTGGGCTGGTGATCTGTTTCACCATAGATAATATACATATTTCGATGCTGTTCTCTCAAAATATCCCACCCTTGCCTTCTGTCTTTTAAGTCTTTTATATATATATGACATATATACATACACGTGCAAAAGTTAATGCTTTATGTAATAAAAAATTATGTAATTCTCTATTATTTATGCAATCAGATTGGTCAATTTCTTTATGCTTCTGGTTTTATATGCTGTTTAATAAGTCCTCCTTCTGCATAGAATAAATGAAATACTTTTTAGTATTTTTCTCCAACTTTGTAAATGGTTTGTTTTCAGATATAGTCTTAACCCATCTAGATTTATTTTTCAGAGTTTGGTGTGAGATATGCATCCTTTTCATTTTTTTTTTTTTTCCTAAATTGGCAATCAATGGTTTCAACACAATTTATTACACTTGTCTTGTTCAATTACTTTTCTGTTTCTCTGGAATTATCAAACATTCCTGGTACAAAGAATTGAGGCAAGTGGGAAAATCATGCAAGCAACTATCATCTTCAAAATCCTTAGAAACAAAGGATAGGAAAGTATCATCCTCCACACTCCCAAAACCTAAATAATAACCTGCTGGCTCATATAACCAACATTTAGTCTTACAAAAAAAAAAAAAACACACACAAAGTACTTACTAGAATAGTGGTGAGCTTCTGTATTTCTAAATTAATCATAATAATTAGCAGAGATCATCCTTACCACTCCTCAAATGAAGGTGGCAATCAAAACTACTTTCCACCGGGAAAAGAGGCCAAGTTGCCCTTGTTAGCTGGGGTTCACTATAAACCATGTAACAGAAATCTCCATGCATTATTCATGAAGGAGTTAACACTGACACATATGAGAGAAAGAGCTCATCCACACAGCAGACAACACACGCCTACTTCAGAAACATTTCTGGTTGCTGAACAACAACTGAGTTTTATTTTTAAAAGTCTCATGGATCTAAAAGAAAAGCAGTTCTTCCCTCGTAAGATGTCCAAAAATAACCACGATTTCCCAGTACAACTTGGTATCTAAACTGGAATCTTTCAAAATTCCACCTGAATAGGTTCCTCCACTTGACACATTTATGTTCTTAGGGAAAATAGGGGGAAGGTTAAATGAAAATGACAATTATACTTGAAAATACACTGTAATGCATATTAATGTTATACTTAGGCACATTATTTACCCAGATAATATATTTACATAGACAAGATAAAAACTTGAGCATTGGGTGGACACAACCTGCTCTTTTTTCAATAATCAGTCTACCACAGAAATCTTTCTATACTTTAGAAGAATATACCAGAAGGACAGCTGCTCCAACTTGCATTGCACCCCCGCTCTTTCTGAGATAAGGCACACTTGCTGTACTATCTATACTCACCCTACTGAGAGAGAAGGTAACACCTCTTGTACCTTTGCTAGCTCACAGTTTTTGTCACTAAGATTTCCACAATCACTCTCATTATCTTGATTATAAGTGATGTAATCAGTTTTTGAGACTAACCCTTTCTCCACAAAATAATAAAAACTGGTATCAAGATTTAAAACATAACTGAGAAGATGGCAATCTTTTATGCTACAGAATGACACCAGTGGAGATTTATTCCTACGAATATGTTGATTTTTTTTTTTTTTTTAAATCATGGAATCCATTGGTTTTGCTTGATCTGTAAGGTATGAAGAGGGGTTTCTATGGTGACAAAGATGAAGTTCAACTTGCACTAGAATCAACCACATTTCCGGGGGACCAACATTCAAGAATGCAGGATATGCACCAAACTGGTAATCTTTTCATCCCTGGAGCAAGAAGAGAGACTATGGGTGCACTAGGGAGTGTGGGGCATGGGCGTGTGGATAAGAAGAAGAGGAGGAAATGCATTACACAGCTACTGAATCTATATTGATTGGACTATAAGTCAAAATAGAGAAAAAGTATCTTCTCCCACAAAACCATATTGAGCTTTAAAACAAAAGTGTACAAGTTACTAAGTTTCTAAAACAATTATTTCTGCATTCGATTATGTCTTTGGAGGTGAGAAGGAAAAGTGGATAAAAATACTCATGAAAAAATTAAAACCTAAAAGAATAAGAAAACCAACTAGCTTCTTGCCTTTTATGTATACCTTTCAGTGACCTGACTCTAGTAATCCAAATACCATGGAAATGGCCATGATTGTCAGATTCTTGAGTAATGTTTTTTCCCCTAAGTCCCTAAATGATTACTAATCAAATTAAGCAAACACAATGCCTTTATTAAAAAAAAAAAAAGCAAAAAGAACCCCCCAAATGGGAGAATTCTGTGCAGAGGAGCTTCAATGTATCCCTACAGTGCTATGCTAAGCAGTGGTCTAGGTCCAGGCCCTGGACCTAGGAAGAAGGCCTCCCTCTATAATAAGACCCTGTTCTGGGTGACCAGCTCTTAGAGCTTCCAGCAGCATGCCTGGCAAAGGGCAGAGCCTTCTCATCAGGGTAAAGAAAACAGGTAAACTTATTTGTGCATTTCCAGTCACCATTTAAGGCTACAAGATTATTACATAATTAGCAAAGTCAAAAATCTGAGGAATCAATGAGATCCTTGCACTCTTTTACCCTTCTTTCAAATCAGTATGGGGGTTTTCTCTTTTTCTTAAAGATCACATGTGATAAGATTTTTTCAATTAAAGAATCCCCAAATGAGCTCACTTTTTTTTTTAAGAAAAATGGTCGGCTCAAAGTTCTGTAACAAATTGTCGCTCTGTCTTTTTAAAATAAATTTAGTGCAAAGAAATAGGAAGATGAATGAATAATCTAACTTTTTCAATTTCCAGCAAAATATCTTAGTACTTATAAAATGCCACAAAACAAATATAAACAAGCCAAAAAAGTGGCAAAGATGCACCACGATACACAAACAGTCCTGCTTTCTAAGAAAACTGAAATTACACAGGAGTTTCACAGTGTGTTTTAAAACACCCTCATTAGTGTCTCCTTTGTTGTTCTGTAGTTTAAATATTTCAGTTGATAGGCCAGCTTGCCAAAATTTGCTTCAACAAAAGAGTAAACTGCCTTGGAGAAAAAAAAAACAAAACAGGCAAACAAACTTCAGTAAGCCAATATGTTGTACTGTGCATAGCCAGCATTTGCCCTGTAAAATATATGCTTCTCAGTATGCACATTGTGTAATCCCGTTAAGTAACAATTACCAAGTTAAACAATGCAATATGTCCCACTGGCAAGGAGGAGTGTGCTATGCAGCAGATTAGAAGATGCCATTAGGAGATGAACTCAGTTTCCAGCCCTGGGGCCAAAAAAGAAGGAATATGCCCCAGACAGGACTCAGATATGCCCCAGAGAGTCTCAGGTGTTGTGAGAGAGGAGCAGCTGCTCCATTCAAGATTATACCTTACAAACCAATTCAAGGAGATTGCCCAGCATCATTTGCAAGGATAACAGGTGCACCTTGAACATAAGAGAAAATGCTTTGAAAATGTTCTGGCCAAAAAAATTCCTGTTAATCAGAAAAGGAGGAAAATTGCCTAAGGCCTATCGAAATTCTACTTTCCAACCAACTTATAAATACAGATTCTCTTCCTACTGAATTTATGTGGAAAATATATATTTCACATATTTAAAAAAGAATTATTATCCAATCTTTTACTGAATTGATTATGTTTATTTACAGTATATTTCCAACATGGAAAAATAAGGAAAATATACCCTTATATGAACCTTTTGCCCAGATTAAACATACAGTAATATTTTGGCATATTTTCTTCAATTTCTCTTTCTTCTTAAAAGGATATAACGTACCAATATTACAGATACAACCAACTTCCCATGCTCTTTTTTTCTCCAAGAATAACTTCTTTCCTGAAGTTTAAAGGAATCATTCCTACACATTTTCAGATTTTCAAAATATACACACTCACATACACACTCATAAGTAAGTATACACTGAACTGCTCTGCTTATTAAATTTCTAGGAAATATAAACGAGTCCAAGAAATCAATAGAAAGACAAGCAACTCCACTATAAAATGACCAAAAGATATGAAGATGCCATTGATGGATATGAAAACCAGATGGCCAATATATGAAAACCTGTTCCACTTCATAAGCAATCAGAAATCGAAATTGAAACAGTGATATATCATCTCACACACAAAAGACTGAATAAACTTTATAAAATGTTACTTATTAAAAATTATAGAATAAAATTAAATAAAGGAAAAAAAAATTATAGAGTGTGTCACCAAGAAAATGAATAGAGTTGGGTGAGGCACTTATACCAGTAACCTATTTCGAAAATGTCAATGACAGACACATCATACAGTGGCTAAATTCTTCGTTCACTCGCAGTGACTTAGACTTTCTCTGCCATTCACTGTGGTTTTTATGTATTCTTTGGTATTATTTTATATAAAAATAAATGACAGCATTAAGTTCAACTTAGATAATAAGTATTAAACTAATGCAAGGACTATTTTGCTATCCAACTTTCCACCATCCAACTATCCAACTTTAAATTTATATTTAAATTTAATATAAATATATTTATATATTAATATTATATTTATATATATTAAAATAATATGAATATAAATTTAATATCCAATTTATCCAACACGACTATCCAACTTTAAAACCATTCAGAAAATAAAGTTACTCTTGTAATTTTTCCGAAGTAGACACTACCAAAAACACAATTTAAGAAATACATTTCATTAAAATTTTTGTCTAATATGCAAATCCTAATCAAAGTTTTGAAATCTCGTATCTATCACACTGTATCACAGAACCCAGATTTAAAGAGTCCCTTGGAGTCAACAAGATATCCAGCTAACACTACCAAAAGGAAACTGCACTTTAATTTAAGAGTGAAGTCATCACTGCATAAACATAAGGTCTTTAACATGCCACTCCCACAAAATTCCATTAGCAATGATCTCTGGGAAGTAAGTTCTCTCATAAATAAAATGGTATTTCCTTTGTACCTTGGGAGGAGAAGATGGAAGGGAGGGACCATAATTCAGGTTATCACTACAAGCACTGCCACGAAGAGGTAAAATAGAGGCTTGAGCGGAGTAGATACTGTCATTATCAGGAGAGCGCTGTGACTCCAAGGCAGACTCATCTGCTAAGTCAGCATCGTTTGCGCTCACCTAGGAATAAAAACAATAATGTCAGATGGGAATTCTGTTCTCAGACTAAAGGGCATACTGGTATCATTCTTTGGTCTATCCTAGTTTCTATTTAAGGACCTATTTAAGGACCTCTTCACTCTCTTCAACACACCAGAAAGGAACTACTGTAACAGAACAAGGACAAACTGGTGCTAGCATAGAGGGTTATTTTGTTTCATCAATGAAAGGGCAAAAGGTAACAACAAAGGGCTTGGAGCAATTCTAAGTTTAAATATTTCTATAATTTAAAAAAATACTTTTTTCCAGTTACCTGGAATTACAAAGTGAAATTATTGTACTGATTGCAATATACACCAAAACTTTCCAAATGGCTGATTCAGGAGCTGGCAATTGAAAAATAACCAAGAAGAACCGTATCCTTCAACAATAGGATTATTAGAATCAAAGCCAGATGTGCACAATTAGTTATAAACACCTAATGGAGAATTTCACGGATTTGAAACCTCTCACTAGTCCAACACCACTAAGGCAAGTATTTAAAATATTCCTTTCTAGTCACATTGAGGAATGCTTCCCAGCCCTCCAGAAAAATTCTAGGTCAGGAACCTAGCTTTAATGGTAAAAGTACTAGGAATAGGATGTGTAATTTTTACACTTGTATAAATGTCATATGCATATTTACATCTGATATTTAGTTTTATACTTTATTAAGTATTAACATAGCACTGGCTCCCCTCTCAGACCATAAGGTTCTCAGGAGCAAGAACCATGTATTCACCCAACAAAGTTGGGCCTCCAGTGGTCCCTAAGTGTAGTTATTACAGTGAATGATTTTATATAGACCAAGTAAAAATAAAATTTTAATGTAAAAGCTTCTGGTAAATCAATAATGCCAACAAACATGTATTCATAGAAAACATGAACATTCCCTCTTTTGGAAGCTTTTGTGCTCTTAATCCATAAGTGAACCAATGTATGTGACTTTCATAGTATTAATATCTAATGAAATAATATAACTGTTACATCATTAAAAGGAAGGTAAAATAACTGTTCTATGAATGAATACTGAAAACAGTTAAAGAGTGCTTAGAGATACTCAAGTACGTATTTAGAGCAAACAGTGCTCTAATAACTTTTGGTATGATGTAAAGATTAATTTTACATGTGGACATAATACACTGCTAACTGAATTTCCCCCACAAATTCAACATTTTTCAGGTATATAATGGCTTGCTTTTCTCATTTTGAACTGTGAGAACTACTGAAGTTGAAAATAAAATGGTAAGTTTTCCAAAAGATAATGAACAAAGAATACAGTAAAACTTCAGAATGTTTTGAAAAAGCAAAAATAAGACATGTAAGATTTTGAAAGAAAGCTTGATAAGCCACGTCGCAACTAACCAGAGCCAAGTCAGCCCTGAAGAGGGCTTTATCAGCCAGCCCTTCCTCCTCGCAGGAATGTGGCAGGTAGAGAAAGGAATCCTCCTTAGCAGAAACATAACCCTCTTCTGGGGACAGCTGCAGGGAGAATGAAATTCAGTGTTTGAGGATGAGTTCAGGAAAAAGAGGGAGAACAGAAAAGAGGGAGGGAAAGGGAAAATAGAGGAGAGGGGAGAAAAAAGCAAGGGGGGGAGGAAAAAATTGGAACATTTTCAAATAATGTTTTCAAGTTATAAAGTCATCATAAACAAATGACTTTAACATAAATGATGAGCAAGAAATAGAATAAATATTCATACTGAACAGTTTTATATTTTAAGACACAATAAGAATGTTTATCCCAATACCAACATCATCCATTAGATGAGAATGCCTTTCTACAAATATCTTCACCCTTCTTACAAAAAGATTATCAACATCAACAATTTTTTACATTATAATAGTCTTCTGGTCACTTCTGGTCACCTACCAAATACTTGAGTTGAACAATGACTTCTAAATACAGAAATAAGGCAACTTTTAGGTGTTAAGACATAGAAGAATCTGCAGAAAAAGAAAACATTAAAAAGGAGGACCAATATCTCTCTGTCATTCCTTACTAGAATATTACTTTAAAGAATGTAATTTCTCTGACAAGGAGAGTCAGTGAACTCTCAATGGAGTCTCTTAATTTAGCATGACTCAAAATACAACCATCACCATCAACTCTATATGTATATAATATACTTACACTGCACTCCTGATTATTTTAAAGAATGTTAATTTCTTTGACAAGGGACGTTAGTAAACTCTCAATGAAGTCTCTTAATTTAGCAAGGCTTAAAATACACCACCAACTCTGTATGTATACAATACACTTATATTGCACTCCTGAGAAGTCAAATTATAACCACGATCACAGTGATGGAAAACCTAGCATTCTTCTTAAATATCAGGAAAAAACAGGCTAAAACATTTAGATTGTCTTGCCTATATCACCCTGTATCATCAATATGTGCAAAAGTATTTCAGAGAAAAAAAAATGTTTATCTTCTTTGCCTACACATGAGTCTAATTTTTAGTAAAACTGACTTCATATAAATGAGATTTATCACAATTGCAATGCATATTCAATTTGAAATACTAAATACTCATATGAAAGAAACCTATTTTGGAACCAGCTAGGGAAGAAAAAAGATTTCTTCAGAGTTAAGTGGCACAATTTTCCCTTAAGGGCAGTAAAACACATGTATTGATCATGTTTGCCATTTTCTTTGTGCAACAGAAAGACCAGAACCATATGTATGGTCAATCTTAATAAATATGTAGAGTCCCATAATGCACTATCTTCATTCTTACACTCTTTATACTGAACCCTTGTTCTGATTCCTACAATCCTGGTTTCATTTGAGGTTTGCTTAATATTCTCTTTCTTTTTCCCTTCCTCAAATGAGTGAGACCATCTCTAATATTTCATTGCAATTCAATGATAAGTGCTATGTTGCAATCACTGTACCCAATAATCATACTGACATTATGTAGCATGAATTTATTAGTTGTTTTTATATTGCAGTAATTAATAACATGAATGCTATCCCCTCCCAGGAGGAGAGTTACAGGCGGATGAATCTAAATTAGAAAGTTCAATTTCTTGTACTGCAGTAATTATACAACAAATATTTTGAGGTCAACAGAATACTGGGACTTAATCCACTCTGACAGAGATTCTATTTCTTCCACTATAACTGAAGATTCCACTGTTAGGTGTTGTTATTAATTTCTCTAATACGTCAACTTACTGGTATAGATATTTTAAAGCCTATTTCTTTGAAAAACATTTGTTTTTATATTGATCATGACCTTATTTTTGAATTAAAAAAAGCTAAAAGTAAACCACAGAACATTAACTTTTAAATTTATTTCTGAACTTCCTGGATGTTTCTTTCCTTTATCCTTTTAAAAAATAGTAGAAGTGAAAGTGAAGTCACTCAGTCATGTCCAACTCTTTGCAACCCCGTGGACTATAGCCCACCAGGCTCCTCCGTCCATGGGATTCTCCAGGCAAGAATACTGGAGTGGGTTGCCGTTTCCTTCTCCAGGGGATCTTCCAGACCCAGGGATCGAACCCAGGTCTGCCCACATTGTGGGCAGATGCAGGCAGACGCTTTAACCTCTAACCCACCAGGGAAGCACTCAAAATTAAATTTTTACACTCACGGAGCCAATAACCATGCTGACGAAAAGTATCAAAAATCATGATTCAATCACGAAAATACCTGAAGCAAAAAGGTTGAAAGGCACTTTTATTTGCAAATAAAAAGAAATCAATAAAATCTGAATTCTTACAGGCAGAGGCTTGGCAACTCCTATTCTCACAGTTCCTGATGGTGCACCCTTCAGGGCCTGTACAGCTTCCTCGAGACTGCTGTTTTCCAAGTTAACATCATTGACAAACATGAGTCGATCTCCAGGGAGTAGTCGTCCATCCTTTTCGGCAATTCCACCAGGCACCAAAGAACGAATGACGATCACAGTGCTTGCTGGATCAATTGGATCCTGACAGGACGAGAAAGCAAAGAGCAGGCAACTTCTTTCTACACTTAAAAATCTTATTATAGGTTGCACTTTCTGCATTGTAATGGATGGGTAAATTTTTCAAAGTGTCTTTTAAAAATTCCATACAACACTTCCAGTGAATTATCTGGGTGAAGGCTATCTCCATTTTAAAGAGTTTAGGAAGAATCCACCCTAAACAATGGCATCCCCACTTTCAATGGTTCCCAAGTTGATCTTTTAAATTTTATAGGTAAATTTAAAATTGTGACTTCAGCTATTGATACACTGGCCAATTTTATAACTATCATCTGAGATTCACGAATTATTAACAGCAGCATTTACTGATAGGCTATTACTATTGTGGAACATCAGTAGATGTGAGTGTTCTGAGGAATGGGCTTGTTTTTGGAATGAAGAAATACAGAAGGAGGCCATATAGTAGTTGATAATGCAGTGTTTTCTGATACACAGCAACCTTAATATTAGTACAAGACTCCAGAACCATGCCTGAGAAAGAATACAGCTCTCTGGAGACATCTGAGACAGCCTTCCAGCTCAGCATTAATTCATGAGGAGCAGGAGCTGCACTCCATCAGACCAGCAGTCGCCTGCCCTCAGTAACCCAGCCCAGAGCCCAGCACAAGGACCCAGGCTACACCTGACCTGACCTCATTCAAGATTATTCATCAAGTTTGGTCAACTAATAAGAACACGAGAATTTACAATATATCCAAAATGATACATCTATCATTCACTTCAGACAAAAGGTAAGTATTTGATAGTTTCTGTCTTACCACTCAAATATGAACCATCTATTAAGAGCAAGGAAATAAAAACAATTTAGGCATATTCCCAAAAGAAACAGAAAAACTGTATTTCTATGATATTCCTATAAAGTATTCTGCATAATCTTCAAATTTCCGAGAGCTGAAATATAAAAGAGCTCAAAAACTCAATGTCAAAAGAAATGTTTTATAATAATAATCTTATTATGAATTATTATTCTGAAAGACTAGAAACAAGAATACATATTTGATGACTCTAAAGTATTATCTACTTTTGCTCTGCCAGTAACAATATGTGTTTAGCGTCTGTTATCTTTTTTTAAAAAAAAAATTGTTAAAAGTAGGATATATTTACCTGGTAATCTAAAATGCTAAAACCAAGTCCTTTGCTCCCTTTCTCCAGCTCTATGTTCTGAACATCAGCTTCCCACATAGCCAAAGGTCCTTGAACTTCCTCTGCATTCTGACCCACATCAGTCATAGTCAGCACAGGATCCTCTGTCTCCGAGCACCCGATGAGTTCACCTAGATCTACGTGAGGCTGGATAAACAGACCAGACAGCTCTTATTTCACATGTACTAGATCCGCAGATGTACATACCAATACTACGAGGAAAAGGGAGATTCCCAGCATCTGTCCAGAATACAGCACTCACATACGAGCAGCAACAGTTTATCAAGAAACCTTTATGAATTAAGGTATCAACTTAGAAATAGCCTAACTTGTAATAGGCACTTAAAATGTATGGTTCAAAGAGCTTCCATAAAAATATATAGTGATTCTATCTTAGCAGCATAATTCTGTGTGATTTTCACCTTTTTCATCAGTGTCTGAATCACATCTGTTGTTAGAAAAAGAAATGTAAAGCTATTTTTGATATTAAAGAAAAAGAATGCTTATGATAAATGAGAACAATTCAAGAGGAAATGGCTGTATGCATAAGTTCTGCATACTGAGCAGACACGGGTTCTAAAATCCTGTGAGTTGTGCACGTGATTATTTCATTAATAAATTAACATACATAGTGGCAAGACGATATCTGAAGACACATTAGCCTTGGCTTGAAGACTTCCTCTATTATTTTTCTTTTATCTCTGTTGCCTTGAGCTGCATTCTTAACCTGGGCTTCACAGTTATCCATCTCAAAGAATTTTTGTGGATAAAGTAAGGTAATATTTAAAAAGCACTTGGCACAAAAATAGGGGTTCAAACATTAGCTTCTTTTAGTCAAATATATTACAGTGAATCTAGATTAATTCAGTTTTGTATATCTCTTGAAAACACTAGATAGGAAAAACATTTTTGATGATGAAATGTTACTTTTAAATGCTGTCTTTGCTTTTTTAACAATTATTGCACAGTAGAACCATGGATGCAAATCTGTCCATCTGCTTTATTGTAATAATCCATTTATACCACATAAAATATATCTGGACACGTATAGTGCTAGACTGATTTCTACAGAATTTGGCTTTATGCTTCTTATTTTCCCCGATTCTTATCACCCACATGACAAGCACTGAGCTGGGGAGGTTATACAAAAGTATCTGACTAGGTATGTACTATATACTCACTACTTTCATATTTCAATCTCCTGTTAAGAGGGCAAGTGTCCATTTCATAGGAATCCTGTGAATAAATTATTCAAGCACCTATTTTGCAATAATACTTAATGGCTGACATTTTACCTCAAGAAAAGTGAGATTCAGAAAGATGAAGTGACTTGCCCACGGTCACAGAGAGAGTAAGGGCCAAGCCTGATTCAAACCTAGGTCTGTCTGACTCCAAAGTCTATCCTATATGCCACAGGATTTGTGAGGAAATCAGCACCAAGTAAGAAAAAAAAAAGGCTTAAAATATTTTTAAATGCCATATAGCCTTCCCATTATATATCCAGATTAGCCTCCTATATCTGCAGGTCTGACCTTTTCTGTCAGTTCGATGTCACCTAAGTCCAGGCTCTCCAACTCCGACGGCGCAGCAGGTGGCACCGTTCGACGACAGCACACCATTGTCACCTCTACAGGAAGCTCTTTCAGAGCAGTCACCACGTCCTGGTGACTCTCCCCAAGAAGGGTTATGCCGTTCACCTGTGCAGAAAGAAAAGTTGGCCAAGAAAGACGACTTCCTAACAGGATTACTCCTTTCAAAGCAGTATTTTATCACATTAACATAAACTGTACTCAAGGGATGATCATAGCTGTACTATGCTCAGAACTATGGCTGGATCTGTAGCAGTGTTACCTAAAATAATTTACATGCAACACTACAGTCTTATTGGAATTGGACCTTCTAAAGTACTCACAGGAAGATCACTAGCTTTCACCCATGTTTCATATGCCTGTGTCACAGTCTGGAAAGCGAGAATTAACAAAATTGTTCCCATAGAATAAAGCTTGTTTTAAAATGATATATCACCATTAAATGAAAAACTTCAAGATAAAAAATGGAATGTATTTTATTATATACTAATACATTTTAAAAAGTGGGATAGATTAATAAATTCAAATTTTCTTACATATTCATTAAAAATATCTGGAAGATTTCATAGAACCAATAATAAGCAGTTACACCTAATGAAGGGTTGGGACAGAAAAAAACACTACTCACTGGAGTATATCTTTGTCTTATATGTGATTATGAAACATGAATATATTACCTATTCTAAAAATTGAATGTTTAAAAAAATGTAAAGATAGTTTTTATATTCTCTGGACCTAAAACAAACAAACACCATGCATGGAATTAGGTCTGATGATCAACGTACATACAGATTGGAAATTTCTGCTCTGGGTAAAGTTTTACTTGTGTATTTCTCTCAAGTACCCTTTGGAGGAGGAACTTAAAATAAGAACTTAATTGTTCACCACATTAAGCGTCCCACAGCCTTTTCAGAAGTTTATTTACGAAGGGGAAGATGGACTAGCTTGCTTACTTCCAAGAGCTCATCTCCACTGAAGAGCTTCCCACTGTGTCCAACGGGACCTTCCGGGAGAACAGATCGGATAAAATGATGGCCTACCGTTGCTTCCAGACTTATTCCCAAGCCACTGTTCTCGCTGAACTTGCTCACATGAGCCACCTGAAAGGAGAAATATCATCACAATTTTTAATATTCTTTCATTGTTTCTTTTTCTGTATATGTATTTTATGTTCACCCCCCAGAAGCTCAAATTTCTCACAAAAAACTCAAAAACCTTATTTTAAAGCTGCAAACCTTTAGCGTTTTGCCTTGGAAAGAGTATTGATGTCTATTAGTTTCCTGAACCAACACAAACCAAGAGGAAGCAGCCAGGTGCAAGCTTCCAAGACACTCTGGTAAGATGCTGATACCAGATGGAGGGTAGTCAGAGGACCACTGATAAAATCAGAAGCCTGAGCTCAAACCACACACAGAAAGACACATCCTTACCACCTTCCATGTGCCAGGACTATGCTAATCCCATCACGCAGACTATCTCACTTACTTTTCATAAATAGCTACAATGCCTATCCCTGCTTCCAAACTTACAAAAATGAGGTTCTGAGAGGTCAGTTTCAATAGAGTCACACAGCTAACAAAGGCACTTGGAACTTCAGCAGTCTGAACCCACGGCCCAGGCTCTGGACCGTAAACTGTATCAAGCGGACAACACTTGTCTTTAAAAGTGAATCAAAGCTTAAAACAGGAGAGTAAACTTTTTATTTCTGACTGTTACTCTAAATAACGAAGAACAGTAGGAAATCACTATTTTTACAGACAGTCCAATCACTGTAATATTAAAATCAGAAACTATACTAAAGATGATCTGCTTTATCCCCTTTATAGTTAAGGGAACTGAGAAAAATACCGTTTAATTATAAAAGATCTTTTTCAAATCTTAATGAGCACAGAGTTAATACTGGAAGCTGCATTATCTGAGTTTTAAATCTGTTCTTGACAAAATCCTTCAATTCCTTATTTAGGTATCACTTCCTCCATGCAGCCGTCCATGTCCCCACTTACAACATCCATCAATGCTTCTCTCTACTACCCCACTCCTCCTATAACTTCATTCATGCTGTGTAAGTACATAGGAAGCAACTGTAAATCCAGACATGTCATATTCACCTGTTTGATAAGGGCCTATAAATAGCTTAGTCCATTCTGACTCATAATAAATTTTCACCCTTGATACATTACTGGAAGTGCCACCAAAATAACATGTAGGCAAAGGGCAGTTAAGAGTCCACAGTCTCCGTTCTGACCTCTGTGAGGAGTGNATAATAAATTTTCACCCTTGATACATTACTGGAAGTGCCACCAAAATAACATGTAGGCAAAGGGCAGTTAAGAGTCCACAGTCTCCGTTCTGACCTCTGTGAGGAGTGGCTAGTTAAAGAGTGCTCTGACTACTCAAGTGTGACCCAAAGGAGCACAGTCTCCGTTATGCATGCCAGCCATGTTAACCCCACCCACAAAGGAACCTCCCAACGTTCATTTCATGCTAAACTAACCATAGTTAAGCTGGACTTGGTTATCTTCTTTCTTGACTCAATTTAAAAAGGTGGTCACAGCTGTATTTACTCAAATCTTATTTGACACAAATTGAGTGTTTAAAAAAAAACTTTGTAATGAGGATTAAAAGAAACACTGAGAATACTGCTTGACACAAAGTATTCAGTAATGTTATTTTTACTAATATTATATATAATTATCTCTTGTGTTTTATCACCTTTAATCTAGAGCTACTTGAATATCATAAGCAATATGAAAATTTTCACCTAACCAAGTATTTTATTGGTCCTTTTGAAATTCCTGAAATTTGCTGGTATATACCTAAAGATTCATAATCAATGTCCACTTCATTAAAACACGTTTTAGAACAGCAGATCACAACTGCTACTCTAGGTATGCAAGTTGTTAAATAAACACAAAATGTTCACTATGGCCTAAGTAAAATGAAAAAAGCATGCAGACTAAAAACACTCAAGAAGAGTAAGAGAATAAGAATGATAAAGAGGAAATAGGGAAAAGTTCTTTTTACAATTCTGTACTAGGTCATAATGATTTTTGTTTTATTTTCAAGTAAATTCTGTCATTCAATTCTGATTCTTTCCATAAATCCCAGGAGTGAGAATCCGAAAAACTCTTCCTTTTATCCATATAATATATACTACTATGAGAAACAGTGATGAATTATAAGTTCTAAAACTTCCATTCCATGTACTTTAGCACCTTGGTACTTACTATCCAACTTTCTCCAACTTGAATTTTTTAATATCTGAATCAGCACACTTAGGTCTTTGAAAAAAACCCTGGTGTTGCAACTTCTCTAGGACTATTTACAATAGTCATCTTTGACTATTTACAATAGTCATCTTTATTACTGTCAGAAACTCCCTGCTCAAATACAGTTTACAAGTTGGGAAGTTAGGGAGGGGAAGCCAACGTACCACTATCTCATAATTAATCCCCATCATCCTCTGCCACTTGGCCAGCAGGGCAGCTTCCTGCTGTTGAGCATCTTCTGTTTCCTCTCTGTCAGCTGACACTAACGGAAGAGAGGACACAATTAGTGACGCACTACACAAATCTCCATGTCTCAGTATTCTGTGCCGGGGACACAGCGACGAGAACCTGTCTGTCATACTGTTAGGCAGGAAGTTAGGCATGGGCAATGAGGGGCTGCCTGGCTGACAAGGACGCAAGCTGATCTCTAAGCCCCATCCTAGACACACCCAGGGGAGCTCACAAATACGCTACAAAACCACCACAGAGATTTTTCCAACTCGTGCATATGCGTCCAAGGCACACTAACCACGGGGGCTTCTCCAGGGAACCTTAGGTAGCTAGGAAGAAGCCCACTAAGGGTTCATAAATACTCCACACACACACACACACACACACACACACACATCTGACAAAAGAATGAATTATGGGAAGGCATAAACAGCACAGCCTGCTGTTACATAACTTGCAATTGTCAATGGGCTTTGAGTGGAGGCCCATTTGCGTTCACTTTCACTGACTGGTAGTGAGTACAAGCCCTATTTTGCATTTTGCACCAGGCATAACCAAGAGGAGGAGACAGAAAGTATAAAAAGGGGGAAGCCAAGAGGAATCAGGAGGAGGATGATAACTTCTTTGGGACCTGCTCCCATGTCTCCGGAGTGTCTGTGTGATAAAAGTTCTGTCTGCTTGAGCTGAACTGAGCTATCATTGTCTGTTGTTTTAAACCCTTTAGTCCATCAAACCAAATTTTTGTTGAAATGAGACAAGAACTGAGGAAGAACTGACATGACAATAATAAGTTTGGCTCTTGTCCTAATACATGATTTACTCTTATTTCTATAAACATTTTAATAATTCAGTTTAGAACTGTATATTCCAAGACTATTCTCTTTTAAGAGATATCTTTTAGTTCTTAATTATATTTCAATTAAAGTATCCATATATTATCTAACTTTTATTTAAAAGAATGAGGACTCCAAGTAGCTCTAGGATTCACTTGATGACTCTCTAGTGACTATTAAAAAGCTATACTGCCTTCTATGTTAATCTCTTTCATTTGGTTCTAGAGTACAGAAGGGAACATGCTATGACTCAGAAAAAACAAACAAAAGAAATTAACAAATAATACATGCAACTCCACGTACTCTGTGTACAATGAGAAAATATAAATAAAAAAGAAGAAACAAATGGAAAATGTTCATTAAATTAAAGCCCTATAATAGGAATCGTACTAATTGGTAAAAAAAAAAAAAAAAAGGAAAGTGAAATCTATTTTGTGAAGAAATTCACAAAACAATTATGCAAACAATACTGAATTAAAACAAAATAAACTGGTTGAGGATAATTTTCAAATCATATCCAAGGATTTTCATGCCATCATATTTCTTACTCATAAAGGTTGTCTTTTAAAAAAATCTTTACAAGGCACTACTCCCTAAATTAGATTTTAAACATCACTTTTAGCAGTCAATTCTCAAATGTAAAGAGTAGTCTAAAATTTAGATGTCTCTTTAACTGCCTCCTTGTTAGTGGAATGAATGGGCTTTCACGCCATGCCTATTCCAGGTTTTTTGATGCTTTAAATTAATAATATTCAGCTTTCTCTTTGAGAAACTAGAAACAGTAAACTATGTATTTCTTTAAAAATCTGGAGACTAGCCCCCCAAAATGAGTGTTTTCTCAGCGTATTCAATGCTGAGAGGATAAATGTACAGGAGTGAACACAGATCATAGGAAATGTTTCAACCTGATAAGAGTTAAAAATAGGAGGGTCAGTTTGGTCCCACCTCCTCCCATATCCCATTTCTCTGATTCTGCAGTGGTTCCGCAAGTGAGCAATGAGCAGTGTTCAAGGAGGGTGAGATTCTGAATAAAGAACGTAGGGAATATGTAAGCTAATGACAAAAGATTTGTATTCATTCAACCAATCTACAGTCACAAAAACCCTCCATGTTCCCCCTTTCCCAAATGCCCCAAGATGAGATTCCAGGCATATTTAAAAACCCTAAAGTTCAAACTCCTGATGTTACTGATAAGTCAAATGACTTGCCCAGGCTCACACAACGAGTCAAATTTATGTGGAAGAGACAACAGTATCTTATCCTTTGTGTGAGGACCAGCACTTTAGAATTGTTTAAAGATATTTTTTCCTTTATTTTAAAAAGATTGTGAGACTCCTGATCCCAAGTCTAGACCCTCTCACTCTCAACGCACATCACCAAAGTAAAACAGACGGTTGAGCCTTTAAGACCATCCACTACCCTCACTCCATCTACTCTCTCAAGTTTTATGCTTTGAAACATTTTTAATCCTTTTCCAGAAACTGTGGTGCTAGACAAGACTCTTGGCGAGTACCTTGGACAGCAACCAGTCAATCCTAAAGGAAATTAACCCTGAATATTCATTGGAAGGACTGATGCTGAAGCTCCAATACTTTGGCCACCTGATGCAAAGAGCCAACTCATTGGAAAAGATCCTGATGCTGGGAAAGATTGGGGGCAGGACGATAAAGAGGCGACAGAGGATGAGATGGTTGGATGGCATCATCAACTCAATGGACATGAGCTCGAGCAAACTACGAGAGAGAACGAATGACAGGGAAACCTGACGTGCTACAGTCTATGGGGTCATAAAGAGTCGGACATGACAGAGCGACTGAACAACAAAGCACTTGCTGTATTCACTTTATCCTAAATAATTCCTACACTTCCTAGTGTAAAAATCGCAGATTGTGATTAACACCTGAGAATTCTATATATCTCACTCTTGGGATATCACTGTGAACACAAATATTCACTTAAAACAAAAAAGTCAAATCATAATTTACAGCAAGAAAAATACTTAACAATGAAGGAGCTAATGTGTTAACGAACTGCAGCGCTTCAATATAACTATTTTAGTGAAGGGCAGAATTCTCATAAAGACATCTGTCTTGGGCTTTGTTCAGTGGATTTAGTTTATCAAATACCTAAAGCAATATGACAGGTCAAGGAAGCATGGACCATGCAGCCTAGAAAGATGGCAGCAATATGTTGACATAATCATGTATAACAATGCTGCCTTAAAATTTCTTTAAGCAGTGTGATGAATTCTAGGTGTATAGAGACAGAAATCTCAGAAAGGCTTAATAATCTCTCTGTATAACTCCTTTCAAAATTTAGAATTTTAAAAAAATTTGGAGGAAAAAGCCCCCCAAATAGGCATACTTTAATTCGAGAGTTAAAGCTTTAAAGATTCATTCTTTATGTTTATTTTTTAAATGCTTTAACACTTCACTGTTGCCTGTTCAATAAGAGACATATTGGCTCTATCTTAAGAAATAAGGGGACTGAAATATCAACCGTGTATGTAACAGAATAATTTCTAAAGGTTCTGGTTTTTAAAAAATGAAGAAGAGAAGACTGACTCAGCAAGAAAATCTGCCAGTTCTAAACAAACAATTTTAATCAACTAGAGCAAGGATTTAACACTCTTTTTTGAAAGTTATTTTTCTAATAATTTATAATATATCCATAGAGGTTGAACCACATTTGTTAAAAGTCATTTCTCTAAAAAAAAAAGTAATAAATATCATAATAACCTGGCTCCATGTGTTTACCTTCTTCTTCAATTGGTAATATGCTGGTGTTTCTCCTCAGCGATAAAGAATCTTCATCTTCTTGATAAGTATCTTAAAGATAAGAAGATTTTAGCACTTAGGCCTGTAATATAATCGAGCAACTTGACTTTTTCAAACTCCACTTTATTTGAACACCTAGATGAGAGCTAACTTTTTGTATATAAAGTTTTCAACAATCACTGGTACTTACAGGAAAGTTCTCCTGCTAATGGAACAAAGAAGTGATAAAATTCCCCTGGGATTTGCCTCCCTGTTTCCTGGTCTGCAATTAGTAGTGTGTGGCATAAATGGTCAACAGTTTGAGAAATGAAACACACTTTCAAACCAACAGGCTGATTTCTACAAATAAATGCTTACATCAGGAAGCTACGTGGGAATTTGGTAATTTTCAGAGATGTTCATGCACAAACACTTATGCAAGACATTTCTAAATGTGGAAATAAGGGTCTCATGGTCTACCAACTGAGCTAGTCAAGCCTAAACACTGAATTAAAGCTGATTCCTTCAAGAAAAGGCTGGTCAATTTGGAAACATTACAGGACTCACAGGCAGAACAAACTTCCCCCTAAAGAGGAAATGTATCAATGACATCCAAAGTAAGGCAACAACAGAAAGGCAAATGACTGTACATGATTCCAAATGAGAAGCGGTGACTGAGAAAACAGGACAGAAGTCTGCTTTATTCAGAAGTTGTTTCTACAGTTAATGGACAAACCTCTGCTTGCAGTTAATCCCTATTGTATTAAAATCCCTTTTTACTTGGTTTATAATGAATAGTTACAACGAAGTTGCTCTTTAAATAATTTTAGAATTAGAAAAAAACTGATATGAGACTAACCGAAAAATCAGACTCACGAGTCCTCACCTTTGCTAACACTTGCATTAACAGGAGACGAAGCCGCGTCTTTTGTGATGTCCTCCCGTGACGCCGACTCAGCGTCCTGCTTGGTGCCTCTTCTCATTAGCGTCAGATGTACAGTCTGCCCCGTGTGTCGCAACACCTCCACTGCTTGTTGATTGGTAAAGCCCTGAAGGTTTGTGCCATCTACCTACGGTTAGAACAAGACATGGTAAAAATAAAAGTATACCAACCCATGAAACACACGGTTACCGCTGCTCAGTGAGAAGAGAATCAGGGATGAGTACTCCCCTAGTTAGGGAGTGGGCTGACACCTGTTTGTGGACCAGTACTAGCTCAGATGCACTGGAATCACGCAGGAGTGTTTCATTTGTTTTAATATAAAGTCTCACTTCTAGAAATTATAAACCAGCAGGTCTTTAGGTGAGGCCCAGGATTCTGTATCTCTTAAAATATTCTTCTATATTTCTCAAGAGATCCTAAAACACAGTCAAGCTTGGAAACCAATCCTAGGTAGGACACAGAGGTATAGAAGATAGTGAAGAAAGTGGTCATTGGGAGTGCTGACAAATTCCAAAGAAAGATGATGAAACTACCTTCCTTTTTATATCTTTGCCTCTTCAAAAAATATTTTCCCTTTTTCCTGTTCACAAATGATAAAACACTTGAGGGTGCCCCAGTGATCTGTGCAAACCACAGATATGATCCTAGCACCCCACCCTGCCTTACAGGAACAATCCTTAAGATGTGCTCCAAATTCTCAATGTGGCTTAGAATGGCCTGTGTCAACTCCACCTTGCATCACTGACCTCATCCTGCAGCATCCTATTTCTCTGCGCTCCAGCTCCAGAGGATCGTTTCCATTTCTCTGACCTGCAGCACTCCTTTCAGTCGTGAGGTCTTTGCAAATCCAGTTCCCTCGGTCTAGACTCTCTGGACAGCCCTCTCCAGCCCACACTGCTTCTAATCTATTCACTTAGAAAAAAGCCCGTAACGGCTTAGTTCAATAGCTATTTCCACAATTAAGCTACTGATGCCCCTGACTATAGTTAAAGCCCCCTTTACCAATTCTTCACGGCACTCATCAGAAATTTAATTTTATGTTTTCCAGCATTATTTGGTCTATGACTGCATCCTCCAAGAGGACAGGTTGTGTGTGTCAGCAAAACAAAATGCTGGGAATTCCCTCACAGTCCAGTGGTTAGAACCCTGTGTTCTCACTGCTGATGGCCCAGGTTCAGGCACCTCTGGGCGGAGAACACAACCCACAAGCCATGTGGCCACACATACACACAGACACAGCAAGACCAGTGCTGTTTTCACAGCAGATATTCACAAATGGGAAACTGGCTCATATGGCAAAGATTTACTGGTGAAGCAAGTTATATTTCTGAATAAATAAATGCAGGTTATAACATCTTAATTTTTAAAATACATTTTAAAAGGAAAAATTTGGAAAGCTGAAAAAGTAGTACAATTAATTAATGCTGAAATTCAAAGTCACTGACACACCTTTTGAATTGTGAAATAGCTGTAAAATGACTATGTAAGTATCACGCTTTTCTGAGCACAGTGCTGACTATAGTAGGCATTCAAATATTTACTAAATGAATAAGAACTACAATAAGACCTGTTATCAGTGGTATCCAAGATGAACTACCTTTACTGCAGAGGTTTCTGGAAGAATGTAATAAAATTCATAATTAAATATATTTTTAAATCTCATTTTGTTTTATATACACATATATATATAATTCATACATTAACTTTATATATAAAACAATATATACTATATATATATAAAACAAGATGCATAATATATCATACAACATATATAAATACATAGGAGAAAAAAGGAAGGAGAAAGGAATAGGTTACAGATCGATTGATCGATTAATAGACTGACTTTTTTTTTTTTACCAATGGGGATAGTCAATAAAAAATCCAGAGGCCTCTGATGGACATGATCAATATCAGAGACCTCAGCATCAGAGACCTCTGATACTCTGCAAGTTAAGTTTCGTAGGATAATTTTGTGCTAAACGGCAACTTGAACATAGGTGACTGACTCTCTCCTCTTTCCTCCCACCTCTATCTTATTGATTCCCTTTTAGAAAGACTAATTAAAATATAACAACAGAGAAAACACTAAAACAAAACTGTAAACCAAGGAAGAAGTCCTTATACCAGTAACTTGGAGGAACTTCTATGAGGAATGGTCTGAGTATGACCAGATTGAAGGCAGGGCAGCTGGATCTCTACATGTGAGGAACATCTTGTTTGGTCTGTCGAGTGAAACATCAGTAAAATCCAACAACTGTCTTTCATTAAAAGGAGGCAGTAAGAAGGCACATGTGGACTTCAACTGGTGAGTCCAAAAGCCAATCAAGTGCCAGGCATCACATCAAGCTGGGAGCATACACCACGCAGACTCATATACACACAATGAAGTCACACTAGGCACACACCTGCATCCACACACAACCCCAACCAACTCCACAACACGCAGGGAAAACAATCTGTCAGTACAGACATGCAATGTTCTTCATCCTGTTTTCCTGGTTTCCTCTATATCTATTAATTGACCAATGAAACTGATTTGTAAATTTAAACTTTCTCCTTCCTTCTTGCTTTGCAGTTCCCAAACTGTTTGTATCAAAATCTATCTAATTCCCCTTTGGCACAGCCATAGTTCTCACTGAGATCTCTGAGAAAAAAAGGGTCACAGGAATAGAATACCACAGTCTGAAAGAAAATGTGTGCCCTGAATCATGAGTACAAATATCTTCCAATGAGACTGTCACTGCAGGGAACAGAAAGATATTTTATGAAGCTTCTCTTCAAAGAGATTCATTTCTCATTGTATTTATGGAAGTGGAGAGAATACAAACAAAGAAGGACAAGTATCTACCAAAAAGGAAAACTATTACAGTGAAGGCATCAACAGCATTTTACATACTGTACAAAGTCATGGAATGAAAGACAGGAATGTGCAATTTTCCTATGTTTTCAGAGGATAAGAATAGGTAGATAAAAATGAGCAGGGAAATAAGACTGAAGACATATTAAGGCTGATATAGAAAATCAATATAATTACAAAAAAACTGAAGGGAGAAGGGAATAACTGAGGAAAAATAATCCAAGAAATTATGAGGAGATAAAGAAATCTGCCTCTATAAATCAGAGTATATGAAAAACTAGAAACAAAACTAACACCCAGACAAATCTTGATTAAATTCTTGGATTTCAAAAATCAGAAGAAAAAAGCTCATTAGCTTCTAGGAAACAGAGTGAGCAGATAACTTGTGAAAGAAATTACGAACCCCAAATTTTATACTCAGTGTAACATATATGAAAATGGAAATTATGGTTGAGATGCTATGATGTTATCCTATAGTATCATAAGACAGCACCTGATAGCATCAATTATAGCATGAGATGCTATAATTATATCTTATACCAAAGTGTGTTATGAGAAGACCACAAAGCAGAAATTTAAGCAGTCTGGAATTATAATCTGTACATATTTAGGGCATTAAAGGGCTGGGTTGTTAGAGATGAACAAAGACTTAAGAGGAGGTTGCTTTGCTTTTTTAGAGAGAAGAGCGCTATAAATCCCCACTTAGATGTTCAACCTACGACCACAAGTCAAAAGAGCTGTCACGTGTTGTAAGGAAGGATGCAGTAAGTACCTCGTGTTTAGCTCTATCAGGAGGTTAAGGGTGAGGCTCTTTAACTGCTCTGACAGTGAATCAAGAGAAAACTGCTATTATGTTGAGAACTGCTTGACAGCCTGACTCTGTCTGGACACAGATCAGAAGGGGGACACACACACACACACACACACACACACACACACACGAGAGAGAGAGCCAGGCTGGAGCCACCTTGAAACCTACCCAAGAGAATCCCTAGGGAATGATGGTGCCCCAAAATGAGAATTTATGGAGCAGAATGTTGAGAAACTGCAGCCAAAGGAAAGAAGAGTCAGTCAAATGAAAACTCCACCATCTGTCATGGAACGCTCGGTCAAACATCTCTAGCAGGGTCTCCCAGGAACCCAAGGAGCCCTGAGTGATAGTCGCATTTAAGCATGAGCCAGGCTCACAGAGCAAGACCATATTACAGACGTGCCGGTCAGGGATGAAGGGCCTTGCTGTCTTTCACTCTCTTCCTTCACACTGGTAAGGGTCAGCAGGCACAACAAGAAGGGGAGGGAGGAAAAGGAAACCTCGGCATGGAAGACAGACTGGGAGTGCACACTCTACCTCTACCAGTTCACAGGAGGCTGCTGCTAGGCCAGGGTGGGGGTTGAAATTAGAATATCATTTGGGATGGGAAATCTTTAATTACTGAATTGGAGCTGTATCTGGTGATCCTGATTGGCAATAGGACATTTTACTCTCTGAGAATAGTAACTTGACCAAGATTTCCTCCAGGGGAAAAGGAAGACCTTCTCCTACAGAAGATAAAAGTGACATCTAAAGACAAATCTTAAAAGACTGTTTAAGACCATCCCCCCAAGTCTTCTTTATGCGGTCTATGTTATTGCCAGCCAAAATGTCCAAGTGTGCAAAGGCAACATAAGAGGTTCTCAGAGAGAAAAGCTTCTGAAAGTGTACCAACACATTCTCTTCCTATGATATTTACTCAAAAAACACTAGCTGACTGAGCGATTAATCAGATTTAAAACTCCCAAGTGAGAAAAATGTGGCATACAAGGTTTAGTGCTGAGTAATAAGTAAAATTCAAATCTAAATAGTACTATTAGAGCAAACTTATATGTTTTAAGTCTTGGTCCATAAAAGATATACAAAATGGTATGAAACACAGTTGTTTATAATAGCAAGCCACTATAAACAACATACCTCTCCATGAATAAGAGGTGGAGAAGGAAATGGCAACCCACTCCAGTGTTCTTGCCTGGAGAGTCCCAGGGATGGGGGAGCCTCTTGGGCTGCCGTCTATGGGGTCGCACAGAGTCGGGCACGACTGATGTGACTTAGCAGCAGCAGCAAGTATATTATGACAGATCCATACATGCTGATACAACTACACATACCAGGTATATTTCTAAACTAAATAAATAATAAAAAGGTATAAACTAATGCAATCCTAAGTACAGATACATGGAAACTTTCTGAAATGTTAAATCATAAAGTATTAAGAGTGATTTCTACTGAAGAGTTTTTAAGCCATGTTCAAATTTAATGTTCTTTAGACCTCAAAGACAAAAATTAATCTAAAAGAAATAAACATGTTATTTATTCTCAGGGTAGCAATAGAGGAAAATCTCACAAAAATCTCAACTTTGAGGTGCCATAAAAATTATTAAAATGCACGTAACTTAGGCTGCAAGTTTTCATGCACAATAGATTTTTACAGCTCAATTCTTTAAATATGCGGTTTAAGAAAAATCAAATGTGTATGATTTTGCCTACTAAATAGCAATAAAGTTTATTATGTGAAGAAAAAACATGCTTCCTTTTTTTTCCCCCCAAAACCTGATGACCTGAATTTAAAAATATATTCCTTACTCAAATCTCACAGATGGTAGGTACTAGCACAGAAGAAATTGCTATAATGGAATAATTACAGACTTTTAATCCTAGACTTTGGTTCAAAATTTCTCAGTATCTTCATCTGTAATGTGAGAATAATGGTACCTACTTTTCCAAAATTACAGTGCATGGCGCTTTGTACTGAAAAGTTACTCAGAAACTTTTATTAATATTTGATTTAATAGCAGATTTCAAGAGGTACTGTTATTAATAAAATGAAGAAGTGATTCATAAACATAAAAACCCCAGGCCTTATGGAAGCACTTTCTGTTCAACATAATTACACACATCATACAAATGGGACAAGGCACTGAAACCCGAATGAGGGCTCAGTCCAGCTCTCGTCCCTCATTATCACAGTAAGACAGCTAAAAGGCTGCTTCAGGCCCACTTGTCGCAGAGACAAAAGCGCTCTGGAACGAGGTACAATGACAGTAAACTGTCCGGGTGCCATCTTGAGGAGATGGCAGGGCAGTGTAGACACTGCTATGAATAATTATAGGGGAGGAATCCTAGTTAGAACAAATGGAAAAGCCAGCTCCTCAGAACACTCAATCTAGCTGGCCAAGCCCTCCTCCAACACAGTCTATAATTATACACATATACAAAGAGGGAAATTGAGACTATTAACAAAGTCACAGAATAGTAAAGGCAACATCTAATACCTTTCCATATTTTCTTTTCATAATACATTTCCTGTTTAATATTTTTTAAATAAGATACCTAATTCTATACTACTTTTATCAAAGATATCTGTATACCAACCTAAAAAAATGAATATATGACTTTATCTAATGACAAGTTTGGTTGTCTTTACAAAATAAGAGTCCCCTTATTAAATAATTCTTATGTAGTAAAGACATGGTATTTCTTAAAAACCAAGGTGCTTCTAACTGTGAAGTAAGAGAATGTTGCTAAAAAATAAAAAGTCATAACAATGATGAGAGCAAAGACAGTGACTTTATTGAAAGCAAGACAATACTTCAGAAAAAAGGTGCTTCCACTTTTGAGTCAATCTCCTTTAGCACTGATCTTGCCCAAGCAAAATTATATGAGGTTCCAGTTATAAATCAATGCAAATAATTACAAATTTGAAGGGAAGCTTCTGTGAGACTTACATTGTAATCATTTCAGACCCTCAATACATATCTGCTTAAATAATTAAACCATACTTATGTACCAAGTATACTATGTATTTTAAATAAACAATTCATTTGGTTTTTTTAAAAATCATACAAGGGAAGCTTCTTTATCTCAATGTTGTAGGTAAAGGAATCCTGCTTCTCACTAAATGGTTAAATATAGAGGTATATGATCCAGCAATTATACTCCCAAGTACACGCTCAGGAGGAACAAAAACCTGTATCGACACAGAATCTATACGTGAATGTTTATATGGCATTGTCCATAATAGCCAAAAAGTGGAAACAACGCAAACATCCATCTACTGATGAATGGATAAATAAAATATGGTATGTTAACACAACAGAATATCACTCAACTAAAAAAAAGAAACTCAGAATTGATGATGCTACACATAGATGGACCTTGTCCAAACCTACTTGAAACATTATGCTAAACAAAAGAAGCAAATCACAAAGCACCCCTTACTGAGTGATGCTATTTACATTAAATGCCCAGAATAGGCTAAAAAGACACAAAGTATGTTGGTAGTTGTTCAGGGCACGGAGGATCTAAGAACTAGGGAGTAACTGCTAATGGGACAGGATTTCTTTTAAAGGTAATGAAACTGTTCAAAAACTGACTGTGATCATGAAGGCACAACTATAAACATACTAAGAGCTTCTGAATCATATACTTTAAATGAGTAAAATTTATGTTCTCCTGAGTTTTAGCTCAAGAATGCTGATTTTTAAGAAAGCATTCTATTGTACTAAAATATATAGCCTGGGGGGCCAATTAGCTATGTATTCAATTTTTAATTCTTTATCAGATATAGATTTAGAGTATGTATATATTATATTCACTCTCTCCTCTTTTTCCTTCAAAATAAAAAAAAAGTAGCTAATTTTCACTGTATGTTAAAACAGAAATACAACAGGAAAGCTCTTTTACAGAATATGGTCAGCTTAAGTGACATGCACAACTTGATCTTTAGAGCATATTTCAAGAGGTGAACAGGTCTAGTTAGGAGTTTTATAGAACTAAGATCAAGCAAAGTCAGAGTTGCACTGTAGAAGCAAAGGGCACATACAGATAAAGGACATCTCTATCTTTTGGTTTAGTTGTGAAAGAAAACACAAAAACATCAAACTTACCATCCTACTCATTTTTATGTGTATAGTTTAGTAGAGTTAAGTATATTCAGGTTGTCATACGTTTCTGGAATATTTTCATCTTGCAAACTGAAACTTTAAACCGATTGAACAATAGTTTCCCATCTCCTCCTCTACCCTGCCCCTCACAATAACTGTTCTACTTTCTGTTTCCATAAGCATGACTACTTCTGATACTGCATATAAGTGGAAGTACACAGTATTTGTCTTTTTGGGACTGGCTTATTTCACTCAGCATAATGCTCCAGAGGTTTATCCATGTTGTAGGATGTAACAGAAATTTCTTCTTTATAAGATTAAATAATATTCTACTGTATGTATATAACACATTTTTATCCATTTATCTGCAGATGGAACTCTGGGTCACTTACTCATCTTAGCTCTTGTGAATAATGCCGCAGTGAACAGGACTCCTCTATCTTAACATTCTATTTTCTTACTATTATTAAGATCTCAAGGGGAAAATCAAGACTTCATTAAACAAATGCATATTAAGATAAATCAGTATTCCCCAAATCTACTACAGAGAATATTAGTATGTTTGGGGAAAGAAAGAACCCATGATTACAAAAGTTTAGGAATCTCTGAAATAAAAGAGTTAAACAAGATTCTTTATTGGAAAACTTCTCAGTTTTTTATTTTTCAATGTGTACTGTAAATCCCTAAGAAACTGTATCCCAGGAAGCTTTTCTTAAAACTTATTTAAGAAAGTCCTTGATGCGAGGTTTCTTGGATTCATGTTCCGAAAAGTAGCTAGGGTAGGTCAGTTTACAACTGAACACAGAACTGAAAGCTGGATTCTTTTTACACTACCTTGAATAGCTATATGTTCATACATACTAATGTTACTAGGAAAACAATGCTGCCTTGATCTAACTAAGAGGGTCTGGCTCTGTTTCTTTTACTCTTTATACTCTTACAGCTAAAGAAGCCTTGGTCATGGTGCCAAAAAAATAGTGCCAACCCTGCTGGTATTAAAAAATGCACACAACTCAAATTCAGATTCAAATACACTAAAAGTTATAATGTATGGTCTTTATCTTCAGAGTATCTGCAGCTAAAATACAAGAAAGATTATTAATGTACCAAACTCACTGAAACCAGAAATCAGATCTATCAGAAGCTATTCAAGAAAGCGTCCCACTTTCAGAAATGACATCAATCAACCTTCTATCCAATGCTGACTTTCACCTAATAATATAATGAGCAATACTGATGACACCTCAAATTACAAAAGTAAGGTTAAATTAGTACAGAGCTATCTGTAGCTCTCAAGATGGTGTAAACCAGGAGAATGCATCTCTCAACCATGAAAACTAACAAAGCTGTCATTAAATGTGTTACTTACTGCTATAATTTGGTCTCCAATTTGGATTCTTCCATCATGCTCCACAGCACTGCTTTTTGTAATGCTCTTAACAAAGATCCCTGAAGGTTCTAAGATTAGAAACAAATTTGTTTTGTTTTACTATTTACAAAGTACCTCAAAGAATACCCATCCTCCATTCTCCTAAAAATAAAGTCCTACTTCTGAGTAGATGTAAACCAACAAACCACACAAACAAAATCACTAGTAGAAACCTTGGCTACAGAAAAAAGACAATGGTTTTGTTTATGTGAAATAAAATATCACAGTCACCTGTACTACTCCAAAGGAAGATTTCCATTAGCTTATCATGAAAATGTATCATTAGACACATGAAAATATATTATGCTGATTCAGTATTTCATAAGACAAAGACATTAGAGGTAATTGCCAAGATAAAAGAACTAGAATATTAATGTTTAAAAACTACCTAATTTTTTATCTCCAATGTATCCAGCAATGGTAATTCCTAATCCTTGGACATTTTTTGTGAGTTCTACGTCAAATGTCTCACTTTCTTCACTTTTCTGAGTTGAAGCATCAACCTGAAATACAATTTGTCAAAAAAAAAAAAAAAAATATATATATATATATATAAATAAACACACAGACAAACAAAACAAGCTTTTTCAAGCCACTTCTTCATTTAGAAAAGGTATGATGTAATTAGTTCTTAAGAGAACTCTGCTACAGAATTATAGTTAGGAATGACTCCTTCAATCTTGACAACTTGGCCTCAGCATCACATTTTTACTCAAAAAAAAGCAATGTCAGGAGTAAAGCTGAACACCCTCTTCAGAGAAACGCATTATTGGTTTTTTGTGAAAATCATAAAAAATTAGTTTCTTATTAACAAGATTCTATTTTCAGGAGTGGCTCACCTTCCTTTTTGAAGAATTTAGAGGATATAATAGAGTTAAGTTAGGCTTTGAATCCACATTAACAAGCTCAAATCTAGCTTTGTCATTGACTTTTTCTAAGCATCACTTTGCTCAAAATAAGAAAAAGCCCAGCTAACATTCATTGAGCAGTTTCTATATAACAGACATTTAATATGTCTCAATTAATTTACTCCTTAGAAGAAGCCTATGAAGCAAGTACAATTACTGTCAGTTTTTATCTGGGGAAACTGAGGAACATAAACTCTTCCAAGGACTCACAGTGAACCATCTTAACAGAGGAAGAATTCAAATGCAGAGCCCCTGCTCTTAAAAGATGCACAGTATGCAAATCCTCTTAGAATGTAAGGGCCACACTGCCTGCTCAAGACATGCCATTATTTCTGTCTTACTTGGAAGCTGATTCTAATATCATGAAGGTGAACCTGTCCTCCAGATAAAATATTAATAGACTGATGGTTATTTTGAAAGCCAGTGAAAGGTACCAAATATTAATTAAAACTGTCCATGTATTTGCTTTATAAATTTAAACTTCAATATGAAAAGCTAGAAGGGAAGCATGCCTTTCCAATCTGATTTCCTTCACCCTGGAATGATATTTGAAAGCAGCGTTCTCTAATATGTAGACTTGTTATCATATACTGGACTAAAGGGCAAGGCTCCCTGAAAAAGGCATGAATGGACTAGTGCGTAAGTCATCAATAAGTTGCTGGTATTATATACTGGTGTGGTGTCAGCAGATTCCAGAAAGTACCCTAGGAAGATCACAAAAGAAAGAAGGCTATGGTTTGACTAGACAGGCAGAATGGGGCTAGCTGGTAAATGCTTTCTGATTTTCTTTAAGCATACTCTATATCTCACTGATAGTCACCTAAATGAGATATAATTTTATAGTAAAGTTTGATTTATTTTTTCATTGCACATAATTATCTGTGCAAACTTAGCAAAAGTTTAAAGTTTAGATAATTACAAGAAAATGACAGGATGAAATCTGCTTCAATTGTAACAAATGTGTTTTCTATTTTTAATAAGACTTATGCAAGTGCTATTTTAGAGGGTGGCAATTTGACTATCGAATGGTTTTAAAAGGGGCACAAGCTTCAGAAATGATGCTATGCACAGAATAGATATTTTTCTAAGCTTTCAATTACATCAAGTGGTTTTCGGTATTGCATTCATTTATATATTGCTGAATAAAATGTTTTGTTTACCACAAAAGAATGCCACTTAAATACTTTCATAAACAGGCTTTCTTTACTTTTTTCTCCCTGCAAAAAATAGCAACCAAACACAATCCTAAAAACAACAGAATCATGGAAATTTCAAGTGTTCTAATAAAGTTTTAAAGGGCTTGCAGAGGAGGTTAGAATAATAAAAAAGGAATTTGTAGCAACTATCTAGAAAAAACTGTAATAGAAAAAAAAAAAAAACCTGCTTTTAGATCTACAGGAAAGGAATAGAGAACCAGAATTTGCTAGAAAACATATAGAAAGTGAGTATAATTCTCTTCTTAAATATTCAAGAAATTTCTGGATAAAATCATGTTGTTGATATTTAATCCATGATATTGAGTGCCTTTAATTATTTGAGATAACATTACACTATAATAATTTTGAAACGTTCTAGCTTTTTGCAGATCAAGTTAAGAACAAAGATGGAATGCTCTATGAATAAAACTTTTGTTACAACCCTGAAAGCATAACTTGTGTCTAAAAAACTTATGTAACTAGGTCAAGAATAGCGACTTCTCATTACAAATCTTATAACAATTATATGACATACCTTAAAACAATAATATTAAAAGGTTTTAGTAAGTTTTATTCATCCACCTTGCCCTCCAAAAGACACTAAGAAGCAAGCTGTTGAAAGGGAATGATTAGAACTTACAACCCACCTTACCGAAGACCTTCTAAGTAAGAAAAATATAGAATAAAACATTTTAGGTATTAGTAGCATATAATTCATTTAAATTTATTAATACTTCAAAACACTTATCCTCATAAAAGTGCTGCTTAGAGAAAAATGCAAAACATTAATCTAGAATTTTAAACAATCTATCTTTCATTTGTGAGACAGTATTCCTATTGAAAAAACTATTATTAGTGCTGAAACATTCTACATTTGAATTTTGTTTCATTCTTTAGCAATAACACTAACATTAATAAATCTAGTTTCTCAATAAACATCACTGTCCCCTTAAGCGCTTATGTCCTTACCTGCAATTCTGGAGTAGAAGCTGGGGATGAGGACAGGGTGATGCCCAAAGAGGCAGCTGCTGTTGGTTCTTCAATGGCACCTCTTGCGATCATCAACTTCACTCTATTTCCACACTGTCTGAGGACTTGGGCTACCTGCTCACTGCTCATTCCTGCTAGGTCTGTATCACCAATCTTTAGAATGTGGTCTCCACTGCATAATCGCCCATGCTGAATAAAAAGGAATTGGTTAGTCAGCTTGTTGTTATTATTACTAAATTCATCAGAGAAACTCTAAATGAGAGAATGGGAATAATAACAAAAAAGAGCCATACTGTGAATTCTTGGTACATTAAACACGTGTTGTAGTGTTAACTCTCTTTTGAAGCATCCTAACATTATTCAATATGATATAAGTAACTGAAATTCATAAATATTACTTAAATCAATAATTGATATGAGCTCTTCAATTTGATTTCTACACAGTCGATGCAAGAAAGCACTAGCCTGTCTGTGAGTTTTTTGAGGGAAGTAAAAGAGAGAAAATGCCACCAGGTGAAGCTGAAACTCCAATACTCTGGCCACCTGATGTGAAGAACTGACTCATCTGAAAAGACCCTGATGCTGAGAAAGACTGAAGGCAGGAGAAGGAGACAAGAGAGGATGAGATGATTGGATGGCATCACCGACTCGATGAACATGAGTCTGAGTAAGCTCCGGGAGCTGGTGATGGACAGGGAGGCCTGGCACGCTGCAGTCCACTGGGCGCAAAGAGTCGGACAAGACTGAGCAACTGAACGGAACTGAACTGAAAGATGAGATATAACTCACTACACAAACATATATTACTCAAAATACAGTGTGAACCACAAAAAAAAGCTCTGAGTTAATATCACAACTTTCTGCCTCGCCATTTCAAAGATAAATATCCTTAAAGGACTCACTTGCAGATGAAATCTTTGCATGATGTAAATTCAGATAGACCAGGGAAGTGAACAGCGATCTGGTAAGCCCCATACAAGCATTGTCCACAAAAACATTCTGCAGTGATTAAAATGTTCCGCAATGTCCAACATGGCAGCTACAAGCAACACAGTGCTACAGAGTAGGGATCCCCAACCTTCAGGCTGTGAACCAGTACCTCCTATTATATCAGCAGCAGCATTAGATTAGAAATAAAGTGCACAGTAAATGAAATGCACTTCAATCATCCTGAAACCATCCCCATCACCCCAGTCTGTGGAAAAACTGTCCTCCACGAAATGGTCCCTGGTGTCAAAAAGGTTGGGGCCTGTTGTTCTAGAGCACTTGAAATATAGCTCATCTTATGGAAGTTGTGGTAATATTACTTAATTTTAATAAATTCAAATTTGAATTTAAAAGTGGTATGTGGCAAGTACCTACAGTATTAGTGCAACTCTATACAGAAGGGAAAGCTTATTTATCACAAATCTGTCAATTAGAGAGATTTCAGTGGATACTGCTTGATACTGGCTAATATTTAAAAGTGAGAAAACACACACACTATTGAGTTACTCTCAATACCTCTACTGATTTAAGGTTGCCCATAAATTTGCATTTCATTTACCAATATGATCAATATTTGATGACCCTGACTTCTTAAGTAAGTTCAAATACACATGCAACAGCAAATAGCTTCATACACAAAACATTATTATCAAGGCAAAGAAGACACCAGAACTTGTCAAATTAAAATATAAATCACAATTAGTAACTTTATAATTTTCTCACATATATTCCAACAACTTTATACAGCATAAATGGCAATGGCTTAATGAACTACTCTAAGTAATAAAAAATAGGCCATACTCTTGTTTTTCCCTCTCAGTAATGAAATCTTTTTTCCACAATACCTTGTGGCTATCAAATAGATAAATAGGCTTGTAAAAATGATTTACAATAATAAATAAAGAATATCTACCTCTAAAATGATCAAAATCACAACTTGGGCTTTACTCTCTGATTTGAAAGTCTTATGATCACTGTCTGTAACTGTAAATGAAAATCAAGGTTTCTTCTGAAATGCATTTCACCCCAAGTCAAAGAAAATCATTTTACAAACAAGCCCAGTAAAACAAAAGAATCTGACCTTATTTGAAGCCAACGTTTCTTCTTTCTGACAGAAATATACAAGATGAAGCTGTATTATTGGATAAAACATAAAATACCTGCTGGAATAACTTACCTGATCAGCTACACCTCCAGGCAGAATGGTCTTCACAATCACACCAGTTGCTTTTCCTCCTACGATGCCAAACCCCAGACCAGAACCATCATTGACCAATTCAATAGTTTCCACATGCTGCCAGTGAGCCTGAAAACAAAGCCCTCCTGTGAATTTGAAAACTAAAATTTTTATTGTAGTTGAGATTTCTGTGAATATTATTTTGTGATTAGTATTAAATAAGTGCAGACATATAATGAGTTTTAACAGGGTTCCTTTTATTTAGTACACTTCTCTTTCAACAGGTTGTTACTACTGTTGATATAACCATTCTTGAAATTATCATACATCATTATAGTGGCTCTATTTAACCAGGTAAAGATACAGACGGACAAGATCCTTTGAAGAGTTTAAAAAGAGATGATCGAAGAAAAAGAAAAAAAAATGTTAGCTGTTAAAAATTTCTTCTACATAAATCTTGTTGCATGAGATTTCAAGTTAAGTGAGAAAGTGTTAATCACTCAGTCGTGTCCAACTCTTTGCAACCCTATGGATTGTAGCCCGCCAGGCTCCTCTGTCCGTGGAATTTTCCGTGGAATTTTCCAGAAACACTGGAGTGAGTAGCCATTCCCTTCTCCAGTGTATCTTCCCGGCCCAAGGATTGAACCTAGGTCTCCTGCACTGCAGGGGGATTCTTTCCTGTCTGAACCACCTGTGAAGGCCCCAAATTAAATGACCTCACTGGTAGCTAACTCTAACAACTTAAAAAGTAAAATCAAGATTTTATTTGTTTACAGATAGTCAATTTTTTAAGGGACCTTTTTTTTTTCTTTTTCTAGGAATGAATTCAAGTTAAAAAGCTACATAAATAAAAGTTTTATGGAAGCCAGAAACTTCATCATAATTGCATAAAATATATTCTATGCTCAGAAGGGAAAGAAGAACAAAAAGGCAAAAACCCAAGAAATACAAAGAACCTACAGGAATGGCAAACCTGTGCAAAAAGTTAAAGAATTAGAAAAATATGTTATGTTCCCCTTGAAAATCTTATGTACTCACTGGATTAGAATGAGCTGACAGTGTGCTCGCCGCAGATGGAGAACGGGAAACTATGGGGCTGATGAGCTGAGGCAATGAGCCTCTGGCAATAACCAGCTGGACAGTATCTTTGGCTTTCTGCAGGATGCTGATGGCCTGCTGATGTGTAATTGTCTGATCAAGTGCCTGTCCGTTAATAGCAAGGATCTGGTCAGTTTCCTTCAATCTTCCATCTCTAACAATGAAAAGGGGGATAAGAGATAACTGATAGATCTCAAGAAAATGACTGCTTCTTTGGCATGCATTTTCAGGTTATTTTTAATTCTATTTTCTAATGTTCATACTATGTAAGTTTTTTCTTGCAATTGTACTCCTAAAATATTTTTTCTCTATTTCTTTAATTTTGCTCTATGTGAGATGCTGTTCACAAAACCTAACACAATAATCACTCCATGATGTATGTAAGTCCAATCATGATGCTATACACCTTAAACTTGCACAGTGCTATATGTCAATTATATCTCAATAAAAAAGGAAGGGAAAAACATATATGCTTTGGCATCAGCTGACCTAACCCTAGTCAACCACTCCCAGTTAACAGCCACCTTCTTTTTAGCTACTCATTCAACCTATATGTTGTATTTTAGTATTGCTATTATCGTTTACAAATGAATGCAAAGAAGTATATATTTACTTTTTGCTTTGAGCATATTAATAAAATGAAGCTCCTACTTGTAGTTGTGAGCATATTAATAAAATACAGCTCATATTATCATAGACCACTTGAATGCTTTTCTATAACTTTTAAATCTAATCAAAAGGAGCCTGTTTAAAAACAATGGGAGTAATGTCCTACTCAAATTTTTATTTCCTTACTAAAAAGTGATTAAGTCATGACTATATTTAAAAGTTACTCTGCTTTCAAAGGACTTTCTTGTTATTGTAGCAATGTTAATGATTTCTAAAAACTGGTTAATAACATTTTATATTGTTTTTGCTTTTAGGCATTTTTGTTTCCTGAAATTCTCCTAGGGTGAGCAGCACCTTGTGAATGTGATATCAAAAACAGAGATGTCACAGTGACAGTCTCACCTTTGGGCCACACTGCCCTCCTGGATCTCCTGCACAAATATACCCAGCTCTCCCCGGTTTTCACTCCTCAGTCCCACCACACTGAACCCAAGGCCTCCACATGGAGGTTTGAGGAGCTCAAAAACTTCTATCTGGCGACCCTGTCCAGAAAAAGAAGCAAGGAATATAATTAACATGCCAGCCACTGCAGTCATAGTCGTATTAGTGGCATTAATCTGTTTAAAATTTTTTTTAATTTTTTCTAAGATAACCTTCATTTAGAAAAATCCCTAAAGCACTTCAACTTACATGAAATCTACATCTTTTTCATTCTAATTTTTTCAATGTTAAAAATGTCTTCATAAATAAGAATATATATATCATAGTATAATATATATTTAAGATATACTTTATATTGTTGCTCAGTAAAATGTAATAAAATTTATAAAAGAAAACAAAATACATTGTTGCTATATTTTCTATAATAATAATATGTTTAAAGTATATATTTAACATATGCAATATAAATATGCAAGTATTCTTCAAACTATCCAGGACACATTCTATCATAACTAACAGGAACAAATGCTCTTACCTGGGCCATATTTTTGATCAGTTGATCAAATTCATCACAAGCAGGTTTCCCATTGATATGTGCAGTACCCAATCCTGTAAGACCTTCCAGATTTCCATTATTTGGGGATGATAAAAATGATTCATTTTGTAGAGTAGGAATTACACCTGGGCTGAGATGTGGAATGTGACCATACTCGACATTTGAAATTGTTGAAGTTGCAATGTTTACCTAAGAGTAATATGGAGATTATTAACAATTCTGATATTCCATAAGCTACCTCACAGAAGTCATCCCAAGAGGGGTAATAATGAAGTACATATGAAATTTCAAAATGTCCATACCATTTTATCCAGCAACTCTATTTCAAGAAGAAAAATCAGAAAAACACACGAAGATATACATGCAAGGAAATTCAATGAAGCACTATTTTTCAGTGGAAAAAGTTTTAAACACTAATTATGTGAAAAAATTTAGCATTCAATTTCAAGATACTTGTTCAAACACACACAAAAACACATATATCTATACATTCTTAAGTGAAAAAGCCTAGTTAATGACCAATAAGCAAAGTATAGTTCAATGTACACTCAAAAAATTATTAAACACCTAGAACAATATATACTAAATAACCAATACAGCAATGGTTGTCTCCAAGATATGGGAATCCAGGGAGACACAGTTGTCCCCAAGATATGGGAATCTAGGGAGACATTTACTTACTATATTGCTCGAATTTTCATAACAACTTATGCAGTAAAGAATCTGGTCTTTCCCAAAGGGAGGCCTGGCCTTTGTCTCCAGTTCACAGTAATTTCTGAATCCTTGGAATGTTTCCAGATGACGGAAGTGTCTCTGTTCTTCACGGTGGGCCCCAAGGCCACATGATATCCACTCAAATTCTGAAACTAAGTCATCTCACATGGGCAATCAATCACACCTATGAAATGATGTCCCAATATGTACACACCAAGCTCACGTGAGCTTCCTGGGTTGGCAACACTTCATGTGAACTGTCACACACCAATCTGGGAAGAGAATACTTCCTGAGGAGAAAAGAAGCTTCTCCCAGACTCGGCGCTATGCATCTTGTTCTTATGCTAATTATTTACCTGTATACTTTCCCTATAACAGACCACAATCATGAGTCTAACAGCTTTTAGTAAGTTCAATAGGTCCTTCTAATGAATTATTGAACCTGAGGGTGGTTTGGGGAACCTCCTCAACATACATAGTTGGGTGTCAGCAGTGAGAGTGGTCCTGTGTGGACTCGTCCTACCAACTCTGTGTTTGGAGCTTAACTCCTTGCTGTTTATGTCACAAGCTTGGGCAGAGCTGCCAGTCTGGACAGTGCCCTTAAATTTCATAGTATGGCTAGCTCCAGGTACAGTAACATTAGTAAACAACAACAAAAAATATCATTCCATTTTGGAAAAAAATTCTAGTTACTTGCATGTGCCTGTTATACAGAGCTAAATAATCTAATAATAATATAGCTAATATATTATCAAATAATATTATGATAAATATTATCTATCAAATTAAATGATAATGATATTAGCATATTAATGCTAAATAATAATGAATATAAATAATAATAATATATCATTAAGGTAAATAATCATTCAACTAGTGCAAACAACCAGACCTAATTTTATATACCTATAAAGTATATGGAATGTAACTTTTTATTTATAGTTAATCAGAAGAAAGACTGTATCAATGACATTTTTGGATCACTCTCTGAACTCATCAGCACTCTGTCCTTCACACACATAGCTTCAGCTATAACTGATCACTGTTCCTCAAACCACCAAGCTTCTCTCTCTAGCCATCAAGGCTAGACATCCTTCCCCCAAGTATCTACATGCTTGCATCTTTACTTCATCCAAGTGCACTCAACATCATCACCTCAGAGAAGGCTCCCTGACAGTGCATCCCAGAATTATGCTCCATGAGCTGACTCTGCCCTGTTTTTCCTCATGGTGCTTATTATCACCTACATGTTCTCTGTTGTTAAGTAGCTTCCATCCCAATCTGTAGAGACGGACTAGAACATAGAATACTCCAGTGGATCAATAAAACCTGACTATTTTATTCTCTACTGTATCTTCATTCTCTATGGTAGTGTCTCGCACGGAGCTGGCATTCAATATCCATTTGCAGAATAAATGTTTATCCAATTTTTAAGGATCTACTCTGATTTAATCTGGCCAACAAACTTCCAAGAATCACTATTTCCATTTTACACATGAGATGATTACACAAAGTCACACACTTAGTAAGTAGATTATGACCTATGTCTTTTCCTGTCATCTTTGTATTATACACAGAGCAAACAATCATTTAGATATTAATTTATAGAAAGGAGACATTAGTAAATGGCTTCTATTGACAGAAGCAATCAAAATATTTCACAATATGTCACCAATTGATGCCTAAGAGTTTGTTACCTATCCTGAAAAATAAAACAGGAGACTCAGTAAATCACCATAGTTACCAACAATCACAATTATTTGGTTGGCTATCTATAAAGACAAATGAAAAAGAGACCAAAGGGTCTGAGGAAGAAGCTTCAGGGAATTCTTTCAAACGCTTCTTTTAAAATCTACAGCATACATGATCAATTATTATTTTTTTGAAGGCAAGCTTCTTACACCAAACCTGGTTTTTTTTTAAACCTGAGCATGGCAACTTCAATAAAGTCTGCCAGGAAAAGATATACTGTACTGGTTGAAGCAGACAGGATCATGAAATCTGTGACAGGCTGAGGATCTCGCACACAAGACCTAATACCTATGGGATCTTTGCATAGGGAATAGATAATTGGAGCCTTGCTACAGTGAGCTAGAATGAACAAGTCATGTTATAAGAACAGTCTATCTATGTGAAGTTAACTGGTGAAGAAGCTCTGAAAACTACGTTAGACAAGGTGTGAAGGCATTCTAAGAATGAAGTTGTATGTACATATAAAGCTATGTGATACTGGATATTGACTGTCTTCTCCAAATTTGTTAAAGGCTTAACCAATGACAACGACTCCTCCTATCTCCATCCAGCCACTGAGGTCTATATAAATGTAAAAGCAAAGAGATCACACATGTAAAAGCTATAATTTAATTATACCATCATACAAAAGACATCTTTTTAAATTTGAAAATTTATTCCCATCGGGAAAAACACCAAGGCACAGCTATGACTCTGCTACAGCTTTACTAAAATGGTTTTCTGAAATAAAACCTCCTGGAAGGATAGGAACGAATCTTCTTTGACATGACTAGTCAGTTCACAGCAGACACAGTACAGATGGTTAATAAAAAGGCCTTGACTCCCAACTTGGTTTATACAATATAAAATAAGCAGAAGAAAACACAACTATCTGGTGATTTGATACACAGATATACAATCTGTATTATTTGGGGAAGTTACTCGTAGATGAACAAGAGTCATCAAATAATTATGTTTTCAGTTAAGCTTTTGGCTATTTCAGTCTAAAGAGGTCTTTCATGTTCTTACTAAATAAACATGTGTTAATTTAATTAAGGGATGTTTCATTAGTGCCAACACCTAAAATAAGTTACGTGAAAATTACGTAAGGTATTCAGCTAAAAAGTTGTCAAATTCTTTGTGAACGGTAACACAAAACACCCTCTCAGTATTTAGGATAGGAAGAGGCTCTCTTACAAGCCACAGTCAGAACCAGCAAAAGGTTCACTTACTCTAAAACGTTAGATAAAGCAAAAATCATAACAAAGGACAATTATACAACCCAAGCACACTGTTTTAACGCAAAACACATGCACAGCCATTTACAAATGCCTTGATGTATGGGAGATCCCCATCTTCTTTCCTGTATAAATCACACTCATACAATATGATTTTTTTTTTTCAAATTTAGTCACTCTCTTTAAAAGGTGAAGCAAGTACATGGACACATGAGAAATAACTTGAATAAAGAACCTTTTATGAGATCTTTCTTCTTCACAGTTTTATCTAACACAACCAAATCACCAACAATTGTTTTATCAAGTCATCTATGTAGTCTTTCAAAAGAATTTAAATAAGTTTTTATAGAAAAATATCTCATCATATATTTTATACATGATAGAACCCCACAAATATAAAAGTAATTATGACTCGCGTAAGTAACTCTAAAATGACTTTTTTTTTTATAAATCTGTATTTATGGAACCAAACAGACAAGAATATACCTGAGTAAACAAGTGTTTAGTCCTCTGAGCATCAGTCAATATATGTTACAGGAGAAAAAGACAGCATCCTTTCCACCCAGCAAAAACTTATTTGTAGGTGTAGTAAGATAGCTGCATCTTCTGTAATAGCATTCCAAGAAAACAAGAATTCTCTTTAGCTCTAAAAACAATTAAGCTCACCCTCTGGAAATAACTATATCAGAATAACCCTTCCTCTGAGATCAATCAGAATATGTGCATAAAAGTTGTTATTTAAAAAAAAAAAAAACTTTAAAAGATCAAAAAGAAAGTGCCAGATCTGCTCTAGTCTATTCATTGGAAGTAAATCAGTAAGCCCAGCCCACACTCAAGAAGGTTATCATACAAGAGCACAATTACCAGAAAGTACAGATTATCTGGTGTCCATCTTCCAGGCTGTCTACACAGTATATCAGAGTAAAGCAGCTGACAGCCAAGACAGAGGGAAGATCTTAAAAGCTACTGGAGCAAAAAGGAACCTTATCTTCAAAGAAGAATAAAGCTGACATCTGACTTCTCAAATGAACGGAAGACAGAAGAGAAATGAAAAATTTTAAAGAACTGACAACTCAACATTTTCAGAACAACTCCCCCACACACATACTCACACACAAAGCATTGTCTCAGTTTGGGACAAAATAAATACCAAAATAAATTCTCTGGCAGAAAGAAAATGACCTCTGATGGAATTTCCCGAATGCAGAAAACACTGAAAAGCATAGGAAAGGGTTTAAAATGTGAGTAAAACAACAGAAATTGGTTATGACACATAATCTAAAACTTGTGAAGTTTTAAATGCATGTAGAATTAAACTACATGAACAATTACACAAAATACAGGAGTAGGATAAATGGGGTGGAAATATATTAAATTCCTTTCATTTTCCAAGAAGTAGTGAAAGTACTAAAGTCAAGTAAGTTAAGGATATGTATATCTGACAAAGAAGTCAGAACTAAAACACATAAAGAAAATCCAAAACTCAAAAGTTTAAGAAATTCAATT